ACATTCATAGTAGTTCTGTATATTATGGAGTTAAACGGGTACGTACTTAATTGAAAGCCACTATGGATATTGTTAAACAAGGTATGTACTTTAAATTTATTTCTAAACAAGTTCGTGATTGTTTAGTTTTTATTTATTTTTAAGATGATTCTTAAATGGGTATAAAAATTTTACGTTTTCAAACTTCAAAAAGGCATTTAAAAAAAAACATATTAAAACATATCGTATTTATTGAATATTTTTGTTGCCATATTCATACACTTTTATTTTTTGTATAGTTCACCTGCGTCTGCTTGCGACGAACTTTATTTTATAATACTTTTCAGATGGAGTAAAATTGATAAGCAATGCCGATCTGGTTAATACTTGGCTTGATCATAAGGATAAGAACTCAAAATTATTTGTATTTCAAAAAATATGTTCTTATTAGATATTGATGAACCTTCCAGTCAAATGAGACACCACTTGTGCCTGAAAAAGTCCACTATGTTGGAGCGAAACGTCGCATAAAAAAAATGTCCATCTTTCAATTTATTATAAAATGTTATACCCAAGAAAAGGAAAAAATAATATATGGAGAAGGTATATTAAAGATGTAACTATTAACATCCGAACCCCTCATACCGACAAAATGAACAGTAACAACGCGAAAAAGTAACATATTAGAAAATGATGTACAGAAATATATTATATGTGAGGATACTTCATCTACCTGTGATTTGGATACTATAAATTTGGAAGATTCTGTCAGCAGTAATTCTCCTGAATCAGAGTAGTTACGATCTATGCATTTTGTTGTCCTAAAGTAAATTTATAGTATCTTAAGTTTTTTTTTAATTAAATATAACATTAATGTTTCTTTTTCATTAAAGAAAAACATTTTTATCTTTATTAGGCTTATATTGTAGGAATCATGTTCTAATGTTATTTCAATTCTTTTTATCACAGGAATTTATTTAATACTTACACCGTTTTCATACTGTAACTTATTATTTGCTTAGATGGAACACAGCTCCAACATTATTATTATTTATAAGATTTTTTTTTCATAAACGTGGGACTAAGAACATCATCATTTAGTACAATGAGAGTACTCATCATTTGTGTCAAATAAACCTAGTTTGAATAAATTGCTTACAATAAAAGAGAAGTTTTGGATTTTTGTCCTCTAGAGCCATATGTTCGAAGCACTGTGCGCCGCCGCCGCCGCGCGCCGGGGTGGCATGAGCCAATCATAATAATTGTAATAAAAATATCTCACATTTGCCATCCAAAACACCGGCCGGCGCGGCGTCAAGTCAACTCTTTAAACATAAACATATTGATAACAACTAGACCTACGTCGAAGTAAAGAATATCTTAGTATCGAGTTTCGAGTCCTCGGTTCGTGCATTTCCAGGAATTACGATTACTGCCAGCGCAAAAGTAACGAATTAGCTTAGTAACGAGTAACGAGTCCTAAATTCAAATGGTAAGCGTTACTTCGAGTCCTCGTAAAATAACTGTTACTTTGTAACGATTACTTAGAATTTTTACATCACTAATGTACTCTCTAACGCAGTTTAACGGCAATAGGGGCTCGCCATGATCTCTTTCCTGTTCGAAATAATTGAGCAGAGACGAGAAAAGTTGCTGATTGAACGTAAAAGGGGCACAAGAACAACAACAATTTATAATTTTAAACATAAAATTTAGCCATTTACCTTTTATCTGTGAGAAGCTACAACTCTGACGTTTCGTTGAAACAAATGAATGCAACTAAACACACCCATAGCAACGCCATTCATGGCAGACATGATTTAACTTATCATTTATCTTTTTTTGGGAAATCTTAAACACATTTGCTTTTTCGAATTTCGATCACCTTCTTCATGCTAATACTCCACCGTGTAGCGTGGTGAATTTTTGTAACGCTTATGGCGTGCTGGGGTCCGATTTTTTTCAGTTTAAAATACATGATGAAGATATTTTATAAAAAGCTTGTTATTTTAACACTGCTTACAATATATTCAAACTTGTAAACAAACAATTTCATTAATTTTCAACAAATTAATAAGAACGGACACAAAAATAAAGTAAAAAGAATTTATTAGGAATTTTTGACAACAGAAATATAACTTGGCTAAGAAACCCATAGAAATTAAAAACATATATATTTTATGATTTTACCGTATTATTAAAAGTACAAACAACTTAAATCTGAAGCTAAAGTAATAAACATAAATTATTTTCAACAAAACTGCAAACCTTAAATGTACATAACTTTTTCAAATACAGTTCATGCTAATATAGGATCTGCATTTGCCGCACATGGATTGTGCACATTTGATTCATGAGATTTTTGTTTTTTGTCATTTCTTCATTGACATATGGTTGCCATATACCACATCTGTTTCTTTTCTGGTATTGATTATTCAATTTTCTCTCTTCTATAAGTAATAGATTCAGAATCGGAGTTATGGTTATCTTCGGAGAAAAATCAATGTCTCGATGGTTTTCATCTCACTTAAGCCTCAAGTTCAACGAACCACTGAATTAATGCTTCCTCAAAATTAGCATCCCAGTGAGGCACACTTTTTAGACTACCCACCATCCTAATAATGTAACATTTTTGGCGTGGTGGTGCCACACAGACCCCAATGAAACTTTAGCCCCCGCTGATAGGGACAATACTTAAAAAAAAAACTTAAAATCAAGTGCGCCTTTAACAGTTGCATATTGGTACCCTAACTTAAAGGTAAATGGCGCGGCGAGGCCTAATTCTTAAACGTAAACATTTTACAGAGGTTTAAATAGTGCTTGAGCCAGTTGAGGGTTAATATTTTCATGTTTGGTATGGAAATTTGAAAAAATATAAACGGGATTAACCATTTTAAAACAAAAGCAAATTTTTTATGAAGAATGCATTTTTCTCAAAATGACAATAAAAAGTTTTTCGTCTTGTCTCTAGTAATTAAATCCCAATTAATTTATTAATAAAATTAATAATTTTAGACATAAATTTCATTCAAACAATGAATACCTACTGTGACGCCTATTGAAAATGTTCCAAGGTATTGACTATATCCCGTATACCGGGTGCGTCTCAAAAGTGGCTCACCCCCTATAACTTTTTTATTTTTTCAGATAAAAAAAAACGAGATTTCGTATGTTCGTATATGACATAAATTGGGATTGATTGACGCATTAATAATTGTTTTTTTTTCTACAACTTTTGATTTTTAAATGGCACCCCCGGTATATTTTTACTTTATTCGATAGAAAATTAAATTCTGAATAGAATGACATATCGTATGTCAACTTGTGACATTCTCGCTTAATAAAAAATTGTATTTTAAAATTGAATCTAGAGTGCCATGTCTATGTTAAAAACACTAATTCTTAATCAAGGAGCCTTGGAAAAATAGATTTGATCGTCTAATGTTTTTAGTGTTTTGTTCTGGCCAGTTGAAAAATGCTCAAATCGTATTTTTAATCATATCTCAATTTTTTCTAACGGAACGAGAGTGGCTCATTAGCATATTTGGAAAAAGTATTTTTTTACGAATAAATTTGATGCCACAAACTTAGTATTTCGAGTCAAATTTTCGTTACGAACCGCAAGTTATAATTTCAAATAAACCATATGCGAAAATGTCAGAAGTTGACATATGACATACCCTTCAAGCCCCGTTCTCAGAACTGCGTCGTGTCGACAGCGACACTGATTGACACTTCAAACGACCAATGGGAGCTGTACTAAATTTAAAATTGACAGCTGTTTGAATTTTGTACAAATCTCATTGGTCCTCTTGACGTGTCGCTGGCGACAGTCGCTGTTCTGAGAACGGGGCTTCAGAGTGTTTTTTTTATCGAATAAAGTAAAAAAATACTGAGGGTGCCATTTAAAAATCAAAAGTTGTAGTCATTTCCGGTGAAACAGGAAGTGACCAAAAACAATTGAATATGTCAATCAATCCTAATTTATGTCATATACTAACATACCAAATCTCGTTTTTTTATCTGAAAAAATAAAAAAGTTCTATGGGTGAGCCCCTTTTAAGACGCACCCGGTATATGTATGTATAATACATTACCTTTTTTATGTTCTATAACCTTATTAGGACTACTGTATTTTCTATATGGATTAAATAAACAATTATCAATCTATCTATATCTATAAATAGGTATAAAGGAATACCAAAAATATGTATATAGAAATATGCAAATATGTTTTATTTTCGACATATTCATAAGCTGGAATAATCTTCAAAACACCCTTCCTTTATTCAACATAAAAAGAACATTTTAGTGCTCCATTCCATCAACCAAAAGAAAATTAAATTTCGGTAATTATCCTTTTTAGTAATCCGCCAAGTGGAAGTAATGACAACCATAAAATCTTTCCCAAGTGGCTTAAACTTCCCTTATTTTTTCAAAGTTTTGCTAATTCCCTGTCAGATTACTTACTCCCCTAAATCTTTCTAAAAATACTTTTATTCAATAATAAGTCTCGTCCAACTGAGCAAGGAAAAAAAACTCTAATATAATCCATTATATCTTGAATTTTACTCATCACAGCTTACACAAGATAGTCAAATCAAAATTAATAGTTTTACTTTTTACTATGCATATTTACATGAGGTACCTACTAATTTTTATAGATCAAGTGACCCTAATAATCTAATTTACTTATTAATATTGAATTCAACCCATGATAACAGTTTCGATAACATAATAAAACGGTATAATAATATAATTTTTAGTGTAAGTAGGTACAAAAAATAAAAGGTACTACTTAGATCCTTTTTTGCAAACTGATTTAACTTTTTAGTTTCTTTCCAATACTTGTAACCAAGGAAAAACATCAGTAACCAATCAAAAAAACTCCAACAAAGATACTTTAAACGATTTATTATTTAAACACAAAACTAAACAAACACGAACTGATAAAAGAAAACACTAAATTAACGTAAAAAAATCATCTTTATTAACCTTTCCATATAGATTACTTTACTTACCCTTTCATTAGACTGCATGACATCTGTAAAAACCGCACGTATTTACGTTAATAAATGGCAATGTCGGTTTTAATGCATGCGGCGAACGACACGATACAGTCCGCTTTAGAAAACTCATAAAAAACAGCATTTATTATTAAAATTTACACCACCCTCAATCCGAACATTCGTGCCGATTTTTAAAACTAACCCGCGCAAGCGTTGACAATCAGCTGTTCGAGTCTCTAACCACAGAACGTTAAAATATGTTACCAAATATCTGCTAGTAGGGATGAAAATTTAAAAAAAAATATCGATATACTGCAATCTTTAAACAAAAATTCAATATTGAATTTCAGTTCCTTCAACGAACGAAATTCGTTTAATATATAGTATGTTCCTTATTCCTTGCTGAAATTCAAGTCAGCCATATGGAAATACTGAAATACAGACATAATAATTTTACCTGATTTAATATCTTTAAATTTTCTCTTGAATTCTTTATTCATATTTTTGTGTACAAAACAACTGGTTAACCCACTGTCAGCACTATTGAGTACATATGCAAATCAGTTCTGATGTATTAACACTGTTTCTATGGCTTTTGTAAAAAAAAATTATGGCTTTTCTTTAGTTTTTCTAGATTGTAGTCTTATTTTTAACAGTACAAGACTTCACAACTTGTAACTTGTAACAAATTAAAAAGAAAAAGCACAACCTACTATATGAAAACGTAAAGTTGATGATGGTTCCAGAAAAATGAAAAGATTTTTGACATTATCAAAAGAACACAAAAATTCTAGTTAAAAGATGTTTATTTATTTCGAAATCAATCATCAGAAAAAAATGCAAAAAAATAATACAATCTTTTAAACTTAAACTAAGCATAAATACAAGAAATTCCATAAAAATCTTACTAAAAAAGTCTTCATTTCCCGTTTTTGCAAACTTATTATGGCTATTTTTATAAAATCTACCATAAGTGGCACAGTTTATTTTATACAACCAGTAAAATTACAGTGTTGCTAGGAGTTGCTAGCTATACTTTTTCTAATTTACATATAAATAAAATTTCATCATTTTTTTTGTTATTAACTGCTATAAAAATTTAGTGGTGTATTACAAAATAGAAAATCACATCAATTATTTTCTATATATATATATAATAACTATAATCACAATACATAAACTGTGCAGTAATGTTTATTTCAAAAAGTTATATTTTTAGAAATTGAATTACATTATACACTGAGCATTAAATTTAGGAAATCTATACTTCTTAAAAACTAGTAGTTAAAATAAAAAAAAGTATCATAACACCTTATAGGACACATTTTTTAGAGTAAAATTTAAACCAAAAACCTTAAAAAGTTAAAAGAGGCAGCTTTTAGAAATCCATATAATATTAAGAATGAATTATAGAGAAAATATATCAAAACATTTTTCAAAAATGCCTTTATATACTGTATTCTTGTAATTCCAAATATTGCTGAAAACAACCTGTACATTAAATAATACTAATACTGGCTACAAAAATTGTTTTAATAGAGGACAGTCTGAGAGTTATATACATTTTATCTAGAATTTAATTGTTTGACAAATCTTTTAATAAAATTTTAAATGAATAATTTGCCATAAACTTGTTTCAGTGAGTTGAAAAATAAAGGCATTGTATTACTCATCAAAAGAGATCTCTATGCAACAGATTCATATACAGGGTGAGTTTCCTACAATGTTCCCTATGGGTATCTCGGAAACTACTGGAGATAGAGAGTCGGTTAAATGGGGAAGGAATTGCAGTTTTGTGGGGTCATAAATAGGCGCCTTTCACATTTTTGAAAAAGTTCATGGCTTACTAGATATTTCGAAAAAAAACAAATTTCGGCTATTTTGAAAATTGTCCCTAATTCCATTATAATCTATTTTAGACAAAAAGTTTTCAGATAAAAGTTATAGATAATCACATCCTTAATGAGACTGTGTTCTCCGTTTTTTTCTAAAGCGTGTCATTTTTGACATATGACACAAACATTTGTTTTTTTTTAAATGGAAACCATAGGTGGCCATGACTTCATATAAAGCGCCATTTTTTAAGCTTTTTAGCGATATAAGCTATAATATGTTTTCTTCGAAAAATTACTGAATTATAGCCAATTCTTATAATTTTTAAACAATTTCACTTAGTTAGCCATGGAAACAAGTCCAATCGCCGTTGCTTTCATAAATTTGAAGCTGTCACATCCAAACTTTGTAAATTAAAATAAACAAAAATTGTAAATATGAATTTTTCAAATGAAGAAAAGCGTGTAGATACTCGCGCATCGCCCCACACACAAAAGTTTGGATGTAACAGCTTCACATTTCTGAGAGCAAAGACAATTAAACTTGTTTCCACGGCTAACTAAGTGCAATTGTTTAAAAATTATAAGAATTGGCTATTACTCAATAATCTTTCGAAGAAAACATATTATACCTTATATCGCCGAAAAGCTTAAAAAATGGCGCTTTTTTATGAAGTCATGGCCAACTATGGTTTCCATTTAAAAAAACATATGTTTGTGTCATATGTCAAAAATGACAGGTTTTAGAGAAAAACGGAGGACACAATCTCATTAAGGATGTGATTATCTACAATTTTTTCTGAAAACTTTTTATCTAAAATAGCTTATAATGGAATTAGGGATATTTTTAAAATAGCCGAAATTTGTTTTTTTCAAAATATCTAGTAAGCCATGAACTTTTTCAAAAATCTGAAAGGCGCATATTTATGATCCCACAAAACTGCAATTCTTTCCCCATTTAACCGACTCTCTATCTCCAGTAGTTTCCGAGATACCCATAGAGAGAGCATCGTAGGAAACTCACCCTATATAAAAAAGGTTTTAGTATTTTACTTTACACACAAAGGAGAAAAAAATAAAAAAACTGAAGACAGTATACATAAAAATACGAAATCTTAAAAAATTAGATAACTTTCGAAGTTCAGTCTTAATAAATGTAAAAAGCTTTGTAATTGGTTATTAAAATTAATTTACTCTGCCAATTTGAGCTTCTCTGTTTACTATGCATCCATTTCCATCGTGTTTGAAGATTCAGCCTCCATTTCTGCTAGTATTTCCATGCTTTTGATATCAGGACTGTTTTTATTTAAATCTTCGTTATTACTATTATTAGAAGGACCAGGATTGGCTTCTTCAAAAGTAATATATTCTATTAAACAAAGATACTAACTAGAATTATATATTTCAACTTACCAAACAGTGGTAATGGCCTAATAGGAGGTTGCCACAATACTAGAGCTGTACATGGCCTTTGTAGTCCTGCCACTAGTGATGGTGGTAGAATAGGGTCACTTTGCAGTTTCCTCATTTCCTCACACATATACAACCTTTTGTTTTTAACTGATTCAGGTTCTAATGGTGATGTAGCTGTCTCTGAACTGATGTGAAGCCTGGACATGTGTTCCGCCATTTTTTCCTCCGTGATGTGTTGCTTACATGGCTGAAATCTATAAACAACAGCATTAAAATACCTCTAGTTCACTGATTTATGAATAAAATATTTGCTCACTGAATTAGTCCATTTTTCACCAGTTATTACATCTTGGAGTTCCTGTACACATATATTATTAAGAGAAAATTAATGAAAAACTGCAAAAATTCATACTTACGATGGAGTGTCTGTTTTTCTCTTTCCCAAGATCTGTTTGAACGTCCTATCTCCATATCCTCCATCATTGTTCGCTGTTATTTGAAACGGGAAATGTCCTTGGTAAGGGCTTGCTGGAGATTGTACCCCAAATGAAAATGATGCTGGTATCTGTGTAGGATGATTAACAGGTGGAATCTGTTGATTTACATATCGTGAATATACAGGAGAATACTCAGTTTGCGGAACTATTTCAGGTCCTTTTCCATACGGGTCTGCGATGTTCCAAGGAACAACACCACTGGGCCCCGGATAGGCCTCAAATCGAAAAACAGAAGGCGGGTTTTGTTGGTTAGGATCCCCCGTCATATTATTCAATTCCATACAAGTCTAATAATGGATAACAGCGACACAAAAACACTTTTAACACTGCACAACAACACTGTTTCACTTGTTTGAACGATTTTTATTCACCGGCAAAAAATCTAGTTCAAAAAATTTCACAACATAGAAACGTTAGTTCGAAATGACACCGAGAGAAACAGCGCCGTACAGCTGATTGTCAATATATAGGTAATGCTTGGGTAATGCAGTTATCTAGAAATTTCGATGTCGTTCGAGAATCTTTATACCGAATGATCGAAAAAACCGGCGTTCAGTTAATAAAATAATAAAGTTCAGTTGGCTTAGAAATAAAAATTCCATATAAAATGACAGCGTTCATTTCATAGCCATCGTTGACGACGTTTTTTCGATCATATCCTTGTTTATATCATATTGAAAAAACCTAACTTGATTTACGGAAAAATATTTTTTAATTCAAGAACCTTAAGAACACTGCAACTAGATGTCGTTGCCTGCCACTAAATTTTACAGCTAAATTTTTCAAAATTTTTCGATTCATTTTTGTTTCCTCTTTCCTCATTAATAGCTTTTATTAAAACTAAAAATAACAACAGCGTAAGTGGAAAAAAACAACAAAACCCGTTATTTACTATTAAATATTTATTATGTCAACCTGCATAAAAAATAGGTATATGCAACATAAAGTTAAAAATTAATACAATCTTTGAGGAGGTCCCATAGTAGATTTAACATGTAACGACCTGACGTTTTGCCAATGTTTTTTCAACAGTGAAACCAAAAAGTTGATTGAAAGATGGACATTCTGAACTAATTCATCGGGAGTCATACCTACATGTCCTACAGCAACAGAAAGACACAGGACCTGTAAAAAAACATGTAAATTAGACTCATAAATTAACTTAAGAAAACTGTAAGCAATATTAAAGCCACAGTCACACAGAACTTGCAAAAGTGGTAGTTATAATTGCTAATTATATGGCACCATTCTTCCGTACAAGGCAACATGTCTTTGAATCGCTTTGTTGGCTTGATGATGCCAAAAATAACTTTATTGGTCTAAACAGAAGAAACTAACCTTTTTCATTTGGAACTTAATTGTAGCCTTAACTTCATCGATCTTCTGCGTCATTGATTCTTGATGCGACAACAAACCAGGGAATTTACCAGCCTTGTTTAGACCAGGACCCAATAAACGTGGAATCTGTTTGATAAGAGCCTCTGAAGCCAAGAAAGCATCATATTTCTTAGCCAATTTCTTGACAAGCTTTTTGTTCTTGTTCAGTTTCTTCAAAGCTTCAACATCCATGTATGGTACATTATTAGCCTTTGCTTCATCACAATGTTGTTGATCTCCCAAGATACATACTTGCATCTTAGGCCGGGGAATGTGCTTCAGTCTAGAAATTTAATTATTACATTATTTAGACTTTAAACACCAAAACGTAGTGATTTTGAATTCCTGAATGTGGTTATTAAACTCACCAAACATTACCATATATGGTAATGAAAATTTTACGAAAAATGGTCGATAATCTTAAGAAAAATCTCAAGAAGATCTGCCCAGTTATTTTAAGACCCTGGGTACAGGTCCGCCAGTTTTTTGGCTCCCTGATTTGATGTCCGATTTAAAGATTTTACATTAAAGAGATCTTTAAAACGAACACGATCAGGTAACATACTTGACGGTTCCGCTGAAACGTTTGTCCTTTTGGGGATCGTAGTTCTTCAAACCGATTTGAATTTCCACAGTTTCCAGGAAGTTTCTTTTCTTTTCCTTGGAATGGTCGATAACTCCATTTACGCACTCGTAAAGAGTATCTCTGGATACTTTGGAGCTAAAAATATTTTTGTAGAAATATTAGGAAACATTTAAACTATGATTTTAGATATTATAAAAATGTTTTGGAAAAGAGATGACCGGAAAAATTAAGAAAAAATACTTACGACATTTCCGCGATGTTCAACGGGCAAACGAATATAAAAAAAAGAACGTTTAACGTCAAACGTCAACTGATCAACTGTCAACTTTTATTGCTAACTTCATGACCTCCAAGGCCTTTTTTTCCGTAGGAATGTCCATTATATATCGACATAATATTGAATATATCGATAGTCGACTATCGAACATACCCCATAAAAATATTCACCATATTTTTTATATAATTTTAATGATATATCAAATATCAATAAATACGTCTATCAAAAGAAACCTGTCGACATATCTTTTATTTTTTTCTCTACGAACATATTGCATATCGAATCTGTCTGGTGCATCTAACATATTCAAAGCTAATATCAATATGGATATAAATAGGTATTTTTTTTTCTATTATGTCCACTTGCCAATTACAGCATTCAGCCAGCTTATTTAATATTTTTATGAGCGTTTAATTAGGACAAACATAGAAACACACACACCAAACACCCATGTCCGAAGCCGGATTCGAACCGGTCTACTCTCTACTAGAAAGCGGCGCGGCGCAATCATTTCTACCACAAAGCCGACATCCCTAGGTTTTTTGGTAAGTAACTACGTCTACAAAAAAAAGAAGAACTGTCACCTGTCACGTTTAGTTACTATCATGTTGCTATCTTAACAGTTGTTTTTCAGGGTTATATGAATTTTTGTAACATTTTTTGTAACTTTTAAATTGTATGGTAAAATAAATTGGAAGCTTTAATATTTTTTTACAAATTCTCAACAATAAAATGAGCACAAACTCTAATCTTCAAATAAAAAAAATGAAACAGGGTATGTCCTATTCGGGAAAAGAGAAAACCATTATTATGAACGTATTTAAATACTTTCGAAATGAGTTTCCAAACCAAACAGTAACTGAAATAGTGAGAAAAACTACAAGAGCCACTGGTTGCAGTGAGAAAAGTATATTTTCTTTTCGTAAGGAAGAAATAAGCCCTCAAGGTTTTAAAGAACCATCGAAACGAAGAATTAGAAAGAATATTAATTCAAATAATCGACTGATTAAATATAATGAAACTGTTAGAAAGAGAATCAAAGAAATTATTTATCAACTGAAAAATACTAATCCTAGTCCAAGTTTAACTACAATTTTGAAAAGTATAAGTGCTGATAATTCCCTTCCAAAGTTTTCAGTTATGACATTAAGGAGGCTGTTATTTGATATGGGGTTTTATTATGAAAAGAATGGAACAAAGACTATTTTGCTGGAGAAGAATTCAGATATGAATTGTAAATCCATAAACACAGAAAATATCAAACCTATTGCTTGTAACAGTTTTAAAGAAAAAGTTTTATGTAATAACATATCTGAAAACAAAATTCAAAAAGTTGATAATCAACAAAGTTATAGTGAACTCAATTATCAACATAATCAAAGAATTTCTGTACCGATTAATTTTGAAGGAAACTATTTAACTAATCAAGTAAGTAAACAAACAAATTGCATTAAAGTTTCTGAAATATTTTTTTTTTATATTTTTCAAATAGAAACCTATAATGTTTCCATCTCGAATACCAACTTATGGTCTGCATCCTTCTGGAAATCCTTATTACACCACCAATACTGACATGCATATGAAAAAGAATGATCATTTTATTTCATATGCTCCACAACATATTTTGCCTCATAATGTGTTGCATTGAGTAAGTTTTTTTTTGTTTAAGTTTATTTTATATGTGTAAATTTCATCAGAATAATACATGTAAAAGACCTATATATTATAAGATTTTATTTAAAAAATATCACATTTAAAAATTTTACATGTCTATACATTAAAATAATAAATAATTTATACATACATACCTACAATAAAAAGTCAATATGATGAAAAATGTTCAACAATGCCTTTGAAACATTAAGAATTATCACAGTAAGTAATAATATTTGTTCTTAAGAGTCAATTATTTACACCTAATAAAGAAAAGTTTAACAGTTTTCTAATCTAAATTTTTAGAATATGGAAAAGTATTACAAAAGAAATACTAAAACAAAGAATATTTTTGGTTTGGTTTGGCTATAATAATACTATTAAAATATTATATCGAGGTCGTGTAATTTTTGGTTTGCTCAGTATACTGTATTTGGTCCAAATATTGGTTAAAAGGCACTTTCAGCAGTCTCGATATCAGTTTCATCCTGGTTCTTTAAAGAAACTCCACTATTTCTGTTGTCATTGACTGTGATATTTTCATATACAGGTTCTTTATCATATTCCTCTGTAATTTAAAGCAAAGTACAATCAATTTAAAATTAATTTAAATATATTAAATATTATTAGTAGTAGTTTTTTTTTTTCAAGAACAGGATTTATTGTAAATCAATTTATTATAAAACAATATTATTTAAAGGGAGAATTTCATCACAAACTATGCAACTAACATTACACAGAATTCTAGCGATTCCCCTTATTTGTATTATACTAGTTACTAGCCCTAGTCACTTTATTTCCATGGTCTGTACTTTAATGCATACAACAGAGAGATAAATATATAATATATAAGACCAGTTGATAAACAGAGAGACAAAATAAAAAGCGGCATACAGTATTGCCGGTTGGTACAAGAATTAAAATAAGAAACAAAGATAATATATCTAAGCCACGGCATTCTAAGCTATTCAATAATGCTCATTTCTGTTAGACAGTTCTTTAAGAATCTATTACAGCTGTAGTAAAATGAGTAACTAGTTATTGTGAAAAATAAAGTTCCAACCCTAGATGCAACATTTCTCGTAAATACGTACTTGGGCGGTTTGAAATGTTGATGCAAAATCCGGATTTTAACGTGTTTAAACAGTGATATAGACAGCTTAATGAAAAATCAAATGTATTAAAAAGAGATAAAAGTTGGATTAATACATTTCTTCTATGCGGTATTGCCGGATTTTGCATCAAAATTTCAAACCGCACAAGTACGTATTTACGAGAAATGTTGCATGGGTTGGAACTTTATTTTTCATAATTAGTTACTCATTTTACTACAGCTGTAATAGATCATATTTAGCTTAGATATATTATTTTCATTTCAGTGGCATACATGATTTTTAAAATAGTTTATTTTTTGAATTATGTATTTATTGAATTAATGAAGATCGCTCTCACTTTATATGTAAAATTATATAGGGAATGTCATCGATCATGGTTCATCAACTGGAATGGTTTATTTTATTTCTTATATGTAGCTTTTATTAAGAGGTTGTATTTTTACTCTATTTAGGAAATACAAATTCAAAAAAATGCAATTTGAAATAAAATTATGGTAATTAAAATTAAATTAAATGAATAATAAAATAATTAACCGAAAAACTGCAAAAATAGAAGAAATATATTTAAAAAAACATTTTTTATTTATCATATATCTTACCATTTATTATGGGCGCTTCCAACATGTTCTTCACTAATTGATATATATACATATATTGTTTCTGAAAAAGGAAATTAGTTTTAATTCAGTTATGACGTGAACTATTGTTAGTGTTTTTTTAACTAACCTGCGTTTGGACCATGTTTTTTCTTTGCTTCCTCATCTCCAATACGGTGTTGTATACGCTAATTCTACTTTCAGAGTTGATGGCTTGCAGGAGTATGTCTGTGGCTACGAGAGTACCGGTTCTACCAACCCCAGCACTAACAAAAATATATTTTTTAATAAAAGTAAGACCGAAAACATTATTTATTTATTTATATCTATCTTATAATTTAGTTTGAAACCTTTGGTATTACAATAGGAAATTACACAAATCACACATCAAAACAATTTTATACAGGGTATCCCATTTTCGTGTGTTTTATGGAATTTCTCGTTTATGAGTCCAGGTCGAGATACAAATATACGGTTTTCACATAGATTTAGCCTAGCTCCCTTGTTTTCCCAAATACAGGGCGAATTTGAAAATTTTTCGACTCCCTTATCTTGGTTATCTTATAACTTTTCGAAAAGATTAATACTGAGTCCCGTAGAGTATTTTATGTAGAAACCAGTGGCCTAGCTAGTTTTTCGTTGGGAGCTGTCATTTCCGAAATATAACTAAAACTTAAGTTTTTTTTTAATAGGACAGCCTATATATTATTTAGTTTTATTTTATTTGTCTTGTCATTGAGCTGTCTAAAAATATAATATATTCTATACTTATTTTCGCAAACAAAATGCATTTTTTAACTTTTAACATAAAGAAACTTAGTTTAAAAGAGTATTATCATTTTATTTAATTTAATTTAACCAAATAATTTGGCTTTTCATCGTGTTATCTTAATAAATTGCACTAAAATAAACTTGTGCAGCTTTTAGATAATACGCTGTCAATCAGAGTTATGCAACATTATCAATTTCGCCCTGTATTTAAGGAACTAAGAGGGCCAGGAGAAATCAATGTGTATCAACTTTAGTTTGATAAAAAGGTAGCACAGTGATGTAAAAATGCATCTTTGTAGGTCTACTTCAACAAAAACCCTGCTAAACACACAAAAATGGGATTACCCTGTACATTGTTATGCCCATGGTTTTAAGACAAGTTTAAAATAATGAAAGTGTTAGAGCTTTGTTTGAGACGCCATATTCTAATTTTCGAAATAACAGGAAGCTCTCTGAACTGTCAAATTTTGATGTAAGTTGCTTTTTTTAAACAAATACTGCTTAAGTTGATTAGACAAAAAAAAAATCAAAAATATATAAAGTTTGCTGATATTTCAATGGTTTTAGAATAACAATTTAAAAAGGTTTTCAAGTCACTAGTTTCTCAGCACCACTAAGGAAAATACCAACAAATCTTATCATTTTGAGGTCAGAAAAAAATTGTCTATTCAGCAGAAGAATCAGATATAGGGAATGTCAAAATTTAATAGTTTAGATATTTTTGTTATTTGGATATCTGAATTGTGGCAATATGGACAAGAATCTAAAGCTATTATACTCTTCTAGCGATTTACTAAAATATAACGTAAAAAACTACACTCAGATGCATAAAAAACGCAACGGAGAAATTTTTGGTCAATTTTAATGTGTTATATTTCTGTTAATTTTAGCCCTATTTTCATGAATTTTGTAATAAGCTGTAGATAATTACATCAACTTTTATTCGTAAACTAAGTTTTTTATAAACTTTAGTATTTGGCATATTATACAGGATTAATCGAGGGGTTGTTTTTTTACCCTAACTTTTAAAACACCCTGTGCAATAATTTCGTGTGTGAATTTTCCTAAAATATAATTTTACGGTCAGAACCATGACTCCTGAGCATTTTGTTTTTTGATTTATGTCAATACATGCTTTGGTTAATTTTTGATCAGTTTGCAATTTTGGTCAGTTTGCAATTTTTTCAATTATCATTTTTTTATGTAATTTTTTAATATGACGAGATGGTTTTGGTGACTATTATTATAACGTCATATTATGCTGCATTGCTTACTGTATACTAAATTAAAAATAAACGTTAGATACTAAAGATACAGTCCTGGTTTTAATAAACATTAATAACGATAACAGAAATAACTATATTAAAGAAATCATCTGTAATAATAAAATATATAAACAGAAAAAAAATTGTAAAAAACTTAATACATTGTATTGCCTCCCTTGATGTTATAACTGCCTGTATACGTCCGTTACTTTGAATAAGAAGACTAAGGAAGGAGCATAATACTATCCATGTATTCATGCATGGTGGGCGGAAAAGGCGCCATAAAAGCACTCTAGGGTGGGGATCCTTGACAGTTCTGTTTGACGATTCATTTGACACATTTGAATTTGATTTGAAATGTTGTGGATTTGTCAGTCTTTACGGAGCTTCTTTTATGTTATTTATTATTATTCTACTACTGATAGTTGTATAAAGGTAGTAAATCTAGATGAAAATTGTGGCAGCACTTAAATTAACAGTGACACTATCGCGATTTATCGAAAAAGACTCTAAAATAGTTGGTTGTGTAGCGTGCGGTAGATCTCGGGAAAAAATTGAGTGAAATAATGGAACAACTTTTTGCTAGTAAGTGACTATATAATATACATACGTGTAGTAAACCGATCATTTATGAAATTCACTTAAATTAACTAAATTATAAATTTTTCTTGCATTTTAGCTTTTATTTATTACTTGTCAAAGATTAGATGTCAAAGAATTTAGATACGTTAATTTGACTTACCTGCTTCAGTAGCGTATCGGATGTTTGTGGTAATAAATACTTATTATAACTTATCTATTTTTATTAGAATTATATATTTTTATAACAATTTTAATAACTACCAACATTTATTCACAACGTAAAATAAAACAACAAATTATTGAGTCTACCCCACGTCTACCCATAGATAAACGAAACAAGTTTAGATTGGAAAGTGCCCATAAGGACAATGTAAACACTATTTGGCGCTATTCTAGCAACGGTCGCGACCCAAAACTTTTGAAAATTTCGGAGCGGTTCGGCTTTTTCCGGAATTATATCGCCAAATATTGTTTATTCAAATTTATTATTATTTTCGTTTAATTTTATAAATAAAAGACAGTGTGTTGCATACAAGAAACTTTATTTTATATAAGGACGCATGTATGAAATACCTATGAAACATTGGAAACCGACGTTATGCCACGATCCACGATGATTTTTGCAGTTCACAGTTCACAGCACAGCTTTTTAAGTTTTTAATGCCACTTTTTCACAATTATCACCGGTTGGAGTAAATAAAACTTGAATTAAACTCACAAGATAGCAATAATTACTTTGAAAATGAACGCTATAAACATTTTTCGGAATTTCTTTAATGAGAGCGGTTTAGATTTTGAAAGAATATTATGATTTTTGAAGATTCTGACTTTGACAAGAGAAAATTATTTCTGTTTTTGTTTGCCGTTGTTCTTAGCGACCGCTATAGCAGCGCCAGATTGCGTATAACGGTCGCGACCCAAAATAATTTCGCGACCTAAAATTTTTACGGGCTTTCCAATCTAAACTTGTTGCATTTATCTATGCGTCTACCCTACATCATAGTTTTACATTTTTTAAATAAAATTAGAACGACACTGATAAACCGGAATTTAAGTCGGCCATATTTGAGGCCCATCGCGGTGTACCTAAGATTTTTGATATGCTCCTTCCTTAGTCTTCTTATTCAAAGGTCCGTTAATACTGTCATGGAGGCTGCATTTACGGCAAGGACAAACTTTATTTTTAAATCCTACTGATCCATCTGAGATAAAAAGCATTATAGCACAGAATATCTAGCTACGCAACAGAAGCCTCGTTACATGTATAAAATCGTAGGTCTCAAAAGGAGACAGGCTTTAAAAGGTTTACAAAATATTTAGGTTTACATTTGGATGGCAATCTAAAATGGAATAATCATATTAACATTTTAACTTCCAATATCAGAAAGCTGTTTTATTTGTTCACTCAATTAAGATTATATATGAATTCTGAAACCTTAAAAAAGATATATTTTGCATTTGGTCAGAGTTTACTACAGTATGGCATTACAGCGTGGGGCTCTGCTTATAAAACATTACTAAAGAAAATCGAAACAGCACAAAAAATTCTTTTAAAAATAGCTCTATTTAAACCATATCACTTTTCCACTAAGGAGACCATTGCAAGTTTTCAAGTACTGGATATAAGACAACTATACGTGAGAAGTGTAATGATATACATGCATAAATGCAAAAAATCGACAAGTAATACCGTATGATCGAATAAAAACGGCGTCAGCGGTGGCTATGAAATGAAAATCGCTGTCATTTTATATGTAAAATTATATGGGAAATGTCATTGATCGTCATTTCCAAGCCAGCTGGACGCCATTTTTTTTCGATCATACGGTACTAATTGTAACAATATATTTACTAGAGCCTATTCAAGACAAGATTCAAGCATACCGTTTATGAAATTTAAATTAACACAACATTGTTTACTTTATATTGGTCCAAAACTATATAACCTTTTACATGTGGATATAAAAAATGCCGCAATGATGCGGTTTAAATATTTAATAAAAAAATGGATAATATCAAACCATTCCTATCGCAATATTATCTAAATACCAATATATCTATTCTGTTGGTGACTCTCTGATATCCGTGCCTTGTAGTACTGACAAGATCGGTAGTATTTATTTGACTTGTAATAAGTAACTCTTTTTATTTCTTGTCTTTGATATACATAGTTAACTTATTATATAACTGCTAGAGTTTAGTCTACGCAACAAATTTTCTTTTTTTTTTTATTAATTATCATTATTCCCACGCACAAGCTCTAAAGCTTATGTGGGATAATTTTGAAAACATGTTTGTAGTTTATTATAATAATTGTACATGTTTATAAATAAATAAATAAATAAAATAAATAAATATATCGTATTGCGATATGTTTTCTCATTCTTTAAGGGCCAAGCAAAGTTCATTTAGTGAAACTGGTAGCCGCTTCGCGACCTCTAACCCTCCTGCCAAGCATTTCCCAAACGTCGACATGATGAACAGTGCATAGTGGTTTATAGTATACAATAATCTCAAAAGCCGCCTTGTCATATTCAAAACAACTTCAAAAAGAAATGATAGTTGAAAAAATTGCAGATTGCTGATGGCGAATTCACTTCGCTCTTAAAAATTAACGGAAACATGTATTGACATGATCCAAAAAACAAAATGCTCAAGAGACATGGTTCTGACCGAAAAATTATATTTTAGGAAAATTTACACACGAAATTATTGCACAGGGTGTTTTAAAGTTAAGGTAAAAAAACAACCCCTCGATTAACTCTGTATAATATGCCAAATACTAAAGTTTATAAAAAACTGAGTTTACGAATTAAAGTTGATGTAATTATATACAGCGTACTAAAAAATTCATGAAAATAGAGCTAAAAATAACAAAAATATAACACTTTAAATTTGCCTAAAAATTTCTCCGGTGCGTTCTTTTTGCATCTGAGTGTATATTTCCGGCGCATGCTGTGCTAAACATTTTAGAGAAACAATGTTTAATTGTTTCATTTTTTTATGTTTTTCTGATGAGATTATACACATTTATGGGAACATAAAAAGTTTTTTTTTCTTTTTTTTTGGGGGGAATTTAAATGATTATTTCCCCTATAACTGCGCCAGATTTGTGTAAAATTCTATTCCAGATCTACTGGTTTTCGAGTTATTATTTTAAATATCGATTTTGTGATTAAACCAATAATGACTGAAATCTATGTATAAACCTAGTTACAATACCTCTCTCTCTCCAAAAAAATCCTTTATGGGTATTTCGCCACTGCACTGCAAGAAAAATCTACAAAATAAAGTAGTTATTTTTTGTAAACACACGCGTTAAATAATAATAATTTAAATTCAACTATTTGAGAACACTTTACTTTTTTAAAACAGATACGTCTACAAGAAATCGTTGACGTTCTGTTAAAATTACATTATATCAAGTTAAACTTCAAAATTGCAGTGCAGTGGCGAAATACCAATAAAGTATTTTTTTGGAGAGACGAATCCGCCACATAGGTATTGACATTTTTTTACAATACCTCTATTTTAACTACATACACAAAAGACTGACTAATTTACAAAATATGTAGTTTTATACATACACCAACTAGATGTAGGTTATTCTAAGGATTATAATAAAGACTGAAATATATATTTTTGTAAAATATCCCTATTCTTCTTTTCTTTTTTGCTATTATGTTATGATTTTAGAATCGATCCCTGTCTAAAATAATAGAATACTACATGGTATTAGCACAGATTAGGTATCCTATAAGTATACAGATAAAAATCTTGTCCCTAATTCGTGGTACGAAAATTCTTTTTTGTCATACGCTCCCAAAAACAGCTATTTTACGGACTCATTTCAGTCCGTAAAATGTTTCTTTTTCGGCCTAGGCCGTAAAGGTCGTCATGGCAACCTTTATGGACTAAAATGTCTAAATTCGTTATTTGGTTGTTTTATTTTGTCATTCGAAATTTGTCACAAAATCACATAAAATTATACATATATTTATAATTAAATTATTAAATACTAACAATATCAAAAGCTAAGTTATTTGTTTAAAGTAAGTACCTAGGTACCTATTTAAAAGAGGCTTTTAAATTAAAATATTCTTAAATTACAGTCACAAACAAGACATAATCATGTGGTACATTTTTTTGGCCTAAGACAAGCATATTTTCTATACAACTCAACTGGATTGACAACGTTCCCTTCGTTCACCACCGGAAACACTCTTTTGATATTAGTTTTTTGTATCCGCAAGGGTAACTAAAAGGCAGCTGTTGTCTTTTTCTATGATGTCTTGCACTCGTAGAGAGTACAATTCTTCTCTTCTACATGCTCCACAAAGGCCAATGACAAGAGCTACCTAAAAATCAAATACAATGGAATAAGAAACCATCTATATATTTTAAAAATCATTATCGCAAACTTACCTTAGTAAGTAAATAAGTTTCATCACTAGCCGTGGCCAAAAAATCACCGATCTCTTTTATGGACAAAACCTTAGACTTTTAGGCTCGTAACCAACCGAATTCCTCTTCAAAAAGCAATAAGTTTTGGAAATTTGTCAATATAAATATCTTCTTTAACACTTAACACTGCTCTCAGCATGGAATATTTCGACCAAATTGACGATGGTTTGAATGTTTGTGACTGTAATTTAAGAATATTTTAATTTAAAAGCCTCTTTTAAATAGGTACCTAGGTACTTACTTTTTCGTGGAAATAATTTAGCAATACATCTTCATTTACAACGAATACGCCATTTTTGTCTTTCCATTCATTAAAAACATCATATTCTTTCTGGTAAATGGCACGAGACTTCACAGGAAGTAAATCCAACACGATTTCTTTGGCCTTATTAGCAATATGTTCGGGATTTTGGAACATTTTAAAATTGTTGATGAATTTGTGTGATTTTGTGACAAATTTCGAATGACATGTCAAAATGCGATGAAATAAACAAACTCGTTACTAAGATATGAATTTATAAGCCAACTTTTTCAAACATTATAATTTCAAATATGGAAAATTTGCAAATATGCGTTCTAAAAACTGTAAAAAGCGTATGACAAAAAATAGTGTATGTAACACGTACCTAAATTATGTTTTTTAGGACTCATCTACTATTTCGGACTCGGCTAACGCCTCGTCCGCAAACAGTAATGATTCGTCCTAAAAAACATCATTTTAGGTACTAGTTACATAAATAGCTATTTTATGACGATGTGCAAACGAATCAAATTTCCTGTGCGCAAAAATAAACTCGCGTAAAATAACAATAAACAGCGTAATAGAGATATCGCTAAACCGAATAGCGTGCATGAACGTTAATAAGGCCAGGTGTTATTTCCTTTACGTGAGGTGGTATTAACTCTCTTCATTTATAGTTATCGGATCGGAAAGAATTCTGATCGCGTCGCGTCCGCTATTTAAACTTAACCTAACTTTGAATTTAAAACTTTGAAATTGTTTTGTTTACTAGGTATTTTAAAACTAAAAGGCTAAAGTGCTTATTTTCAGTGCTTTATTGTTCAACGTCTGCCAATGGGTTTAGGGCAACAAGCAACAAATTCTCTTAGAAGGGCTAAGTCGTCATCTGCTGTAAACCTAAGACTCTTTATAGGTTCTTTAGTATTGGAAGAGGTGGAATCCATATTTTGGGCCATATTTATTTAATTAAAACTAATCCCAGCTACTTAAATATCAAATTACCTAATAAAACTAAAGCAATAATTCAAAACAATTCAAACATAACCTAAAATAAAAGATCTCGCCGGCCGGCTCCGGTTGTCAAATACCCGCACATGCCCATTTAAGCAATTTTTAAACGGTATCAGAGGTTATTTAGAAAGAGCGCTTGGTGTAATTGATCCGCAAATTACGTTATTAGCGGGTGTTGCGTTAAAAATTGACTCGCGCATATCGTAACCATGATAAGGTACGCGTAAATACTGGATGACGCTATTCGGTTTTCCGATATCTCTCTAATAACTGTGCCGGTCAGGCGCTGTGCACAATTTTAGAGGCCATAAGTGGGCGTGCTATGTGCGCAAACTAGTAACCTAACTAGTGCCCGATTCCGAAAATTGGAACCACGAAAAACAATAAAGAAAAAACAAAGATTATAATCTGTATAATCTGTGGCATTAGCAAGTTATGAGTAGCTATGTATTTTTCTGTCACTTACCTGCAGTGCACTAAAGCTAAACCCCCTTGAGACCATCTACTTCGTAGATTGCTACAAAACTGAAGTATGTCCCCTGTATCAGTGGGAACCCCAAAATCTGGCCAATCCAGATATTGCATATGCGTTACGTTCACTTGGACAAGGTCCTATAAATTAATTATTATATGTAGGATATAATTCTTATTTTATACTTCTGTAAATTAAGAAGGTGATTTTTACACCTATTCTAAAAAAATTGATATAAATATATGTCCTAAACTTCTTAACTTTTGAGATACTAGTGGTAAAATTTTCTATTTTTTTTTCATGTTTATCAAATGATTTTTTGATATAAGAAAATTAAGAAGTAATATAACTAATCTTTTTGTACAAAAACTATGCGTCGGACAAAAAATCAAGCGTTGAAAATTGTTTAGAAATGAATGAAGATTTTGAGTGTATCAGTGGCGTACCATATTTTCTTCAAAAATATTCGATATAAAAATTGTATGAACACCAAAAAACTGTGATTGTACACCAAAAACGGTATTTTAATGCATATGAAAATATATATTTTTTTGTTAAATGTTTGTTTCTGCATCTCAAAAGTTAAAATGTTTAGGACACACGTTCATATTAAGTATTTGCTTTAGAATAGGTTCAAGGTCCTATTAGGTCCCCTTAATTATTAGTATGTCATTATGGAACACCCTGTATATTACATTTTAAAATATTTGGTATCAAGTGTCAGGTTTTTGTTTACATTTTTTTTTGTTTATATTTTTTTGTTAATTAAATGAAAAAAAAACAATTTAGCAGTTGACAGGTTTTTTTTTATCTCACTTTAATATTATAATAGTATTTCAAACTTACTTTCTTGGTAGGTACTTACTTTTTTCACTTGAAGAGTTCTTATACAGTATACTCCCAAATGAAGTTCGGTACTACATCTAACTTCTATGTCATCACCTACAGTCATGATTTGATGGTTGTTTGGAAAATATTTATAACATTTATCCTGTAATTTAATAAGGCACATAAGTGATAGATTTATTTAAACTTTGACAAGAAGATTGGTGACTTACTCTATTATTTTCTATAAATTTCGACACCATAACTATTATGGTGACGTTTTCTTGTATCACCATCTTCCAAAAGTCTCTACAAGTGCCAGGCAGAGGTCCTTGAGTAGCAATGTACTCCACTTCATTTGAATAACCCTGTATAAAAAATAAATCTAAATTCATTACAAAGAACAATTATCGTAAAGTTTGTACAACCGTCTATCAACGTTACGTCATATTGATGTACTCTTTTTTTCACCTGATACCGGGATGAAATGATAATGTACGTCTACTGCTAGATCTGTGTTTACAAAAAGAATTTCAAAAATGCAGACACAATATTGGAGTATGGTCAGTTTACTACAAAACATATATAATGCGAAGCGGAGTATGTCACCGCAAACACACGCTGCTCATTCGTTATATTGGCCACTTGCAAATTTGTCGAATTTTTATTGACGGGATGCACCGCCTAATTTTTTTACAAGAACGGTAGTAGACCGAGCTTGGAGAACAGTTCAGTCGTTACCGGTCACATGTATCTCTGCATCTCTACAAAAAACATGAAAATGGGACATCCTGTAGAGCAAATTATAAGTTGAAACACAACCAAAATGAAGAAAAGCCAAACATACTAATAATAATAATAGTTTCCCGTATACGGCGTTTACACGCCTTAGGAGTAGCAAGGTACAGCTTGTGATACTGGAGCCGTTCGGTATACAAGGAAGATAATGTGGCCGGTACTATGCTTAACCGCCTAACAACAGGATTGTGAATCCCAAGTATTCATTTCCAAACATACCTACATACTTTAAATTAATAAAATCGGAACGCGCTCGGTTACTCATTTCTGAACGTACTTGAAATTTTCTAAACAATATGAATTGAGCTACAATATGAATTGACACACACCCTAAAGGATTAGATAAATAAATGACGACGCGACCTAACGTTGACGATTGTTGTACGGAGTATTACACTTCTTTTCTTAGTTTTCTTTTTAAAATCCTAATAAATCCATTTAGATGCTAAATGAATTAAATAAAAGTAGTGACTATATGTATTTAAATGGAGAAAACATTAAGGGTAAATGTATTTGTTCAGTTAAAACTTACTTTTACATATGAAGCATTGATGTAATCAGAACATATTTCGTCATCTTCGTCTATGTTTAGTTTTACACGGCAATGGTCCCCTAAAATAGAAAAAAAGCCTTTGACCATCAATATTGTAAGTAGCTTCTTCGCCAAAAAAGTTTCGATCTATAAGGGTGAGGACACACGAGGCGGCTTAAAAACGGCGGCGACGTCGACACTTTGTTCCTAGTTGCTTGTAACCGCTCTGCGGCCGCCGGCGCCGCCGTCCGTGTGTTTTGTACCATTCAAGTCTCATTGAAAAGCCTACACAGGCGGCTCAACTCGCGGCGCACAGTGCGTTGGATGGTCATTCTAGCGGGACAACAATCTTGTATTTTTTTATTCACTAATAAATTAAATTGTTAATAAATGAATTTAACTCTATGGTTACTATATATTAGACCATTTGCTACGTTCTTAGATTTTATTTAAATCTCAAACATCGCTACTGATGTTTTGTCCCGCCAGCCCCGGATCTAAGGGGGGGCAAACCGGGGCGCCTGCCCCGGGCGCCAATGAAGCGCCAATGTCAGGGGGCGCCAAAATCATAATATAATATGGTTGAAAATCAAAAAAATTGCTCCACAAAGCGCCTAATACGCACCTTACGTTCTTTTATCAAGTATTCATTTAATTTTAAAACGTCCAGTTAGTCTAAACTGTCCCGTTTACGAAAAATTCCTACCTATATTTCATATCAATTAAACTTTTAGTTACGTAATCAAGAGCGCGATTTTTAAATTCATTGTTGCCAACCATGGACATATTCGACGCCGTGCTGACAACTAGAATTTAAATTTCACGCTGGGGATTCAGGTGGTAGCTCTGCTGTAAAAAAATGTCAAGTTGCCGCATTTATTTATTTATTTCCTGACATTGTCATTCGTTTTAACACTTTAGTTTTGTATTACGAGTTTTTGGTTTAAATAAATAGAGTTTTGATACTTAAGCTCGAAAATGTTTACTAGCAGACCTTGCAGTCGAACAATGTTCTTTTTAGAACCTCTTTTAGTGCGAAGTGTACAAGATAGCTTAATAGCTGTAACAAACTCATCGCAAATGTATTATGGGAAAGCAGCAGTAATGACCCTTTATGTCCCTTAAGTGCTGTTAAAAAGGTGAGTTCTGTTGATGTAAATAATAACTGTTAATATTATTTATAATTCATTTATTTTTTTTACGTAAAATATTTTGATTAAAAGAAAATATATAAAAGTGGACAACGCTGTGTCAGTCAAGCTTAATCACGTGACTAAAAGTTTATTTGATATGAACTGTATATCTAGATTTCTAGATATTTGTAAGTTTTTTAAATTAATTTGTTTCAAACGCTGGAGAGAGGAGGCGCTACTATCAGTTTTTTTCCCCGGTTCAAAAAAATTGTAGAGTGTTCCGCGCCGCCTCGACGAAAAGCCGCCTCGTCTGTCCTCAGCCTAATTTTTGATCATAAAACTAACTGTATCTCAGTAAAGTCTGTTCTACCAGAGAAGGGGTCACACGACATCCAAAAATTAGCAGAACAAACAATTTACTTTTTATTTAAAACCACAAACAACACTATAATTATTTGCGCGTTTGAAAATGTCTGTAATTTTGAGTTAAAAAAATGTAGTTATATAGGATAAGACTCTTTCAAAAAACCTCTACAGGGTATTTTTGAAAAGTGGCTCACCGATCTATCACCCCTTAAAATACACTTGCACTTATTTAAGACACTCTATAAAAAGAGCGGTTTTGAAATTAGATAATTTTTACTTAATTTTTTACACTTTTAAAGCTCCCTCAGCTAACTAAGGAACATATCCCTCTGATTTCTAAAACTAGTATATTATAACATAAAACAAATATAGAATGTTCAGTCATCGTTCAACGTCACGTCATATATTGTCGAACTCCCTCAGGGTGCATCCATACTATCCTAAAAACGGCGTATCGGCGTAACGGCGTAACGACCTTGAATCGATTTCCAGTAATTCTATTGGCTGAAAAATGCATCTGTCAGAAATTTTATCTATCAAATTCATTTGTCAAAAATTTCAGCCAATAGAATTACTGGAAATCGATTCAAGGTCGTTACGCCGTTACGCCGATACGCCGTTTTTAGGATAGTGTGGATGCACCCTCAATCACTTGACAACCAAATAAAAGAGATTGGTGATGTCATTACGGCATTTCGTAAATTTCAGCATATTCTTTTTAGTAATTGTCATTGTCATTTAATTTGGGGTTATAATTTTCTTGACGGACATCGATCAATGTCAAAATTTTCTTTTAGCAATTGTCATTGTCATTTGATTTGGAGTTACAATTTTATTGACGGATATCGATCAATGTCAATGTCAAAATTAAAAATGGACTGTTGGTGTCGAACCAAATTCAATTTTTTTAATTGCAAAAATGTCTCAAATATTTAATAATATATATATATATATATATATATATATATATATATATATATATATATATATATATATATATATATATATATATATATATATATATATAAACAAGAGCTCATTGCTAAGCTTATAAATTATTTTTCTCGTGAAAGAGACGTTGGTAGAACTCTAGATCATATACATATACTTACGTGGATAAGTCAACGCCATAAGTTTAGCATTAAAAAATGTCTCCAACATTACGACATGCCATTTTAAAATCTTTATTGCACTTATGAAACGTTCAATAGGTTTGTCCTTCTCGAGGACCTTACTTTGCGCATGCGCATTAAATGTTGCACGTATTTCCAAAATAATCACAATTTTATACGGTTTAGAAAGTACAAATTATACATTGTTATGGAAACCAACTTTTCATTGTCATCATATCGTCATAATCATATGTCATAATCTTATTTCCATTGTGCTATGCCATTGTGTAGCGACGCGACGTTTGGTTTTGGCGTTTTTTTATTTTAGAAATTATATTAATTTATTCTTTTATCGACCGCTTTTAAATAGCCAAGGATGCAAGTGTGTTCAGTGAGTAGTTAATTTTAAGTTTGTTCAACTATATTTCTATTTTTTTTTTCGTTGGACTTTCTATATACTCGTAAAAATGACTAGAAAATGTTTAGTGTGTGAAATTTATAATATAAAGGAATTATCTTTTTATACGCAAGTAAAGTATTCAGTTGTTCTTTTATATATATTAAGCCACATGCATACTTTCTAGTTAGATTTCCTAAGAATATTGATATTCGTACAGAGTGGCTAAATGTATTTTTTATATGATTTAACTTTTGTGACAGTAAACATTCAATTTATTGTTCAAATATAAGCATTTTACAAATTAAATTTTTAAAATTAATGTTCAAATTTGGCGCGAGGACGATAGGTCCTCGACAAGGATAGATAGAGTAGAAGCACCGCGTGTGCAACAAAAAAAGAAGATAAATGGAAGTCGTTGATATGTTTGTGACAGTTTTCATAGTGATTTACTTATCCACGTAAGTATATATGATCTAGGGGTAGAACACACTCTTGCCCGTGGAGGCCGTATATGAAGTAGGTACAATGCAAAGGTGTAATATTCCTATGTAAAATACAAATTGACAGCATTTTTAAATAATATAGCGAGTTGCCGATGCTCTAGAAATAGGAATTTCAACCGTCCAAAGGATTGGAACTAAAATGTTCGTAACTGATGAAGAGTTCAAGAAAAAATGAATAAATGGCGAAAAAAAAACGGAACTCGCTCAATCAATAATAACTTAAAACAATATGAACTGATCTCAGACACACACTAAAACTCATATTTGACAAATAATGATGACGTAGCGTTGAACGATGGCTCAACAGTACTTATATAGTATTAATTAAATTATTTGATTCTATCTATACTTACATGGTAAAATATTAGGATATCTATTCTTTCTCCTATTTTCTGGCAACGTGGCGAACGCAGTTTTGAATTCCACGTCGTTATTTTTACTATCCTCATTTAATTTCTCCCATTCGTCTTTTTGAACGTCTGGATTTTGTTCTAAATAATCACAGTAAGCTATGAATTCCTTCACTTTTACGTTGCGGCCTGCCGTGATTATGATAGGTTTATTTTTTCTCCTACAAAATTAATTAAATGTTTTAATAACATTTTGGCAGGTTAGATTTGACTAGGACAGTTAGTAGATAATAGATATTGAGTCAGAGATTATCAGAAAATTATAGATTAAAAAATATTAAAACGCTTGCGAAGATTCACAATAATCTCACTGTAAGACAAGATCTGACACAATAGTTTTCCAGATTTATACACTCCAGATTTTTACACTACATTAAAACAAATAATTATAACATAAACAACACATCAGACAAAGTACTACAAACTGACAAAAACGGTATTTCACAATGGATACCATGATATTTTGTTGTTCTTCTTCGATGCGTTTAGCCAATTTTAAAGTCATAGCATTTGTTAGGTACATTAAGAAAATAATAATAAGCTGAGTTTAGATAGGATATATTCTATATAATATACCATCCTGGACACTTCATCTGCGTGGTCTGTATTTTAATGCATGCGACAGAGATAAATATAAATGACCGGTTGACAGACAGAGAGACAAAATAAAAAGCGGCATTCAGTGTTGCCGGTTTTTACGTGTGTAGGAAAATGTGTGTAAATAAAAATAAACTATTTTAAAAACTTCCATGTATACTACTGAAATGAAGATAATATATTATCTAAGCTAAATATAATATATTAGAGCTGTAGTAAAATGGGTAACTAATTGTGAAAAATTTTGCAACATTTTTCGTAAACGCCTACTTATGCAGTTTGAAATATTGATGCAAAATCTGGCAATACCGCATAGAAGAAATATATCAATCCAACTTTTATCTCTTTTTTAAGCTGTCTACATCACTGTCCTACACGTTAAAATTCAGACCACGCAGTTTCGATGACCAGATCGGTTTAACAGAAATAGATATGCAAAAATCTTACTCTTCTTCCGACAACAAGGCTGTCATATTTTCGTGATCCTCCGAATTTTGATTATGATTTGATTGAAATATCATTAAACTGATCTCTCTAAAATAATTATAAATTAAGTAAAAATTAATCATGACGTTAATTATAGTAATAATTATTAAATAAAAAATGTGCCTTTTGTTTTTCTTTTTTAATTATAGAGTGTGCTACTCAAACAAGTGCAAATATTTTTAGGGGTTGCCCACCTCAATAAAAGAATGTATTTTGTATTTTAAATATATCATCAAGTACATCCAAAATTACAGTTATTCAAGTTTAATAAAATTGTTGTCAGTCAGAACACACAGAAGTAAAATTTTTATAAATTGCATTTTTCTAAATAGAATGCTCTATGTCTCTGATTCTTAAGAGAATAGACAATTTTTTTTATTTTAAAAATATAGTAGGTATTTATTTTAGAGATTAGGGTTTTTGAAACCAAATATTTTATTTAGGTGTTCAGATTTAAAAGAATACTTATTTTACATTAAGAGTTGAAAATGTTTTGAATTATTAAAATTTTGCGCCTATTTTAGACAAACGTTATCGCCTTAAGATATGGCTGTCTTTCAATTTTTTTCTTGTTTGACTTTCTTTCAATTTGAAATGTATTTTATAAATTAAAAAATGTATAATTTTTTCAATTATGTCGTTAAAAATATGTTTAAGTGTTTTCCAAAAATGCATAGAAATGTTTAAAGAAAAATACAAGATTTTCAATACTTTATAGTCGTAAAAAAATTATACTCGTGTTTCTGAGGTCGAAATAATATACAATCTGTTAAAATATTTGCACGGCTCTAAGAAACACCCTGTATAATAATTTAGATACAAATTAAAAAGGAACAATAATTAGTTGTACTTCAAAACCATAATAAAATTTGTGCTAATTTCTGCAATACTAACAAAAACAGTGTAAAAAAAAACAAAACAATGAATAAATACATTTATAAACGAAAACAACGGTAACAGACAGGTACATTTAGAAAAATATATGACGTTAATTGAACATGATTCATATATATATATATATGACCTACTTACTTAAATATTCCTTTTCGCCATAACAAGAAACCTAGAAATCCCATTACTGAGATAAATAGTAGCCCAAAAACGAGTCCTAAGATTAGACCAAGGTTTCTTTGTTTCTCAGTTACGAAAGATGCTAATAATTTGCTACCATAGTAGTTTCGGTAAAAGTACGAAATTACTATGTAATATTTGGTATCTGATTGAAGTTCTCTATTACAATATGGTTCATTTTCAGAACAACTAGAATTTGTACCCAGTTGAAAGCTTGGATTGCTTGAATCTGTAAAAATAATAATTACCTGCTATGAGTACCATCATACATTTCTATAACTGGGGCATTTAAGCTCATAGAGACATATAAAAGAGAAACCGATATACATTTATTTTTTGACCCAACAGATACAAGCAAAATGTAAACAAACAGTATTTTTTATTTGATCGGACACTTAAATATTTTTTTCAATATTTGACATCATTGGTGACTATTCAAATCAGTTAAAATATATGTAGGTGGCGCCTCCTACAAATAGGAGTCATATTGACATGGAAATTGAATTTCCCATGTAAAAAATACCCAGACACTAATTTTCATCCAAATATTGATATTAGTTCAGAAATTCTTTGGAAAAAATCGAAATAAAATCGAAATGCAACCTCTACTCCCTGTATCTCCGAAACGAAGTATTTTAGAACATAAATTTATACGAACTTTTTTTATCTATTTTTCATCAGTAGAAAAGGCTCCCGAAGTTTTCCGAATACAATTCGGGGTCACCCTGTATATAAACCATGATAATATGGTAGATTATAGATTGGGGTTGGAACCTTTAATATTACAACAGCAAAATAAAACATTAATTCACTACAATACATAGGCGTGTCCAGCGTTAAAAATACACTGTTTTGGTGTATTGTGGTGAATTAATGTTTTATTTTGCCTGTGGTAGATAAGAGTATTAATTAGAAAATAAGTTACTTACCGAAAAAAGGTGTCCAAAACTTTGGACTAGCTTGATACGCCAATGTAGTGTTCAAAGAAGGCCACATAGTGTTCGTCCACAAACAGTATTCTTGTTCCTCAGTGATATCTTCGTTCCAAATAGTGATAGCCCAGTACAGAACGTCATCGTTACTTGAAGCTAAATTTACAATAGCGGTGTTTGTTGAAATGTCGGAAATACTGACATTTTCATAGAAAATTGGTGGCTCAGGAACTAGTCAAAAAAAGAAAAATATGATAGTAAACCAATTAATTATAAAGTTCATTGAGAATTAACTAATTATGATTTTTTCTTTGCATTTTCGCACTTATTTACCAATTATTTACTATTTATCAAAAATAATTAGAATACGTCAATTTGTATGAATTTTTGTAGTATGTGAAATGTATGAATTTTAGTAGTATGTGTGAATTTTGTATGAATTTTAGTAGGGTATTCGTATTTCTGTCATTATAGTCTGTTTCTTAATGCTTGATAGCACAGCGAGAAAGGCTGGGGCCATAAAACATCATAAACCATAGGCGCTACAACTTTTACAAATCCCATCTGCCGACTTTTTTATTTAATAAAATAAATTGTTTTGCCCTTAAATGAGCTTGGAATGAGCCGAAATCGTCCCAAAATAGATTGCAACAAAAAATTGTTCGCTTTTTATTACGTTGACTGATGAAAAAGTTCCTCAGAACCTCCAACCGAGAAAAATCAAAGGTTTTCCTTGATTTAAGTAAAAACAATCTTCGGATTGTCACGGGGTTTCTAACAGGACACTGTCTCCTCAACGAACACCTCAGTAGGCTTGAGAAAGAGAAGCTGAGAAAGAGAAGCTTGAGAAAAAGAAGCTGAGAAACAACGGCGAATGCAGATTTTGTGGGGAAAATGGGGAAACACCAGAATACCTTATCACTGAATGCGCCGCCGAGACGCCGACCATTCGTGCCATGAACTTTGGTACGGCTGATGTCGAGGATGGAGAGCTGGCCTCTGTAGAGCCGTCTCAGATACTGGCTTTTGTCAAAGCCCTGAGACTGTATGATGAGTTATAACTCAAGAAAGGGGAACACACAATAGATCTATAAGGTCGCGGTGATTAACTCCTCTCCTAAACATTCTACATTCTACGTTCGCTGATCGTTCTGATCTCTGTATTGTGTGGTATAATAGCTACCTGATGACTTTATGTGGTTATGAATCCCACCAACTTATACCTGTAAAATATATTTTTGCTATATTTTTATGTATAGCTGTCAAACATTACTTGCATTCAGTATCTCTAAGATGGAGAGATTTATTCCAAGCAAGATTAAAGATTTCTTTGTGCATCAACATCCCTCAGCTACTGTGAGAAGTCTAGTTACTGAAATGTTCAAATATTACGGGAGCTGGTGAAGTTACGATTTATAGAGTTCTGAAAGAGAGAAAAAGTGGAACTGTTTGTGAGCCCAAAACATCTAAAGGGAAAAAGCCATTGATTGTTGATGACTGTTCTAGAAGCATAATAAGGAGACACGTGCACGATTTTTAGTTAAACAAGGAAATACCAACTCTCGAAAAATTCAGAAAGTTGTAAATGAAGACGAAAACTTGCCGGTCATGGGAAGAAAGAAACTTTGGACAACTTTAAAGGAAATCAACTGCTCATGGGAAAAGTACAACCGGAAGTCTGTACAAAATATATTTTAACAAAACTTAAAATAAATCTTAAAACTGTAATACCCGACCCTGTGCGGTTAGTCCCTGAAGATCTTTATTGCCTATTGTTATACGAGCAACCCCTATTATACTCGGCACAAGTACCGGATGTGTCCATCTACAAACGTGTTAAAGCTGTCTGAATTTCATTGGAACATATACCCTTAAAATGAAATTAGTCCCATCTATTGGCATGTCAGACTGTACACAACAACACGCATTTTGCATTTATAATGAGGGTCTTGTGCTATCAAGCATTAAGAAATAGAGAGACTATAAATAATCATATTAACTTATTATGATTTTTTTTTCGTGCAAATATATTTTTTTAGCAATTTTAATAATTACATATTAACGTATAACTAAAACTAACTAAAAAATAAAAAAAAATTATCGCCAATGCTAAATCAGAACATAGTCTTTTTATTTAATGGTTTAACAATACCTGGTAAAGGCATTCCACTCCAAGATACTTCACTTCCATTAACATTTCCATTAGTAGCCTTAACACCGATTGTATAGTTCACTCCCACCATAGCGTCGTTGTACACATAACTACAGCATGACACTTCATCCTGTCTGTCATTGCCAATGTCACAGGTGGACCACACCACTGCAGGTTTCCTAGATGTCTTGATGTTAACCGTCACTATATAAGTTTGTGTGTTATCTTTGGGGGCTTCCCAAGTTAAATTAAAGCTTGTTGAATCTAGCCGTGCGATGCTTAAATTCTGTGGGTCTATTGGAGCTAAAAAATAATTTTAGAATTTTTTTTATAAAATTAAATTTTACATGGTCAATATTGGCAATATTAAAACTACTGCCTTATATATTGATTCTATGACTATAGTATAATTTATTTACTACCACGTAATAAATGTTATGTATGCTGACAGTACTGACACTTTTAGTTTTAAGTCTATTACATTATGTGTATGTAAGTACTCACTTGGATTTGTTGTGGTAGTTGATGGTGTCGTCGTTGCAACTGTTGGGGTAGACGATGTAGTGATAATAGATGATTCTGTCGTAGATGATTCTGTAGTAGAACTAGTGACTGTAGATGTTCCTGTAGAAGAGTTTTGGGTGGTAGACGACTCCGTAGTAGAATTCTGTGTTGTAGAAAATTCTGTTGTAGAATCTTGGGTTGTTGGCGATTCTGTCACAGAACTTTGCGTCGCTGAGGATTCTGTAGTCGAACTTTGGGTGGTAGAGGTTTCACTTGTTGAAGACGTTGTAGTTTCAATTGTAGATGATGAAATTATTGTAGACGAACTGGCAGAAGGTTCAGTCGCCAGGGATTCATTTAAATTGTTGTCAGTATTGTTCATAGACTCGTCTATAAAAAATATAAAAATTGCTTCGTAGTCCTTATTATTTATAATTAATCCGTCTATTAAGAAAATATACAGCGTGTATCTTAAATAAGAGCAAATATTTTATGGGATTGTATCTCTGATTGTGGCCGGACAAAAAAATATATGTTCTATTTGCCATTTTCAAAATAAACTAAAATTCGACGCCCTGTGTTGCCACATGGACAAGAAAATAAACACTTAACTTGAATGAAATACTTCGTAATATGGCGATATAAGTATTTATAATATACTTATATAAAAATATGTATGTGTGTTTTAAAAACAGGTAAAATTGTAACATTGGGATTTTCTAGAATTATTAGTAAGCTCACTGACATAATTAAATTTAATTTTCGTAATTTATTCTATAGAAAATTAAAATTGCTGTGATCTCATAAACACACAAATTTACAGTAAGGGGGTAAAGTACGAGGTGGCAACATTGTAAGGCTTCGATAGTCTGTCAAGAAATTTCAGGAGAATGAACCTGTGGTAATAAAAAGTTATGAAGTACACTGAGAAATATACTACCAGTTAAATGACTGCACATATTTCAGAGACGTTCGTATGTGATTTCGACAAAATGATAAAAGAAAATAATCTATTTTTGAAATAAAATGACAGAAAACTGCCATAATATTCACTACACAGATTATACTTTTATACATTATGTTATAGTTACCCTGAGATCCAATGTTGTAATTCCTAGCTTTTATGGCTAAGTTGCTTTTTACTGTAACGTTTTCTGTAATATTGGTACTCTGATGTGGCACTTCCATAACTCCTGAAATAATAAAAACATATATTTATACATAGATATGTAAATAAAATATTGTCTAACTATATACATCGATTTGTTTTGATATAACATATATTATAAGCAAAATGTAAACAAACAGTTTGTTTATGTACAGTTATTAATGAAGATTAATACACTTTTTTAAGTGGCTATCTAGCATTTTTCTGTTTACGTCTTGTTTGTATACAGGTTGTTAATTTGTTTATTACTCGCGGCAAGAGCTTTATGATTGAAATATGGCAACCTCGGCCCGCTCGTCGACAGACGACGCGACGGGACGGTTCACTATAGTATAAATATTGTATAAAATTAACTGCTTACCTGATGAAATAGACGTTAGTAAATCACTGTTATTGATATTTGGTAAGCTTGTATTATCTGTGCTATATTTTGGTGTACTAAACTCTTTGATTTCTTCTGTTGTTGATGACGTAGTCTGTTCTTGCTGATAGTCTGCTCCTAAAATATACCTATATTTTCAGTATTCAGTCATTAACATACGTAAATTAACAAATTTTGATTTGTACCTTCTGTAACATGAGTTGTTTCGCTTGACAGAGTTGTGGGAGTTGTAAAATTCAAATCTTGGTCAGAGAATGCTGCATCTAAAAGTAGATATTTCTTTATTACAACTTATAACAATTCCTTGCCTAATGTGAAGCGGACACCACAGAAAAAATATACAGAGTGAGTCTTAAATAAGTGCAAATATTTTCAGGGCTTAATTTTAACACCCTGTAGATCAGAAAGGAACTATCTTAGACCTCATATTTAAATGACCTTTTTTTCCCAAAAAAAAACATATGAAAAATCACACCGTAAATTTTTAGACTATTTAGGAAACGCCCTGTATATTTATTAATATTTCTTTTTCGGCCACGTTGTAGATTTTATTTCAAATACATTCATTCACCATTCATTCAGAAAAACTTGAGAAGTGTAAATTTGTCGACTATGTTATATATTTCATAAATATCAAAAAGGAAATGCAACGTTTATTATTATTAACAAACTCTACGAGTATTATTGTATTAATTATTGCTTACTTGTATAAATATCCGTCGTGTTATCAGCGGTAGTTGTGGTCTCCTCATGTGATACATAGTTTTGATCTAAAAAATATACACAACAATATACAGGGTGATCCAGTATTTCAGCAAATAGTTTCAAAAAATTTTCAGTTGTACAGGATGATCAAACATATTTTTATAGCACTCTTGTATTTTTTTTAAAGAAAATACTGCATATTTTTTGCTGAGTGTATTATTTATCATTAAATTCCAATTTTAAAAATATCACATTCATAATCTTTTCCGAGTGGTTTTAAAATATCACCGTTGATTGATGTTGGGTATGACGTAGTCAAGAGAAAAAGAAGAAATAAGAAGATTCGCAACCTGCCCGAGATGTAGCTCGCGATACCGTCAGTCGGTCCGAGATTTAGTTTAGCTCTACGCCGCTGCGCGCTGGCAGTCGTTTACAGCGCAGCGTATAAAGAATACTGTAACCGTAGTTCCAAAGTAAGTTAATCGACGAGTAGCGACAGAAACCGTCGCGTCGGCTCTTTTGATCATATACGTATTACTTTTTACAAATATACTCAGGGTTCCCTATTTAACTCCGTGTGCAATTTCTGTGCCGTAAGAAAAAGACAACATAACCCAGCTCCATATTAAAACTGCATAAGTCTATTTCACCCGGATATGGATTGAACTGCGATTCGCCAAACTCCGATTGATTGTTGTTTTAGTTCTGTTTGGATTACTTTTTATTTGTGCGCGTAAAAGAGTGATTTTGTTTAGTTTATTGTTTCCAACTATTTTTTGATATTTTTCCAACTCCATGATAATGTGTTATAAATAATAAAAATATAAATAAAATTGAACGTTAGGGGAAATGTCAGTCATATGTCAGTCAACCACTTCCCTTTAAAAACATCGACCAATGAAAACTTCTTCAGGTGAGGCATGCTCAGTTAAATGAATATCCGGGTGAAATAGACTTATGCAGAATTCCATATTGTTCTTTCACTGTTTGGGCTTCACTTTTTGGAGATTAGGCTGAGTATATTTGTAAAAAGTAATACGTATATGCTTTTGATGTGGTGGGACCAAATTTTCTTTCTCTCTTTTGACGTGTTTGACAGATAGACTACCTATTTAACTGCTCAACTTATGAAGTGGTCCTATAAACATGGTATACACTGCTCATAATTTGAAGTGGAATTAATTATAAAGTTTTATACATATTTTTTTTTGTTTTGTTTAATCCCTGTTTCTAAATTTGAATGTTTAAAATATCTTACAGCCAATAAATAATTAAAAAAATGATTCGTTGCCTGAGGCATACTTGAAATAGAATATATAGAGATATTTGATAAAGGGCAACAGTGGCAACTTCGCTTCTTCATATGACAGATAGACTACCTATTTCGCGCAGCCGCAAATAAAATTGAAAACCGGACTGTCGCTACTCGTCGGTTAACTTACTCTGGTAGTTCTGCTTTCAGTCGACAGAGTGGTTGCCGGAGACAGTGTTGCCGGAACTACGAATTAATCCGTAGATTTACGGATTTTGGGTACAATACGTTAATATAATACGGATTTTCTATCATTAAACAATTTAATATAATATTATATGATTGAACAAAGAACGGCGTCAGAGTTGGCTTGGAAATGAAGATCGCTGTTATCTCATATGTAAAAAAGTATTATGGCAAATGTCAATAATCGTCATTTCCAAGCCAACTAAAGGACTTTTTTCGATCATACGACATATTCAATACCTATAAAAGGATTTTTATTTTTGTTGTTTATTTTGTGTTTAACAAGAATACATTTTCAATACATAAACGGGGATTTTTCATACAAAGATATTTTCGTCAAACTTTTAGTTCCACACCGTCTTTGATATGCCTTCGCTAGCCGCATTAGAGAAAATAAGTGTTTTATGCGTTGGCCGCAGAAGGATTGGTGCCTCCACCGTACAGCACTTGAGACGTAAGGGGAAATCAAATCAGCCTTTTCACGAATTCGCTCATTAGGTTGCGTACTTTCCAAATTCTTTCAATCAGCGATGTCAATATTTTTACATTAATTAAATTTTCTACCATTTTACAGCTCTGTAATTTACAGCGATTTAATTTTAATTATAAATATGATTTAACAAAAATCAGTAGTGTGAAATATTTAACACGCATTTAATATACTAATTTAAATTCTCTCCAACTCATATTGACGATTGTAGAATGATAATTAAATCTTTTTGAATAATGTCCTATGAAATTCGTTACTGATTGGGTTTTGTACAGGTTGACCCAGAGAATCATAAATACGCACTATCACTATACAGACATATATACAGGGAGATCACTTTTACATTGTTCCAATTAATTTTGTGACTGTAAGCAGCCTGTACAGGGTGGACCATTTTGGTTGTTTCTATAGGGTATCTAGGAAACCATGAGAAATATTCAAATTTTGATACTGCAGTCTCGGGTTCTTTTTTTGAAAAAATTGCAATGGCTCAAACGGATCGTGGCTATCTTGATCGGTTTCGAAGCTACAGGGGGATTCTCAAATTTTGTACTTTTTGAAGATGTTCGATAGTTGGTTTATTTCAGCAACCACGGAAAAATGAATTATACATTATAAAGGCACTTTTCTGTGTAGAATGCAGTGGCGTAGTAACTTTTTTCGAAAAAAATATTTTTTGAGATATTAACTATACTTATGTTTTTTTTAAATAAAATCCCCTGTATATTTTTAAATTTTCTTATTCAGCTTGGCATGGGCTTCTCGAAAATATATAACACTCTATGTTTATTTTCACTATTAACCTCAACATTTCAATTTTTTCTTGAAATATCCACTTAGTAGATATAGTAGGCCGCGCCGAGTAACAAAGTAAACGGTTGTCATGGTGATCGGGACATACCTTTGATGGATGCGTGACATTTCATTTCAGCAAATTGAAGTGTGTGTATTTTAAATAATAAAAAAATGAGTAAATTTGAAAATGTTGAGTAATATAATGTTAGAATGTTATATTGAGTCTAACAAACATAAGCAAATGGCAGCTGATTTATATTTTAAGCGGTATCCAGAGCGCGAGAAACCTAACTCAGCCATTTTTAAAAGGTTAGAAGATAGTTTCAGTTATACACATGAACTTGGGCATCTCGTAGTTATCTCTGATAGTTTAATCATCTATCAGAAAGAAGATGAATAAAATCAAATATTAATGTCCTCGGAGCCGTAACATTAGATCCAACAACATCAAGTAGAGCTATTGAAATGCTGTTAACGGCGGTGTGCGGAGACGGCACCAACTCTGTCTAGATAATAATGGGCAGCAGTCTGAACATTTAATGTAGTCTTTGTGTTTTTATTTTTTTTTATATTAACTGAAAAGCCCGATTGAAGTAACCTCTTGAGTTTATATTAAAATATGTTCTTTTGTTTCTGTCACACTTATTTTTTATTTGCTTCGTATTGTTCGATTTTATTTAATTGCTAATTCATGTATTCGTCTCCGAGGATATTAACATATTGATTTTCTTCATCTTCTTTCTGATAATTTTTCGGACGCGGTTTTTGAAAAGATCCAAAAAAAAGAACCCGAGACTGCAGTATCAAAATTTGAATATTTCTCACGGTTTCCTAGATACCCTATAGAAACAACCAAAATGGTCCACCCTGTACAGGTGTCTCTTAAATAAGCGCAAGTATTTTACGAAGTGGTAGATCTGGACAAAAGAAACAGTATTTTCTATATACGATTTCTAAAATACATTGAAAATATTCGAGAATCAATTCGAGATATTTAATTTTGAAGATTTCTAAATAATGTTAACATTTTGAGTCAAGAATATTGACTCATATTAACAATTAATTGTTTGTATTATTGTATTTTTTCAGTTTATTTGAAAATAATTGTAAAAATGTATTGGTTTGTGTATTTAATGTTTAAAAATAAATACAGTGCGTTTTTGTAGAATTATTAGCCGACCATACCAACAGGTATGGTAAGCTATTAAAATCGGCAAAAAAAATATTTTTAATTTCACTCAAAATGAGTTATTTGGGTCATAAATGACCCAAACACATAATATTTTCATGGTGTCTGTCTGTATGTCTGTCTGTCCGTCTGTAACACGATAACTCAAAAACCGCTAAACCGATTTTAACCAAATTTGGCACAAAAATACTGTGGCACCCGAGAATCTGGCCATTAGTTTTTGATGGGGTGGGGGGTTGGTAAGGGGGTATGGGAGGAGATTAAAAATTTTAAAAAATCGTAGCTCCAAAATTACAGTAGCTAGCGAAACGCGGTTTTCAATTTAAGATTAGGAATAATATTTGCAACAAAATTTGTAATAACATCAAAATCAGTCAAAGTCGCAGTTTTTGAGATATTCCGTGTTCAAAATTGGAAAAATTCCTTTACTTTGAAACTAAAAGATCTGCCTACCAACTTTTTATTAACATATTTTAATATGGGCGGCTATACGTGCCTCCCGGCGCCAATTTTTGGTAATATCACTGATATAGTTAAAATTAACGTAAAAATATAATATATCGAATATACAGGGTAAATCTTAAATAAGTGCAAATATTTTCAGGGCTGGTAGATCTCGATAAAAGAAACATATTTTCTCTTTGCCATTTTTACTAAAGGTGCGTATTCATTATCCGAACGAACGAATGAACGAACGAACGAACGAATGAAAGTGCGGTATATTTAGACGGGGACCGAACGCATGCGGCCGTTCGTTCGTTCGTTCGCTCGACCATCCGTTTCGAGTCGGTACATCAAAGGCGTTCGCCAACAAATGCCTCCGGTCTTCTCGTGCGGTTCTATCGTACGGTCCCCGTCCATACCACTAGCGAACATTCGTTCGTTCGTTCGTTCGTTCGTGCGGATAATGAATACGCACCTTAATGTCCAATTAAGTCCAAAATAACCGAGTTATTTAAGTTTGAAAATTAAAAAAAATATATTTTTTTTGGAAAAATTTTGAGAGCCACCGGATTTTTTTTCTGTATTTGCATCCCTTTTAGTGCCGTAACCATAGAGTAAACCTCTAACTATGGTAATATCACGGGTAATATCATATCAGGGATTAAGAATTTATACCGTGGGAAAATTTGCGGTGAACAGGCAGTTCTAAAAAGTTTTCTAAAAATATACAGGGAAATTTAAAAGAAAATGCACCATTTTCAACATCTTTTTTTGCGAAAAAAACCTCATAGACGTGTTCCTGGTGTCGAAATATACCACCCCTGAAATTTGTGCACTTATTTAAGACTCACCCTGTATAATCGTTATAAAACGAATCGTTATATTACGAACAATATTGTTATCTATATTACGATTATTATCTAATATTGTGTAGTAAATAAAAATTACAGTGAACTTATAAATGCACCAATATGAAGAATGTGGGTAACGTATGAGGTGGCAACATTGCAGGGCTTCGACACACATTTTCCGAAAAATTTGGAGAATAGGTGTAAAAGTACAGCAATTTTTTTTTAAATATCTACCATAATGTACTACTAGTTAAAATACTAGTACTATTTCTGAGACACCCTGTACAAATGGGGTTTCAGTAATCATCAAAAATACATTTAAAGAAGTCTTGAAAAGATTCTGAGACATCCTGTACAAACAGGGTTTCAATAATCATCAAAAATACATTTAAATAAGTTTTGAAAAGATATCTAAATGGGACAAATATTGAGAAAATAATAAAAGGGATTCAATATTAGGATAAGATAAGATAATCTTAATGCCAAATCGTTATAAAACATATCAGTAATGATAATATGGCAAATATTTTGTTACGTCGGATATAGTCCATTTTAGATTGTACATGTTCATCTAAATGAAAATAGATTAAGTATATTTATTGCATTATAAATATTACAAATTGTATGAAATAATGTTTTAAGAATTCAGTGATTGATTTATTTTTGACATTTTAATCTATAGACATTAAGTTATTATAGATATATTTTTGAAGTGAAACCTCTTTACGCGCGGTGAGAGTAAAAATTCAAGGCCGTGACACGAGCTAGCGTCACAAAAAGTGGTAACGATCGAAAAAGTGATAAGCCAATGAGGTAGTTGAGATGGGTCTTTGGAGCGTCGGGCCCTATATGTGCTATGGAGCTGAAACTTGTAATTTAGATGGGTCTCGAAGAGCATATTTTGACCACGTTTCGTGCACTATGAAGCCCCAACATCATTGGCGATAAGATCGTCCGATTTAAATGAAATTTGGTATGTCGATAGATTGGACCAACGCCAACTTGACCGTATACGACTCGTGCCTCTGTAACAGTTAGTTTTGACGTAAGAAACGTCAAAAGTTTATGTCGTCCGATCGCGACTAAATTTGGTGGGTAGGCTATGTGAGCGACGGTGCACAGAGTCCCACCCTACAAAGTTGGATACGACGTTTCGTTTATATCTTCATCAGGGTAGAACTAAGGATTTGATACTGAAGAAAAATGCGGGTCGATTTCGGCATAATTGGGGACGGGCTACAGGATGACGCCCCCGACGTTTCGAACCGATGCCTCCGAATTGACGAAATCATCAGGATTTTTCTTAATTACGGGTCGATAGGAACCAAACCCGGCACGTTGATAGAGGTACCCGAATGGAGTCATCAGACGGACAGGCGGTCATTTTAATGCAAATTTTGTGAAAGTGAATCAAATTATTTAATTTTTTATTTATAACTTTTTCAACATTTCAAACTACATTTTTTCAAACATGTTCTTCAAATCCTTCAATTTAATAGCTGTTAGTAAATATGCACCCATAATGCACACAATTTTTTTTTAAATATCAAAATAAAATATACAATCTAATAATAATTCAAACTTTCAACTAACATTTTTTTATATCCAAAATTTTATTTAGAATTCTTAAGTAAATTGAGAAGATATACAGTAGGGACTCCGGATTATTACGTCTTGCGTTTTTGTATAGGTCTCGGTATAGGTAGGTACATCTATGGTACATCATAAAAAACGGTTAAGTTAGGTTGGTTAGGTTAGGTTAGGTTAGGTTAGGTTAGGTTATTCTCAAAACAAATGTATCAATTTTAGGAAACAGTAATAGACTAAAATTCACTTATATTGGTAAACCTACATTCTACATACTTGTATACATATAGTATACAGTGTGTCCCAGGCTGAGTGTGATTAAGTGAATGCGCATTAGAAACTTCTAGAAAACTACAATATCTAGATCGGAGATTTTTTGCACATCATTGTTTTACAACCAACCAGATATATCGATTAAAAATATTTTCAATATGGCGGCACTTCCGGAAATACCGGAAGTGGACAGCAACTCTCGACAGTATTATTTTAAATGAGTACCCCCATTTTTTATTACATATTTAAGTTCTCTGTAAAATCTTATGAATTTTGATGTAAAACACTCTACAGAGTGGTCCGAACTGTATTCCTCTTCTGTTCGTATTATTACTCTACTAAGTATGTCCTAAAATGCTTAGTTTCGGAGATATAGGGTGTAGAAATTTCATTTTTATTTCTATTTTTTCCAAATAATTTCTGAAGTAACGTCAATATTTGGATGAAAATTGGTATCTGGGAGTTTTTTGACATGAGAAATTTGATTTTCATGTCAATATGACTGCTACCTGTAGGGGGCGTCACATACATGTGTTTTAACTGTTTTGAATAGTAATAACTTTTCGTCCGTACCTGTATAAAACTACTGAGTGAAAAAATGTACATTTACGTGATTTTTTACGTAAAAAATGTCCCTTGGTAAAAATCGCTACGAGCAACTGTTACCAAGATATTTAGAATGGAAACAGTCAAGACAAACAAAAAATAAACATGTTGAGTAGATAGTTATTTGACTGAAATGATAAATTTGGGAACTTTTTATTTTTTTTAATTAATCATGAATTTTTCTTCGAAAAAATGATGATAAAACAGTTTCTGTTGAACATTTGGCACAAAAACATTTAAAAAATGTATGATTTCAGTCTAATAACTATTTTTACATGTTTAATTTATATGAATGATGACAGGTATTGATAATTTCGATTCCAAATATCTCGAGAATCATTACGCGTAGCGATTTTTACCAAGAACTCTTTTTTACGTAAAAAACTTCGTTAATGTATATTTTTTTACTCATTAGTTTTATACGGGTACGGACGAAAAGTTATTACCCTTCAAACCAGTTAAAAAATATGTAGGTGGCGCCCTCTACAAGTAGGAGTCATATTAATACCAAAATCAAATTTCTCATGTCAAAAAACGCCCAGGTCCAGGTACCAATTTTCATCGAAATATTAACGTTATTTCAGAAATTATTTGGAAAAAATCGAAATAAAAATTAAACTTCTACACCCTGTATCTCCGAAACTAAGCATTTTAGGACATACATTTATACGAACTTTTTTACTTATTTTTATCTGCAGAACATGCTGCCAAAGTTTCCGGAATACAGTTCGGACCACCCTGTATACTTAACATTAACCATTTTTGAGAAAAAAAGTTAAAATTTCTTATTATTTTTTAACTCTAGTAACCAATGTAATATGTATTTTTATGGAACCGCGATTACATGCAATCAAATAGTCGACCGATCAGCACCATGAGATATGTTCTCATGGTGCTATGTATTCACTTTTGCAACTAAATAGTTGGCCAACTTAAAATTGCATGTCAGCGCGTATGCTTATTGTTTCGAATATTTCCCAGTATCCAAACTAGTTAAAAACGTAATTCAGAGAATTCAAGTTGTTTTATTTTTCAAATTAATATATATTTTTAAGAATATGCGATAATTGTTTTGAGTAGTTTATAACGACAAATTATTTTTAAAGTTTACGTTATCGTTGCCCGCATAGATATTTTACAAAAAAGATTGGTGTAAAAATCTCAAACCATGTACAAACCAGATATACTGTTTTTTTTGCTGGATCACCCTGTACATAAAGTACAATATTTCATAATTTACAACCTGGAGAAAATAAAAAAGTATATAAAAATATCTACCTGTAGGATTCGTTGTGCCACTCGTCGTCCCATCATCAGTACCAGCGACCACCACAAGTACCCACCAAACCTGAATACAATAGAGCAGGTAGAAGCGGCACGAGAACCCTCGCATATTAATTTATGGGACGATTCAAATGTCGTACATCTGCACTACACTTAACAGGAAGTGTTTATCAAACAGACAGCGTACGCACAACAATAAAAACGCAACCAGCGTCAAATGAGTTCGTTTTAAATGCACTTTCTGTCCATCGACTCGAGCGGTTTAAATTTTTAGTCATTGCGATAGTGCAGCGTGTTTTTGGCGCACATGGTACGCATCCGGGCGGTACCGCGGCGATGTGTAAACTAAAGCGGCGGTTGCCGAATAAAAACTGTCTGTTTTTGAAGCAGATAACAGCGAGTGTGTGTCAGTCACAGGGAAAGATTAGAGGATTTTATGCCATAAATAGAAAGAAGAAAGAACCTCTTGCTGTGAAAATGTGTCTGTTTTACACATACATGTGTATAGTTGTAGTTTTAATACATAATATTTATTATGCTCTTTCTTTTTAACGGCAATATACAGGGTGTCTCAATATTCCATGGACATAGAACTACTACGTAATTTTGGGATCAAAATAAGTTCATTGAACACAATTTACCTCTTTACAAAAGTGCTTTTAGAGCAGGAATATTTTTAAAAATTCCTTCTCTCTAAAGTGCAAGAAGCATTTCATGTAACAATTGGGAACACAACGTTTTTAAGGTAATTCGACCCTGCTGAATTCGAATCTGCCTGTTGCCAAAGCGAAATTTGGACCAGAATCCAAGATGGCGGCCAAAAACTATTTTTTCGTATGTCTCCATTGTCCGTTGACTTAAAATAGTGTTTTATAAACGTATGCTTAGGGTTTAGTTTGTATGCGGAACAGCTTCAAAAGCTTAAGGTGCGTATTCATTATCCGCACGAACGAACGAACGAACGAATGTTCGCTAGTGGTATGGACGGGGACCGCACGATAGGACCGCACGAGAAGACCGGAGGCATTTGTTGGCGAACGCCTTTGATGTACCGACTCGAAACGGATGGTCGAGAGAACGAACGAACGAACGGCCGCATGCGTTCGGTCCCCGTCTAAATATACCGCACTTTCATTCGTTCGTTCGTTCGTTCGTTCGGATAATGAATACGCACCTTTAGAATTTACTCATCTTAAGTTTGCAGAGCATAGGTTTAAAAATGGCGCACAAAATGGCCGCCAAAACTAAGTAGGTTCTTAGTTTGGAAGTATTTTTGATTTAAAATTTAAAATATGGATATTTTTAGTGGTTGGGTGTGTTCTCTTAAGAATTCTTTTTATTTAATTCGGAAGTAAAAATCGTTACAAGTAGCGCCATCTATCTGGCGCAACCCAAACTAACGCCATAGCTGCGCTGTGTCACAAGCAATTGGCTAAGTTTGTACTGGGGTTTACACAAAGTCGTAAAATGGGGAGCCGCTCCAGTAAGAAGAAACATCACAAGTTCAGCCGTTCCACTTCCAAAAAAATTAGAAGAATTTTCTAGCACTAATACGCGAAAACAAAGCCGACCTCGCTCGATTCCTCTCTTAAGAACTTCTTCAATATGACTTTGGGGTAGTCGAAATCGTTGTTTCCGGAGGGTTCACAAATGAAGAGTATGCGCAATCAACCAACCCAAAATGTGACGTCAGTGCCCTATTTGCGACGCATGAAGAGGCCGATACTCGCGTTGTGCTACATGCTGTTCTCTCCAATGCTGACAACATCGTAGTCATGGCCAGGGATTCAGACATCTGTTTATTGTCGATCTATCATTTTCAGAAAATGACCAGCTCTAAAGTGTGGATGATGGCCGGCACAGCGAAAGAAAGGAAGTATATCCAAATCCATGAGATCTGCCAAATTATTCAATGCTCAAAAGAAGAATATCTTGGCGTTCCACGCTGTCACAGGTTGCGACTCAACATCTCATCTTGCAACAATCACAAAGAAGGCAGTATTTCTTTGTCTGTTAGAAAGCATCAAACTTTCAAAAAAAAATTTGTGTGCACTATGTGCGCATTTTTGGAGTGAAACTTCTTCTTACTTCCGTAAGTTTGTCTGCCCATCTGTCCGTCTGAGGACTCCATTCGAATACCTCTATCTACCTACCGATTTTGGTTCCACTCGATTGGATCCAGTAAGGCAAACGACTACAATAGAATGTAGAATGTTTAGGAGGGGAGTTAATCACCGCGACCTTATAGATCTATTGTGTGTTCCCCTTTCTTGAGTTATAACGAGTTATAACTCATCATACAGTTTCAGGGCTTTAAGAAATCCAATCAACCTATAATTAAGAAAAAATCCTGATGATTTCGTCCATTTAGTGGAATCGGTTCGAAACGTCGAGGGTGTCATCCTGTAGCCCGTCCCCAATTATGCCGAAATCGACCCACATTTTCCTTCAATATTAATTCCTTAGTCACACCCTGATGAAGATGTAAACGAAACGTCGTATCCAACTTTACAGGGCGGGACCGTGTATACCATCGCTTACAAAGCCTACCCACCAAATTTGATCGCGATCGGACTTTTGACGTTTCTTACGTCAAAACTAACTGTCACAGTGATATGTCGTACACGGTCAAGTTGGCCTGATATATTGATATGGACATACAAAATCTCATTTAAATCGGACGATTTTTTTATTTGATTCATTGATGGTGGGGTTTCATAGTGCTCAAAACGTCGTCAATATATCAAGAAAATCGTCGTCAATATATCTTCGAGCCCCATCTACACTCCAAGTTTCGGCCCCCTGGCATATATAAGGCCTGAGTTACGACGCTCCAAGATCGTTACCACTTTTCCTCTCGCGAGCTCGTGTGTCACGGCCTTCAATTTTTACTTGCATCGCACGTAAAGAAGTTTTACTTCAAAAAAATGAACACATTTTTTAAGATATTTTAATAACCTTCATTCTGATTTGAATATATATTTGGGGTGCCTATGTTTTGCTAAGCGCTTAACATTTCACTTTCACCAAAAATAAGAAAAAGTACGGGGAAGGTGGGAACTACCCCCACCCCTACATAAATTTTAGTAGAAATATTTTCCAACTCCACCGACGCGGCGACTGATTTTTTTCACAAAATGGTCCTTCTAATATTTACTGCATTTTTTCCTCTTGTAAAAAACGCCATCGCCCATAGTTTTCCCGAAAAAGAAATATTTTTCCGAAGCTGACTTACAAAAAATATTTCTTGGCTCATCAAGCTAGTATGCGCTAATAATTTAGTTGGCGAAAATAGAGAAGGTTATGTTAGTATATGGTTAGTATTGGTTAGTATTCTGTATATGTGTTTTGTGGTTAGTATCACAAATGATATTTGACAATCAGCTTCATAAATTTAAATTAACTAAAGTTCGGGTTTATTTTTGATAGAGTTAAATTATGTCCAATGAACTTATTTTCACACAAAAAATACGTAGTAGTTCTATGTCCACTGAATATTCGGACACCCTCTATTTGTTCTAAATAATATTAAATAATAAAAGTTCGATAATATATTAGAAAGAAATAAAAATATAAGTTTCATCATTCGATAAAGTACCCGTTAAAAATCTCTAAATAAGTTCGTTATATATTTATTCTGTAATATTTAATAAAAAAATATGCATTCCTTTTAAAAACCCTCGACTTATTTATCTAGTAACGCTTAATTAAACACCTTATTTCAACGATGGCTAGAGACAATACTATGGTTCATTGGCAAACAATACAAATATTTGTGATCAGGTTTGTTGTGGTGATATGTATTTTAAGTTTGTCGATCGGTATAGAAAACCCCAGTAATCTTGGAATTCTTCCTCTAGGAGATTCTATATTCTATATACTTCTTCCTCTTGTCGTAGGTGAGAAAGCTCCTACTCAGGTGCTATTTCCCTCTGGTACGATACACAATATCGGATGGAACAATCCTGTCCGTCACACCTGGCATCCTCTACTGTCTGTGGTCATATCTCACGGACAGATGGGTTTTGGGTTAACCGCCCACACCAAGAGGAGACAACCTCACCTAAAACCTAAATCCCACAATGGCGGGACCAGGCCAAAGGGATGCGTTGGCTAGCTAGATAGAAGACTAGCCTCTACTAGTCTCACCCTTCGAGGATCCAGGGCGCACTCCATTATATTTACCTCTTGCTTCTACATGCGAGGCTTTGTAGAAGTGGACTGACTAATCCTAGTGAAGGCAACGGCTCAGCTACGTCGAAACACTGGTTCCCATTAGAACACCGGAGTTAAGCGACGTAAGACGATACTAGTGGATGGACGGGTGACCGGTTCGAAACTCTGTATCGTGCTGTTGTCCATCAAAGGCAAAAGTGTAAAAATATATTGACACACACTGCTCATTCACGCCGGTTCGAGGCCGGATGAGATCGGATATCTCGTGAGTAAGAGTTGCTTTAGATACTTGCCAAGTCGGTAGGCCATTGACCATGATATGGCCGAGGACCGCGGTTCGGATTCCGCGTAAACAAAGTAGGCCCTGTCCAGATTAGCCCTGGCAGAAAAAGGAGACGTTAACTGAAATCTGAAATCTTTACTTTACTTTAATCCTAGTGACTCGTGGGAACACTATGAGATCAGTTTTAAAAAATACCACCGGTGAAAACTTTTCCTATAAAGCTATAGAAAATATTTTATAACAAATGGAGATCTATGTTTATTCATCAAATATAAAGTTACACTTGCTGCTGTTGTAACGTTTAAATACTAATTGAAAAATAATTGTAAAATATACACAAACTATATAACACATAAACCTACTTAATATCTATTCATCTCTTAAAATGTTGGACCGATTTTTGAAGTTATTTCGTGTGAATCCATTTTTCTAAATGACAGAGATTTATTTTGAAATTGTGAAGTGTCAGAAATCCGGTATTCGAACTCATTTCATTCGCAAACTCCAGTGCAGAACTAGTTTCTTCTGATGTCAGGTTATATTTTTATTTCCGAGGACTATAATCTATGTTAAAAAATGTGCTGGTGTCAAGGCTGTTTTATATTTTTTTTGAAACAGCCGAATGTTGAGCAAGATAACTACTGCCTTTCCCTAATTTATCTTCTACCTAGTTCGTTCCAAACTTCTACCGACATTTTCTTCTGCAATAAGCACTTTGAACATTAGATGGTACTAATTTTATTCTCGACTTAAGACAGTCATGACTATTTCCATAAAAAATCCTTTGATCTAAGCGGGCGATTTTTTTTTGCGAAAATAGGGGCATCTCGGCAAAGTTTAGAGAATAAAATATGTCGGTGACCGATCTGGAAACCAGATACGCGCCGTAGAAATGTTAATATTATCGATATCGGGCAGAGTGAAGAAGATTTAGCCATTTAGGATAGGACTTTAGATAGAAAATTGAGTAAAATAAAAAAAATCCGATTTAAATCAGCTTCATAAATATTAAATTAATTAACGTTCAGGTTTGTGTTCAATGAACTTATTTTGACTCCAAAAATACGTAGTAGTTCTATGTCCACGGAATATTGGGACACCCTGTATATAGTTGGCACTTCCTTTATTGCAATTATCTTATAAATAACTAATAAAACTCACTAGTCAATGATATTTATTTGATCTATATTACTAATTAAAACATAAAATATATATTTTACACCACAACAAACACATTTGTTATAAAATTATTGTTGATTAGTCTTTAAAACTAGAAATAGAACAGCGACATTCTAGGCCAACGCCATCTATGGAGAAAACTTTATGGAACGTGGCTTCACTGTCGCTGCTTTTATTAAATTCAGCTCTGGTTTTAGTTTTCGTTGGAACATTCGATTTTTCTCCACGTACAGGCATTTCTCTTTCTGTTTTCTTGTCTATAATCCATTTATTGTTAATTTTTAAATAGGAATAATCTTGTTATACCAAGAAAATTCTAGAAAAGTAATCCCCACAAAAAATATTGTTCAAATGTATTCTCTATCCTTTAAACATTTCTTACAAAAAAGGCATTTCTACGGAACTACGAGAAAATTCTACTATCGGAATATACTACCTAATCGGGAAACAACGTATTAGAGCTATCTTTGAAGTTCACAGTACTTTAACCATTAGTAGTAGATTACCATCAGTATTGACAAGTACTCATAGCATGAACCAACCATATATGGAGTGTAGAGATGAGGAGAAATATCTCTTATGGGACTTTATTTGAAAAAGTGGTCACAAAAATTGGAAGAATAAGGATTCACCAAATGACCACAGTGGCGCTAATGACGCATAAATATAAAAAAGTAACCATAGATAAGAGAATAAAAGTAACATAACCAAACATTACCCAAAAAAGCTTTGTTTTTATTTTTTAGAATATAAAACAATTATTTTTATATATTAGAGGCCCAATCTATTACTGCTGAATAAAAATCGATAATTTATTTCATGTGACATGAAAATAAAATTTGTATTTTTATGTTATTTGTAACCGGCGCCGGCGCCTTCACATCAAATATTTATGTCTTTTAAATAATTTCCTGTTCTAAAAATTTTCGGCGCATATTTTAAATTTTAGGTTTTTGGTACAGCAGCGCCATCTTAAGTCTTCCCTTTTTTATTACCCCATTTTTTAATGCATGAAGATATTTCTCCTTACCTCTATACACTCCATACAACCATAACATCCACCAACCACAAAATCAATAACAATATTATAACTTACCGTTTTCTAATATTTCTTTCTTTTTACACGCAGACCTTGTACTCAAAGACTTCTCATGCAGAAGTGGTTCAGAAATAGAACTGTTTGACATGCATTTTGTACACCTGCATCTGTCATGTTTCTGTGCGTCTGCGTCTGCGTCATTTATAACGACACTATTACATAGATCCTTGTATTTAGTGTTCTTACCCTCACTTTCATTTGCCCTATTTCTAACTCCTTTGCTTAAAGCAGATGCTTTCTTTTTCATAATTCCGTTTGAAGCGTGAACAGGAAGGTTATTATGAGTAGAGTCTTGGTGTAACATTGCGTTTTTAGTGTTGTATAGTTGATGATACTGGTCTTTCCATAATTTTGACAAATCTATGGTTCCCTGAAACTCGCCATCCGATCCGTGATAACTACTAGCTAAAGCTGATGGCAGTGTACATGTTGAAAGGATATGATCTAAAATTTAGTCCTTTATTATTTTAGAAAAAAAAAATAGATAATATTATGATATAATTGGTCTAATCAATATAAATCTCTGAACTGAATCATAGGACTGAATGTTAAGGCGTAGTTGACGAATATTGTAACAATTGATAGACAGAATTACAAAGAAATGCAGGATTGCAGGTTCCTATGTGCAGTAGACATATAGTTCATATCAAATAAACTTTTAGTCATAAAGGGCCATTACTACCGCTTTCGCGTTTAAAATATAATAATAAGGTCGCGATAATTTTTTTACAAAGGCTATTAAGCTATTTTGTACCACTTCGCACTAAAAGAGGTTCTAAAAAGAACAATGCTCGACTGCAAGTTCTGCTAATAAACATTTTTAAGCTTAATGTATCACAACACAATTCATTTAAACCAAAAACTCGTAATACAAAACTAAAGTGTCAAAACGAATGACAATGTGCGCGTTCAGGGAACACAGCGACTGACCGACCGCTGAAAATTTTGCTCAGCGGCTGACCGATTTTGTGTAAAAATAGACCGTTTAGGGAAGTCGCTTACTCAACCGCCGACCTTCCCTGAACGCGCACAATGTCAGGAAATAAATAAATGGGGCAAATTGAAATTCTTTACAGCAGAGCTACCACCTGAATCCCCAGTGGGAAATTTAATTCCACTTAGTCAGCCTGGCGCCGAATATGTCCAGGGTTGTCTACAATGAATTTAAAAATCGCGCCCTCGATTACCGAACTAAAAGTTTAATTGCTATCGAATTAAAGGTACATTCAGGCTGAGAGCGTCGAGCGTCGCGTTTGCGTTGCGTCCGCGTGTCGAAATGGACTCAGTTCACTTAACTTAAATTAGACCGTTCAGGCAGAGAGCGTCGCGTTTGGCATTGCGCTAGCGTCCGCTGAGGAACGCCGGCGCCGTTGCGCTAGGTCCGAACTCGTCGGGATTCGAGTTCAATGGGGCGGACGCGACGCGACGCTCGACGCTCTCAGCCTGAATGTACCTTAATACTTAAAGATTAGCGAGATAGAAATAAAAATTGAACTAAACAAAAAAATATATTAGTATTTTACCAATTTTTAGTATATCCATTAATAATATCTTACACGTTAAAATCCAAACTGCCCCATTAAAAAAATAGTTTTATTTTTTTGTAATAAAAATTTCTTTCTTAATTTATTTTTAATGGATGTTCTAAACAAAATAAGATATTGATAATTGGACAAAAATATTTATAGTATAGCATAGAATTTAATTTAATATTTACCATTGCAATCATCCACAGGGTCTAAATTTTCTGGTACATCGTCACAGTGAGCTTCACAAGCCTCTCTCTGTTCAAAATGTCTGAAATTTCCACTTTTTTCAAAATTTTCTTCATCACTAGTTGATTTATCCTTATCTTCTTTTGACGTCTTGAAATCTTTCTTTTCATTTGGTGACACATCTTTCGGCACTTTGTTTATTTTTTCTATAGTATCTCTTGTCTTGTTTGGCGGTAATAAATATTTAGTCATTTCATTGTCCGTTGTCAAAACATCACCATTTTTTTCATTTGTGTTCCTAAAGGACCCACATTGAATTATTATTTGAATTTAATATTTACATTGACCTCCAAAGAAAAATAATACGTAAAAATTGAGAATCATCATTGAGAATTATCATCGTCATATCACTGTGAATTACAAACTTAAACGTTACGACTTGGTGGGATTACGTGTGCGCTCTAAATACATTGGTGAAATTTCCACATTTTTACGTCAGACTGGATACCAGGGCAAAAGGGTAACGAAAAGGCAGATGAAATTACCAACCAAGGTTAATCAATGCCATTTATAGGTCCAGAACCCTTCAAAGCAGTCACGAGAATGGCTACACAACCATGGGTGGCCAACAAATCTCTAGAATGAAGAAAAATTCACTAGAGCAGAGACAGGCGAAAAAGTACGTAGTAGAACATTCGCCAAAATTCAAGGCCGACCTGCGCTGCGTTGCGATTCTGTAAACAAATTTTCTGTCTAGTGACTCATCAATCCTATACAAATAACATAGACTACTGAGACACTGCTGATAAGCAAAGACAAAGACAGAAAAACAGTCAAAGCTGTAGCGGGTCTACTAACAAGGCATTGTAACTGAATAGGCATCTAAGGAAAAAGAAACGACAGAACACATTTTAGCTACAGCCTGGCAAATGTACGGTTCTCTATAATAGGCAATGATAGGCTATTGATAGAGAGCTATAGTATGGAGGGTTCAATCCCCAAGTTGCTGGACTCGCTAGAAGTCGCTAGAAAATGATAAGACTGGAGAATGTAACCTAAGGATCAGAACTACAATAGATCTTAAAAGGTCGTAGTGGATCATCAATAGCCACCTCGAAGAATCTAGTTCCATTAATTGACGTTCCAACTTCTTCAGGCCGCTGATGAGGAGCTTTATGTCAATACCCACCTCCCTAACAGCATTTAAGGGACATAAGGGGGCATAATAATGTGAACTCTGGTTTAAAATCAAAGGATAGGTAAATGGAAATTGTCAGAAATAATGTCAAAACATGTTTAAAAATAGGTTAAAATATATTAAAAATAAATTTCTACAACGAGGGATAGTACCCTCTATCGTCAGATCTAGATTTCGCGAATCTTTCGTTGGCAATGTCCCTACGTAACTGTTTGTTTTGTTGACTGTACTCCAATGCTTTGTCCTGGTAGATATCTAATTGTTCCGATGTTATAGTTCTGCAATTACAACAAAAATATCTAGTAAATACCGTATGATCGAAATAAAACGGCGTCCAGTTGGCTGGAAAATGACGATCGCTGACATTTCCCATATAATTTTGCATATAAAATGACAGCGATCTTCATTTCATAGCCATCGCTGACGCCGTTTTTATTCGATCATACGGTATAATTTGAGAAAAAAAAATTATACACAAATAAAATTAGTCTAATATAAAGAGATATGATCAAAGTTTAGAAACATATAACTTCTTTTCTTCTATTCGTATAATACGTTATTTTGAAGATGAAAAATGTATTATATTTTATATTTATATTATATTTCTTCCCTTATATTTCGTTTTGACGTGCTACCCTTTAAAACTGGTGAAATACTTTTGTTAATTATGAATTTTTCGTTCATCGTTCGAATTTTTGTAACAAACAAAGTCAAAATGTCAGAAAATTATAACAACGAAGACTATTTTAAATATTAGTAATAATATTGGTTCTTCACGAGAACTTAAAAAAGCGGCAGAAGAAAATATATCAGTGAAATTGAAAAGGGAAGTAAAGGTAGAAAATATGATATTTTCAAAATTTTGAAAAGTCGTGTATATCAACATTACATATTATGTGGCTGTAAACATCATAGACATTTTTGAATAACTTTATTGACTTCCGAGAAATTGATAAAAAATAATTCATATACAACATATTAAGAAATATTTATTTAAAAAAAATATCCTACCAATTAAATAATTAAACGACAATTAAAAAACAATTAGGTTGTAGATTAATATGATCTATTACATAATGATCTGTAACATATGCAAGATCAATTGATTCATAGATTAAACAGATATACTCACAATCTATCTTGCAGTTCGTTGATCCTTTCTTTCAGGTTCTCAACTTCTGCCTGGAGATCTTGATTTAGCAGCCTCTGGTCCATAATTTCTTTCCTAGCTTCGGAGAGCAGTTGTTCCACTCCTTCCAGGCTAGCCCTTTCCTTTTCCAGTGCTTTTTCAAGACTTTCCTTTTCCGATCTCAACATTTCGGAAGCTTTTCCAACCTATAAATCAATATTATTGCGATTAACCAATGCGTATTTTAAATACTTTGGGGTATTTTTTGTCCTTTCAATTTTGTCAAATATGCGTTTTGGGGTGTGTCTGAGATCAGTTCATATTGTTATAACAATCATAATTTCGTATAGTCTGTCCAACGAAAAGATCCTTGACAGTGATAAATGTGTCTGTCATTTCATTTTAAAAGTACTTTATTTTACTTTACAAAGAAATAAGTTGGTACAATTAGAACGCATAGCAGAAAATTAATATATTTAAAATTTGAGCGACAAGTGATTACTTCAAAATATTGTGAAAAAAACTGTATAAAATTAAAAAAATCTAATCGAGTTATTTTATTAAAAACAATTACAGTATGTGTTAACACAAAACAAGCAAGGGTGTATTTTAAAAAACACCACATACCAAAAAAGATTTCCCTCTTTTAAGCTGTGTTTCAAGCTCAAGCAACTTCCTGCATTTATTGTTACATTTATCAATATAATTATTCAATATGATTATTTACCTATCGTGTGCTGCTATTTAGAGATACTCCAGTTTTTGGTATCATATACAAGATAGAATACAAACTTTATTTTTGGCTAATACAACTCTCTGTTGAAATCTTACCTGAGAACAGAGTATACAATAAAATTATAACCCCAAATAAAATGCAAATGATAATTACTAAAAACAATGTGCAGTAATTTACGAAATGCCGTAATGACGTCTCCAATCTGTTTCATCTGGTTTTCAAGTGAAAGAGAGAGTTCGACAATATATGACGTGACGTTGATCGATAGCTGAATAAACAATATTTACTGTCCTCCATTCACGCAGTTGTGCAGCTCTGAACCTTTCAAGAACGCGATACTCTCACTCCATTCAATTGAGTCATAAAGTTCAGAACTGTTCCGCGCCATATGGAGGCACCAAGCTATCGCCCACAGCTCCTTTCAGAACCGTTCTCGAGTAGCCCAGGGGCGTAAAGCTCTGGAACTTGAAATTCGCGAATGGAGGACAGCCAATTGTGGCAGATTTCTATTATTTTTCCCATTTTGCATATTCGCTGAATTTTGTGTTACTTGTGATCTAATTACCTCTTTACTGACCAGCTCGTATGTAACAATTTTATTTTTTAGTTTCTGTATTCACTGAATTTCTGTCTAACCTGTGATCTGATATCCTCTTTGCCAGTCAGCTCCTGTCTCAAACAGTCCTTGTCCTTGTCAAGTTTAACACACAAATCTCTCATTTGTCTCAATTCAGAATTATAACGTTCTTGAGCCATGGATTCTTGTTTTAGTTGGATTTCCAGACTGGCCACTTGTGAAGTCAAGTCAGTAATCTTGAAATAAACCAAAAAGTCAATCTAATACAGTTTAATATCTGTTACCGACTTAGAATCTGTGGGATCATTTCAAAATGGACATTTTTACATAACGAAAAAAAATTCATATACAGGGTGGTCCGAACTGTTTTCCGGAAACTTCGGATGCATTTTCTGCAATTAAGAATAAGTAAAAAATTTCGTATAAATGTAAGTCCTAAAATGGTTAGTTTCGGACATACAGGGTGTAGAAGTTTCATTTTTATTTCGATTTTTTTCAAATAATTTCTGAAGAAACATCAATATTTGGATGAAAATTGGTGTCTGGGAGTTTTGTGACACGAGAAATTTGATTTTGATGCCAATATGACTCCTATATGTAGGGGTCGCCACCTACATGCGTTTTAACTGTTTTGAAGAGTAATAACTTTTCGTCAGTACCTGTATAAAACTACTGTGTGAAAAAATATACATTTCCATGGATTTCTACGTAAAAAATGTCTCTCGGTAAAAATCGCTACGAGCAACCCTTCTCAAGATATTTAGAATGGAAATAGTCAATACATGTTATTACTAAAAAAAAATAAACAACGTTGAGTATAGTTATTTGACTGAAATAATAAATTTTTATTTTTTAAAATAATCATAAATTTTTCTGCGAAAAAATGATGATTAAACAGTTTCTGTGGAACTTTTGGCACAAAAACAGTTCAAATTTATGATGATATTATAATTTCGATTCTCTCCAAATATCTCGAGAACCATTACTCGTAACGACTTTTACCAAGAAACCTTTTTTACGTAAAAAATGTATATAAATGTATATTTTTTTGGTCAGTAGTTTCATACAGGTATGGACGAAAAGTTATTACACTTCATACCAGTTAAAAAATATGAAGGTGGCGCCCTCTAGAAGTAGGAGTCATACTGACATTAAAATAAAATTTCTCATATCAAAAAACTCCCAGACACCAATTTTCAAACAAATATTAAAGTTACTTCATAAATTATTTGGAAAAAATCGAAATAAAAATGCAGTTTCTACACCCTGTATCTCCGAAACTAAGCATTTTAGGACATACATTTATACGAACTTTTTTACTTATTTTAATCTGCAGAATATGCTGTCGAAGTTTCCGGAATACAGTTCGGACCGCCCTGTATATCAAAATAAGTTATATTTTATTTATTTAATTATTTATTATATAGACTACCAATGTGCTTCTTACATAAAAGTGGACTATCCTGTATAAAAGACAAAATTAAAAATTAAACCTAACGGTTATAAACAGTTTTAAAACAACCAAAAAGCAAAGAAATCTCTTTGCAACGCTGTAAAAAACTTAATGTGAAAATGAAATTGAAGACAATAGCTATTATGGATTGTTTATTATGTAAAAAATTCGATATCTTATAATAGATTATATACGTGATGACTTTCAAATTCATAGTAAACGACAACTCGCCACTTTTCTGATAAAAAACAGTATAAAAATTTTGCCGTTTAAATTGAATCTGGTGAAAGGGCTTCTATGCTCTCACACTAAAAAGTGGAAACTATTATTTTAGTTGTCTTAATAGATACGTATTTTAATCAAAAACATATGAAGAAATTGAATAAAAAGCACAGCTTTTCAATTTACAATAATTTAGTTTTATAAGAATTATTGTGATAATTGAATTGCAAATTTTAATTTTAAGCTTTATCACTTGACAAAGTGTATACTAATATATTTCGCAGTGTTTTCTCTTGCGTACATAAAAGGCCATTACTATCGCTTTCCCGTTCAAAATATTCTAAAAAGGTTGCGATGAATTTTTAGCAACAGCTCTTAAGCTATCTTGTACACTTCGTACTAAAAGAGGTTCTAAAAAGAACAATGTTTGACTCTTAGACAAGGAAAGAGAGGGGACGGCTAACACGCATATTCTCCCGTTATCGGTTAGTAAGGCCAAAATTCGATCGGCGGCCATACTTTGGTGACAAGATTTCGAGGTGACACCGAGAGAATTTTTATGTTTTTTTGTGACAAATGTTTTGTTTTAAATTTATAAACTGTATTGTTTAGTATGGTGCGATGTTCAGCGTATGGCTGCAAAGGCCGAAGCGAGAAAAAAGTGGCTGGAATTACATTTCACAGGTAAAAATCGATACACAACTTTTGTTATGTGGTCATAAAATGTAAAGTTTTTCATTATAACAGTAAAAATATGTAAAATGCTTTTAATATGTTTTGTACCACATCCAAACCAAACTATTTTTAATAATTCCAAGTAGTATTTTCAATATCCTTTTTTATAATTAATGTTTGAAACTATAAATAATGCTACTCAGCATGGATTTCTCCAGTGGCGTAGGGAATTATAATCAGAGAAATGCAATAAACTTTTTTTTATATATTTTACATGTAAAAAAATGTATAAAGTATTGTTATCAAATATATAAAATAATTGTAAACTATAAAAAAAGTTAAAAATTCTAGTGATAAAAAATCTATATGTATATAGTTGTTATATAAAACTTAAATTTACCTGCCAAGATTTGCTGGGGGTGGACAAACTTGTGGTGGGCTACTTGTTACTACATATATTTTTTTAAATATTCTTTCAAAAAATTTCCTAATTTAGGTGTTTTATAATAGTCTCAGTGAGTAATTAATAAAAATTTAAAAATAAATAAAATAACACAAAGCTTCTAGAATTGTTTATTTTTTTGTGGAAAATTAGGATATTCTTATGATTGAAGGTAACAAATATTAAAAATTACATTATTCATTGAATCCGTACGCAAGTGTGAAGGGGAATGGCTAGATTCATTATTATACCGTATGGTCGAAAAAAAAACGACGTCCAGTTGGCTTGTAAATGACGATCGACGACATTCCCCATATAATTTTACATATAAAATGACAGCGATCTTCATTTCATAGCTATCGCTGACGCCGTCTTTTTTCGATGTCGTTTTGTATAGTTTTTATGTCATTTTATATGTAGAATTATATGGGGAATACCATCGATTCGTAATTTACAATCCAACTGGACGTCGTTTTTTTTTCGATTATACGGTATAATAATGAATCTAGTCAATTCCCTTCACACTTGCTTACGGATTCAATGAATAATGTAATTTTTAATATTCATTTGTGAAATTGTCATTTCCAAGCAAACAAGACGCCGTTTTTTTCAATCATACAGTATATATGTATATACACGTTTAAAACATATGTTATTACATTATTTTTTATTTAATTATACATTATACACACGTTAATAAATAAATAATTGTCTTGATAATCAGTTCACTGTGACTGTTAAATAAATTTTGCATTATCGACTTAGATATTCTAATATTATAAAGTTGAGACTATAAAATACAAAATTGTATATGCATTACTCAAAAATGAACGATATATTAGTTTACGTTTTAATAAATATTTTGTACCGTCTAGGTACAAGCTAATTTCTGATGCTACGCCATTGGAGAATTTCGCGTGGTGACAACTTGCCTCACTTTCAGCTGCCGTGTTACCTGTCCCCTCTCTTTCCTTGTCTAAGGTTTGACTGCTCTGTTAGTATTTTTCTTAGGTTAAAGTATCACAACACAATTAATTTAAACCAAAAACTCATAATACAAAACTAAAGTGTCAAAGCGAATGACAATGTCAAGAAATAAAATAAATAAATGTGGCAACTTGACATTTTTTACAGCAGAGCTGTAAATCCACCTGAATTCCCAGCGAGAAATTGTGGCGATATAATACGTATAATTTAATAAAATATTATAATCATTATAATATTCATAGAAAGAAACATTTAGTCTGTAGATATTGAGAACCTTCGTTTTGTACAATCATTTTTTGTTTGTCTATTTATATCAGTTCAAAGGTAATGTGACGCGTTTTTATCGCACCTGTTTTTCGTAGCTCTTTATGACAGACTCCTGGTTCTGTATCCTCCTCTCCAATTCTGAGGTATGATCCAAAGCTACAGACAACTGAATTCGGCTCTGAGTAGCTTCAGTCTCCAATGTATGATTGTTATTCTCCAATATATCATGCTCTTGAGAAAGACTCTTGAATTGATCCAACAATTCAGACCTTTCATACTCCTAGAATTTCAGATTTTTGTTAAAAAATATTATTGTTTTCGTTTAAAAAAAATACAAGTTGGTATGTATGAGTAAAAACGGTATGAGTAAATTCAAATTAAGTGATGTAAAATATAATTTCAATTATTTGAACCAGTTATATTTCTATTGTTACTCTAAATTCTCCTAAAATGTATTTACTAAAAAAGAATAAGTTTAATAAGGTTTTAAATGGTATAATATTAATATATCTTGAAAATCAAAATTTTCTTAATACGGACCATAACACGGAATACAGAGTCTAAAGCCCCGTTCTCAGAACAGCGAGTGTCGCCAGCGACACATCAAAAGAACCAATCAGATTTGTACAAAATTCAAACAGCTGTCAATTTTAAATTTAGTACAGCTCCCATTGGTTGTTTGAAATGTCAAACTGTGTAGCCAGCGACACGACGCAGTTCTGAGAACGGGACTTAAGACAAAATACATTTGTATCTACTGTTTAGGTATTTTTTGAGCCAAGGCGTTACCATACACACTGTCAAATATTAAACCGAGAAAAATTATAGAGACTTTTTATAAACTATCTTACTTTTTGAGAGATCAAATCTTCGGTTCGTTTGACTTCAGCAACATATTGCTGTAGCTGTCTCTTCAGATCTTCTATTTGACGTTTGCATATTTCCAACTCATTGCGTGCGTCGCGACAATCGGCTGTTACGCTACTGAGTTCATTTTGCAGACGCCTAAAAAAATATTGTTACTGACTACTAACTATTGGATCTACAATAATTGACAAAAATTGTCTTAGTGTTTAGGTAAGAACTGCTATGTAAAATTCACTTCGCTTTTAAGGCGCATTCTTACGACTCGTGTACTTGACAAACATTTGTTATTGGATTATACTCGCCATGTCGTGAGAACGGTTACCTTGATCACTCGTCGCGTCCCCACTCTCTGTTGGTAAATATAGCCCGAGTCAAAGGATCACAATAATTATTCGTAATTCGTACACTTGCCAAGTCTACTTGGCTAGCCTTGTCTATACTTGCCGAGGCGCAAAAAAAACGACTGCGCATAATTGTACTGTTATAGAGTATGTCCGATTTATTTCCGGATCGTAGTGTTTTTCGAGTTTCGAGATATGCTGTCCTCCTTTAACGCAGTTGAGCAGCTCTGAACTGTTCAAGAACGTGATACTCTCACTGCATTCAATTGAGTCATAAAGTTCCAAAACTGTTCCGCGCCATATGGAGGCACCAGGCTATCGCGCACCGCTCCTTTCAGAACCGCTCTCGAGTAGCCCCAGGGCGTAAAGCCCGGAACTCGAAGTTCGCGAATGGAGGGCAGCAATAGAGTGATTATATAATATCAAATTTAGATCAATAACTGTGAGTGGACAAATGAAGACTACACGGGAAAAACCAAATATGTCACATTTTCATAAAAATTAAGATAGCGATACAACTTTATAAAAACTACCGAAAAAAACTACCTGTCAAAAAATGTTTTATAGCCTAAAATTCAAATTTAGTGATTACCACAGCCACTGTGACATAAAGAGAAGACATGTGGCTATGTATTTCAGAAATTAAATTGTTCAAATGTCATATAATAATGGCGGTAGCTGTCATGAAATTGAGCTATTAAAAAATTATCATAAATCATTTTTTTCAATGGAAACCCACTTTTTTTTATTTCCCTTATGAAAAGGTTTTTCAATTCGTTACTTTTTAACTATACATGTTCCTATACCTAAAATAAATCGTTTTTAAGTTATTTAAGATTTAATTTGAAAACGTATATTTCTTCTTGGTTTTATCTATCTATCTTTTGCTTCCTTTGACATTAAGTGTCAAACGGTCAGACAATTTTTTTATTTCCATCTGTCAGAAAACGAATTATTTGAATTTCCTATATTATAAATACTGCATGCCTCCCCCTTAAGAGTTTAAAAAGTGTATTTATAAAAATATATCTCGTATTTTGTACAACAAAGCGTTGTTTGTTTTTGTTGTTTTTGTTTATTTTCGCTCTCTAGTGATATCGAATATTGATATTATTAATAATATTCCGTATGATCGAAAAAAAGCGTGGGACATCCTGTATTCATGCGTTAATATGATATAGATATAACAATAATCTTTGTTGGGGAACAATAAAACTTAATATTTCGTTAACAAATTTACGTAAAAATCACGTATTAAACGTATTATTTAATTAAAATCAAAAATGGAGTTAGAGGGTTATCATTCACGTTTCACTGACGATTTGTGATATTAAGGTGCGTTCACACAGGCTGCGTTCACACAGCGCCGCGCCGCGCCACGCAAATCATTTTTTTAACATATGCTTTTGTGCGCGCTAAAAAAATACACTTCAAAAGTACATGTTAAAAAAATGGTTTGCGCGGCGCAGCTGGTGTGAACGCACCTTTAACATAACATTCCATATTTTCGCCAACTAGATTATTAGCGTATATTAAAGTTTATGCACCTACATAGCTTGGTGTGCCAAAAAAAATTTTAATTGTCACCTTCGGAAAAACATTTTATTTATCAAAAAGTACGTGAGGTGGCGTTTTTTAACAAAATACAAAAACTATAGTAGATACTATAAGGACCATTTTACGAAAAAAAAATGTCGTTGATGTTCTCTAAGGCAAAAACACTTTTGTATAGAGGTAAATTGTGTCCAAAGAATTTATTTTGATTAGAAAAGTATTGGGACACCCTGTATATAGAAAAATTGTCGTATAATGTAGATATTTCTAGCTTACTTATTCTCCAAAAGAGCTGCTTCCTTCAATCGTCTTTCCTTTTGAAGATCCTGGTCTAAGAGCTGCATTTCCTGTTGCTTAGATCGTGCTATCTGCTCTTTACTAGAGCTTTCATCGACAAATTTACTGAAACAAAAACAGATCAATTTTTATTTTCAAGCAAAGTCAAAAATAATTTTAATTTTTTGTTTCACTAAAAGATCGTGAAAAGAACAACCTGTTCAAGAGAGCCTCGGTATTTTTTTTGAGCAATTATTCATTACGAAAATATTTTTGAGAAATAAAACTATGAATGTTTTTAAAAAAGCCACTGGTGTTAAGAATCAATCACAATTAAACTACACTTAAACATTCTGGTTAGATTTCCGAAGAATATTGATATTCGTGCGGAATAGCTAAATGTCTTTTTTATATAATTTAATTTTGACAATAAACATTCAATTTTATGTTCAAATATGGACATTTTACAAATATGAATTTTTAAAATTAATATTCAAATTTGGCGCGTGGACGATAGTTCCACGACAAGGATTTGTATTGTATTGACTAAGAGTGTGTCCCATGGCGGGAACCTCCACTGAGGCCGCGAGGGCCTATTGTGGCTCAGTTTCTACACGCTCTAATTTACAAGAGCGTCAAAGTTCACCCTCAAGACCCAGCTTCCTAATATAGGCCGTTATGTCTGAGGGTGATATGTCTCCTAGGTCTGATAGGTCTAGCATAGGTTTGCCAAACATCTCAAACCTGGTCCTGCTCCCAGCGGGGCAGGTACACATAACGTGCTTCATTGTTTCGTCATCTTCCATACAGAGTCGGCATTCGGCGTCTTCCACCAGTCCCGTCCTCTGTAGGTGAGATCTCAGCCGGCAGTGGCCCGTGTACACTGCAGTGAGCACACGCGTTCCATTCCTACCGGCCTTTAGGAGTTCTACTGTTCTATGTTTGGATGGCCCTGCTAGGATTTTCTTGGCATGTTCCATTCCGGGACTGTCCGGAACGTCGCACTCCTAACCCATTCACTGAGCCTGTCTCTTGCGAGATTTTTAGGAACGCTAAGTGTCGGTTCTGGGCCCACGAATGGCGAGCCTGCACCAATTTTGGCGAGGGAATGACAAGGATAGATAGAGTAGAAGCACCGCGTGGTGTAACAAAGAAAGAAGATAGATGTAATTCGTTGATTTGTTTGCGACAGTTTTCATAGTTATTTACATCTACGTAAGTATATATGATCTAGGTTTCTAATAATAGAATGTGGACAAATCAGACAAAATCCTAAAACTTTAATACTTTAAACTTTTTTCAAATGCCAATATTTACGGAGATAGATACTAGCTAAAATATACGTGAAACGTGAACACCCTGTATATATTATATAAAAAAAGTTCTTCAATAAATATTAATTATACTTATTTATTATATTATTAAAAATAAATAAAGAATTTATGTAATTGCTATAATCTAAACACGGTAAATTCTACGCCTACATTATACAACTGGGTGAAAGTGAAACGCTGACATTGACCTTTTTCCTGTTTGAACTGGGTTATTACTGTATCAAACTAAATTAGCAAACATTTATCGAGCTTTTTAACAATTCTATTGTTGTGTGTGAAAAAATTGCCAAAATCTTAACACAACATCGTTGTGTGTGAAAAACTGAAAATACTAATGAAGTTCTGTTTTGAAATTCATCTAGATTATTTATGACTTAATTTGACTACATTTGTTAAATGTTTATAGTAATATATTTGACAACATAAGAGACTGTCCACTTTCATTATGAATTTTCTTGAGTTCGTTTATTTTTTTTCGTTGAATATCTTGTTTTTCTTAAATTAGTTAAAATCGGCTTGTCCAAAATTGTTCAAATTTGACGGGTGTATTTAGCATACGCAGACCTTTAATAAACCTATTTACAACTTCGATGTAAAATCAACAGGGGAGCCAATATTTGGACAGTTCAATGCACCGATGCACCACCCGGTATACAGGGTGGTCCGAACTGTATTCCGGAAACTTCGGAAGCATATTCTGCAGATAAAAATAAGTAAAAAAGTTCGTATAAATGTGTGTCCTAAAATGCTTAGTTTCAGAGATACAGGGTGTAGAAGTTTCATTTTTATTTCGATTTTTGTTAAATAATTTCTGAAGGAACATCAATATTTGACGTCTCGTAAGTAATGTTTGTGCTTCTGCTACCTTGGTTACGCATCCCAACAATGCATTGAGGACCGTTTCGCATGTCAACATATCAAATTCTGACGTATTTCTCTCCACTTATTTGTTCAAAATAATATCGAATAAGGGGTTTTCACCGATTAAAATCGTTATTAAGGCATACTTATGAGTTGTAAATCAATGTTTTTAAATGAACTGTTGCCAAAATCTCTCAGAATTAGTGATAAACGACAAAAAAGGAAGAATTAGTGATAAACGACGAAAAAGAAAACCCAAAAGGAAGCCGAAAAAATAATCGCGGTTAAACTAGTCTTGTGATTTAGATTAGCTGATTGGTCCATTTCACGATGAGGGAAATAATCAAATAATAAAGATCTACTGACGCAAAATCATAAAATTTAAAATATCTAGGAAAATCTTTGTCTGACGGGTAGGCAACCTTAATAATATTTTGAAGATATATAAATTCCTCATTGAATACCGGAAAAATATACTGGGTGTTTTAAAATTTTTATTTAAAATAAAGGAGTAACTTGCTTTTAAAAGTGACTAATGTTCCATATTAAGTTTGTCTCACCCTGTATAACTTTTCGGGTCAAATTTCAATTTGGTTTAACATACAATGGTTGCTGCAATTAAATATCAGGCTATACGAGGTCAACTAAAATTTAGGCAACTATTATCAAAATTTAAAATTTACTCTACATTTTCACAAAATGTGAAATATGTCAAAATCCTTTGATTTTAGGCATATGCTCATATTTTATTAGACTTATATTTTATTATACTTCATTTACACTCTGTCGTGTTTTTAACAGGTCTTTTTATAAAGAAGGGTTTAAGCACCAAGAACAGCTGAAACCAGTGGCGCATCTAGTGACAGTATTTAAGTGCTGAAAAGAGCATTGTTTTTAACTTTATTTCTAGCACCGTCTTAAGCCTTGGTTCCAACGTTGTAACCCACATTTGACACAAGTTTAAGAACTATATCGACTGTTAAATTCGATGCTCCAATATCATGGCCACCCTGTATATACATCTATTTAAAAAAATATGGCATGCTAACTCTCTTGTGCATCTTAATCCAAAAGCGTTTCTTACATCACTTCTGACGCATCATAATTTGTTCCTGATGCTAATGAATCGATGATCTTCTCATCTCAGAGAAATAAGTAAATAGAGAGAGACTTAAAATACTTACTGGTTAAACGGTACCGTTTTTTATGTTTGCCTTGCGATATTGTCTATTTGACAGGAATATCAGTTGAAGGCAAATTTATTACACTTGATAAAATATAATAAATACTTACTTATTAAACTGTTTTAGGTAAATTAAATAAAAGTAAACTGTTAAAGATTTAAATAAAGTCCATAAACTAATGTCGATTTTGAAAATAGCTACTAACTGCCACTAGAAAATTGCCATGGCTACACAAGCCATCTTGATTACAGTTTTATTGATAAATCGCTTTTTATTTAAAATCTGAGCCAGGTAGGTATAGGAAACCTTAATATAGTTTCAAAGAGCATTTAAATCTGCTTCGAATTATTTAAAAAAATACATAGTGTTGCATCTGAAATAACGAAGTTTTTATGTAAAACAAATATTTAAAATAGACCAGCAATTTTTGATACCCCTGTATACATTAAAGGAAGCAATAAAATTTCTTAGTAAAGTTTATTTCCCTGGCTTCAAAGTCAGCATAAGAATTAACTCTGAAAAATAACGTACAGGGTGTTGACAAATTTTTTTATTATAGCATGCATATTTAAATATCTTTAATTATCTCAAAAACCAAAGCATTTAAATATAACAAACCCTTAAAATAAATGCTTTATTTTATGCCCAAGAACCCAAAAATGAAATAAAATACCGGGTGTTTCATAAGAAAAAATATAACTTTGGTATGGATCTTAGTTCTGGCACACCCTGTACATTTGAAAATAATTTTAAACTATGCACATTGCCTCTCTACATATACCCATAAAATATTTTGTTTCTACATCTTTCCGTTTTCGTATAATCAACCGAGGCGAATAAGGTGCGCCACCCTGTATATGAACATGTTACCTTAAAAATACTTGAAAAACATCCTGTGAAATATCGGATACTTGTGTTTCAAAAAAAACTCACGTAAAAATAAGATTTATTTTTTATATCAACGTAGGTCCGATTTTACTTTGTTTTGTAGCTACAGGGTGTTGAAGTCTTAATATTTTTTCGATTTATTATAATTGAATATTCCCTATTAATTTTAGTAGTCCCGTTTAAGTATTTAATGTTATCGCTGTGATTTTAGATTATGATCTAAACAATCTCAAATACTAGTCTTTACTAGTCTTAATAAAAATAATAGGATTAGGGGTGGGAAGCAAAAAACGTCAAAAACGCCTCGAAAAAAAAACCTAATAAATTATCAGAAATACGTAACAATAAGTGAATCAGCGTAGGCGTAATAGTTCTACCGAACGCTATAATATTGTGCGATATCGAACTTAATCGTAAAATCGCGGAAAAGCGAAAGAAGTGGAGGAGAACCAAGAATGGTACACACGAGGTACGCGCGTACATTACAATCGCGAGCGCGGTACAGAGCAAACGAAATTATAGTGTGCACCGAGCTACAACCGGTCTTTTAAATGGCTTTTTAATTTGCCGTGCCGGCGTTACGGGAGCTTAAATTCGAGTAAATACGCTCGTTACGCGTGTAAAAGCCGGTAAAGTTTATCAGTTTCAAGCAATTTCGTGAACAGTGAACGGTTTGTGAAGGGATTCAGAGATTGGATTCGTTATCACTCAAGAAAATTATAGAGTTTAAATCAACCATAAAAAGTGCTCACATCAGTGAAATTAAAGTTCAAAAATGATTGTAATTTTAATTGCTAAAGCTTCATTCAGAGCGTCGAAATTAGTGGAATAAATTAGTGCTTTCAATTAGAGTATAAGTTTGTTTCTCTAGTTACAATGTAAGCATTCGGAATTAAGCTTCATTCAGAATCTCCCAATTAGTGGAATAAATTAGTGGTTTCAATAACACTTTATACTTTTTAGTTTACGATCATTCACAATGTCTAAAAAACACAATTAAAATTAATAAAATATACTAGCAACAGCTTGTATAAAACAATAAACTTTTGATTTCTAACCAAAATTTTTCTTGACATTCCTCGCAAATTTAGTAAAGTATAATTAGTGGAAAAGTCAAAGGTTTGTTAACTTTTTCCACTAATTGAAAATTACTACCACTAATTATGACGTTCTGAATGCTTACATTAAAATTAGGTGAACAAACTTCTACGACTAATTGAAACTACTAATTTATTCCACTGATTTCGAGGTTCTGAATGAAGCTTTAGTGGAATAAATTACTGGTTTCAATTAGCGGTAGAAGTTTGTTCCTCTAATTTTAATGTAAGCATTCAGAACGTCAAAATTAGTGATAGTTATTTTCAATTAGTAGAAAAAGTTAATAAACTTTTAAATTTTGCCACTAATTATACTTCAAAATATGCCAGTAATGTCATTTTGGCCTTTGATTATGATCCGTCAAGAGAAATTGTGGTTAGAAATGAAAGGTTTATTGTTTTTAAACTAATCATTATGCTTTTTCTATGGATACAACTGATTACCGCAAGCTGTTGCCAGGATATTCTATTAATTTTAATTGAAACCACTAATTTATTCCACTAATTTCGAGGTTCTGGATGAAGCTTATCAGACTTATAACTTTTGCTACTAATTATATTTCTTATTTAAAATTAGCGAGTAATGTCAGTTTGGCTTTTGATTATCATCCGTCAAAAGAAATTGTGGTTACAAATTATAAAAAAAGGTTAAATGTTTTATAATCTAATGATTAGCCTTTTTCTATGTATACAACTGATTACCGCAAACTGTTGCTAAGATGTTATATTAAATTTAATTGTATTGTTTAGATATTGTAAATTATCGTAGAATCTTAAGAATAAAGTTTCATTCAGAACCTTGAAATTAGTGGTTTCAATTAAATTTTATACTTTTTAGTTTACGATCATTCACAATGTCTAAAAACACAATTAAAATTAATATAATATCCTAGCAACAGCTTGCGGTAATCCGTTGTATCCATAGAGAAAGCCTAATATCAATAAGATATTCTTTGCTAATATCTATACTAATATATAAAATCCTTAAGTGACTGACATACTGATTAATCACGATCCTGCTCAAACCACTCAACGTAAGAAGCTCAATTTTGGCATACAGGTTGATTCTAGGGTGTAGTGGTTCGATAAGAAGGGATTTTTCGAAACTCGAATTCTAAGGGGGTGAAACTATCCCTCAAATATTAAAATATTTTTTATTTAAAAACCGGTGAGTTTTTCGGAAAAACTCTTAAACACGTATATTTTATTTTGTTGTTTTACATATTTTAAGATTTTTTTATAAATTTATACAGGGCGTTTCATAAAATATGACCATTGAGTAATGACGATTCTGCTTAAACTGCTTGACGTTTAAAGCTGATTTTTGGCAAACGGATTGACTGTGGGGTGTAGAGGTTCGATAAGGAGGGGTTTCTCGAATCTCAAATTCCAAGAGGGTGAAAACTCCACTCAAATATTACAATATTTGTTATTTAAAAAATGGTTAGTCTTTCGGGAAAACGCTTGGACAAGCATAATATATTTGGTTGTTTTACATATTTTGAATTTTTTAAAAAATCATACAGGGTGTTCCAAAAAGTTGGGTAATTTCTTAACCACGATTCTGCTTAAACTGCTTGACGTAAAAAGCTTATTTTTGGCAAGCGGATTTTTCAAAAGTCAAATTCCAACGAGATGAAACTACCCCTCAAATATTACCAAGTTATATAATAATATCGCCATATTGTTTTTTCTCATGCTGACATAAATGTGAGAAAATTTTATCCAGTTTGTATGTTAATGGAAATTCTTGCTTTGCTTTATCATCACCATTACAAATGATTAATTCGACGCGAACGAAGTCGCTGGTACACGCTAGTTTAGCTTATAAAACAATAAACTTCTGATTTCTAACCACATTTTCTCTAGACGGATGATAATCAAAGGCCAAAATGACATTCCTCGCAAATTTTGAAGTATAATTAGTGGAAAAGTTAAATGTTTGTTAACTTTTTCCACTAATTGAAAATTCCTACCACTAATTTTGACGTTCTGAATGCTTACATTCAAATTAGGGGAACAAACTTCTAGGCTAATTGAAACCACTAATTTATTCCACTAATTGCGAGGTTCTGAATGAAGCTTAATTGAAACCACTAATGTATTCCACTAATTTCGAAATTCTGAATGAAGCTAGAGAATTGTTACCGAAAAAAAGTGATACTAAACACCGTTAGGTTAGGTTATAAATCTGAAAAATTAACTTCCGACTGAGTAAAATAAATATACAGGGTGTCCGATCACAGAAAGGCATATAATCACAGAAACTTTTTGTTTTACTTTTATCTGAAGAACCACACAGTTAAGTTTGATAACTATTTTTGACACCCTGTATAATGAACTCACGATTTTGGTTGTGTAGTAGAATTAAATAAAGCGGTAATTTAAAGTAACAATAGTATGGTAACCAAATCTCATGTTGCTATTATGTACTCTTTGTGGTTGGTTTTATTGTTATAAAATAAATAAACCATTTGTTTTTGGGTGCTAGAGATAGCATTTTTACAAAGCCTATGTTACGCGCCATCTAAAACAATTCTTGCTGGCCAAAAATAGACTTGCTCTAGAGAAATGAATTTCGATATTTGAAAATCACCGAGGAGATTCGAACATGAAGTCAAATCAGGTAATATTTATCAAACATTAAATAACTAATATAATAATTTATAATATTTATTCAATACGATTAAAAAGTTTTCTGATCTGGCATCATCTTGTATGGTGACAAAAAACAATTTCTCTGGTTGCGCCAAAGCCAAAATTCCCTTGATTGTACGGTGCTAAATTTATATACAGGGTTGTTCGAATTATTGTAGTTGGGTAACTCCGGCAGCTTAAGCTTGATTTTCATGCATCCGTTAAGCCTGATTTTCATGGGTCCGTTGTCCGACGATACGATGATACGATATTAATTTTATTGGTTGAATTTGAAAACTTCGATTGGTTAGAAACGGTTAACAAATCGACGCCTTTAAATTCAGCCAATAAAATTAATATCGTATCATCGTATCGTCGAACAATGGATGCACGAAAATCAAGCTTTAAGCCGGAGTCTCATGCATCCGAAATCCGATGACACGACGATCCGACGGTGCTCCTATTGGTCGAAATATTTTGACACCAATTTTTATCCGATATTTTTAACTAATCGTCCGACGTCGTATAAAGTTAAATTTTGTTTAGCTTTTGTACGATATCGTGTGTTTTTTAACCTCACTTTTTTTGAAAACATTGGTTTTTAAAAACAAGTTTAGTGGGAAGGGGGTAATTTCGGGATATTTGGCGAGGAAGTTATTTTTATAAGTGTTTCTCCAATAATACATGTAATAATGTTGATACTGTTGATAGGAAATGACAGGTCTAAATGTCAAAACTGTCAAATTTCGGAACGAACTTTCGGATGTATGTGACAGGCTTTTTTTATTTCACAGAATATCTTCAAATTTCGGATGTCGTACCATCGGATTTCGGGTGCATGAGACTCCGGCTTAAAGCCGGAGTCTCATGCATCCGTAATCCGATGACACGACGATCCGACGGTGCTCCTATTGGTCGAAATATTTTGACACCAATTTTTATCCGATATTTTTAACTAATCGTCCGACGTCGTATAAAGTTAAATTTTGTTTAACTTTTGTACGATATCGTGTGTTTTTTAACCTCACCTTTTTTGAAAACATTGGTTTTTAAAAACAAGTTTAGTGGGAAGGGGGCAATTTCGGGATCCTGTTGATAGGAAATGACAGGTCTAAATGTCAAAACTGTCAAATTTCGGAACGAACTTTCGGATGTATGTGACAGGCTATTTTTATTTCACAGGATAACTTCAAATTTCGGATGTCGTACCATCGGATTTTGGATGCATGAGACTCCGGCTTTATACGTTGGTACGTTGGTCCAACGGTGCTCTGATTGGTCATAGCATTTTCGCGCCACTTTTCATCCGTAAATATTTTACTTCGGCCCGTCAACGGACCCGTTCATACGATAACGGACGTTTTGACACTTTTCTGACAAATTTAATCTAATAATAATAAAAATATAAGAAGTAAAATAGCAAAATCGTTATGGAAACGAAAATATAAAATAACACCAACGTATATCCGATAAACGGAGGCATGAAGATGCAATAAATTTAAAAACTGCATTATTTTCTAACCAATCGAAGTCTTTAAATTCTACCAATAAAATTAATATTGTATCAACGTATCGTCGGACAACGGATGCACGAAAATCAAGCTTTATTCTGCTGATAAAAATAACTAAAAAAAAATCGTACAAATGTATGTCCTAAAATGCTTAGTTTAAGAAATACAGGGTGTAGAAATTTCATTTTTATTTCGATTTTTTCCAAATAATTTCTGAACTAAGATCGATATTTAGATGAAAATTGGTAGTTTTTGAGATGAGAAATTTGATTTTGACACTGACATCAAAATCCCTCCTATCCCTCCTACTTATAAAGGGCGCCACCTAGGTAACTTTTCGTCCATATCTGTATTAAACTACTGAGCAAAAAATATGCATTTCCGCCATTTTTACGTAAAAAACGTCTCTTGGTAAAAACAGCTCGAGTATTAAAATCGAAATAATCAATGCATGCCATCACTGACAAAAAAAGAACATGTTGATGTTTAATGATGGCGATAATATCTCGAGAACAATTATTCCCTAGTCCTAGCTATTTTTACAAAGATACCTTTTTGCTAAGAGGTATTTTTTACGTAAAAACGGCGGAAATGTATATTTTTTACTCGGTAGTTTTTATACAGGTACGGACGAAAAGTTATTAGCCTTTAAACGAGTAAAAAAATATGCAGTGGCGCCCCCTACAAGTAAGAATAAGTTTTCATCACACTAATTTTTACCGAAATATCGACGTTAGTTCAGAAATTATTTGGAAAAAATCGAAGTAAAAATGAAACTTCTACACCCGAAGCATTTATATGCTGCAAAAGTTTTCCGAATACAAATCGGACCACCCTGTATAATTATTTTCAACTCTAATTTAAGAAAAAAAAATAAGGCAACTTTTTTCTGTTTTTCATATTCGTAATTGAAATTAGTGTAATATAATCCCAAAATACATATAACTTTAATTAAGTTTAAATAATTATTACTAAATTCTATATCTTTATTTGGCAGTAAGATAAAATATACACAGATATTTTAGTACTAACCAGTTTCGTACTTAATTTCATAATTTGGGTAATTTCTAAATTGAATTACACTACTAGAACTAATTAACTGAACCTTGAACTTGCCCCTTGCCGTAATACAACTATGCTAATATAAGGATTTGCATTTTCTCTACTTCAAAAACTTTCACTTTTATATTATATTTTTTTTTCGTGAAAATACCAATAAACATTCTGTCACCTACCTATTTCTATGTTAATGCTAAATAAAAATGAATTAGATTGTGATATTCTAGATATTTTATCTAATTTCTAGTCAGTTTTCTCGATATCTCCAATACAAAAAATTTTGTCAGTCAGTTTGTTTTTTTTTAACTGAAGCAAACTGAAATTGAAGTATACTTTTTTTAATTTTCATATTATTGACATTGATTTGAAATGTTAATATTTTTTTAAAATTTTCACTATACCGAGTGCGTCTCAAAAGTGGCTCATCCTTATAACTTTTTATTTTTTCAGATAAAATTTTTTTCAGATATAAAATTATTCGATAGAATATGACACTCTGAATGGAATGACATATCATATGTCAACTTTTGACATTCTTGCTTTAAAAAAAATATATTTTCGCTTAAAACAAAATTGTATTTTAAATTTCAGTCTAGAGGGCCACGGCTGTGTTAAAAACACTAATTTTGAATCAAGGAGCCTTGGAAAAATAGATTTGATCGTCTAATATTTTGCGTGTCTTGCCGTATTTTTAATCATATCTCAATTTTTTCAAATGGAACGAGGGTGGCTCATCAGCATATTTGGAAAAAGCATTTTTATGCGAATAATTTGGTACCACACTTGGTATTTCGAGTCAAATTGTCGTTACATTTATGGCCATAGCACTCTATATTAAAATTTAAAATGCTATTTTTTTAATTCAAAATGTCAAAAGTTATTCTATTCAGAATGTCATTTTTTACCAAACAAAGTAAAAAATACCAAGGGTGTCGTTTAAAAATCAACGTTGTAATCATTTACGGTGAAACAGAAAGCGACTGAAAACAACTGAATACGTCAATCAATCCTAATTTATGTCATATACTAACATACCAAATCTGTTTTTTTTAAATGAGTTATAGGGGTGAGCCACTTTTGAGACGCACCCGGTATGTTAGGTCGTCTCTGTAACAACTTATTTCTTTGAGTATCAACTCCAAACGACCTTGAAACTGGTAATTCGTTTTCAAAGAACTCTATATTATATCATACGCCAAAGTAGGCCAATCAATTTCCATGTAGCGTAATTATTCGCAATCGCCACCGTTTCTTGGTTTGGACTGGTCAAACTATTACAAAATGATAAGCGATTACCATCGATTTAACCTACATTGCTACTGAAAAACGGTGTCTAGCAATGTCGAGTAATACATCTCGAATTATTACGTTATAATATGTGCGTTTATTTGAAACCAAAAAAAATTACCATCACTGATTAATAATATGAATAGACAAAAAATATCTATACTGTGATACGCAAAATGTGCTGGTAGTTTGTTCAAATGAATGAATCGGAAAAGTCGATTCATTATGAAAAATTGAATCGTGTGATTCGATTCACTAGAAAAATCATCATCACAACTGTACACAACCAAGGAATCGGAAGTATAGGCTTGGTGCCATTCTCCGCAGGTGCTGCCCCCATCGGAGAATATCGTAAACATCGGCATATACAAATACAGGGGTTTAAATAGCGAGTATATGAAAAATTTATTATATACTTAATTATTCTAAGTGTTAGAAGTATAATTTGTAAAAATTCTAAAAATAAAAAAGTAAATACATATTTTGATATCTTCAGAAGGTCTAACTTGTATTATAATTTACTAGCGGGTACCAGCGACTTCGTTCGCGTCGAATTAATCATTTGTAATGGTGATGATAAAGCAAAGCAAGAATTTCCATTAACATAAAAACTGGATAAAATTTTCTCACATTTATGCCACCATGAGAAAAAACAATATGGCGATATTATTATATAACTTGATAATATTTGAGGGGTAGTTTCATCTCGTTGGAATTTGACTTTCGATAAATCCGTTTGCCAAAAATAAGCTTTCACGTCAAACAGTTTAAGCAGAATCGTGGTTAAGAAATTACTCAACTTTTTGGAACACCCTGTATGATTTTTAAAAAATTTTAAAATATGTAAAAAAACCAAATAAATTATGCTTGTCCAAGCGCTTTCCCGAAAGACTAACCGTTTTTTAAATAACAAATATTGTAATATTTGAGGGGCGTTTTTACCCTCTTGGTATTTGAGATTCGAGAAACCCCTCCTTATCGAACCTCTACACCCCACAGTTAATCCGTTTGCCAAAAATCAGCTTTAAACGTCAAGCAGTTTAAGCAGAATCGTGATTACTCAATGGTCATATTTTATGAAACACCCTGTATAAATTTATAAAAAATCTTAAAATATGTAAAACAACAAAAAAAAATATATGTGTTTAAGAGTTTTTCCGAAAAACTCACCGGTTTTTAAATAAAAAATATTTTAATATCTGAGGGATAGTTTCACCCCCTTATAATTCGAGTTTCGAAAAATCCCTTCTTATCGAACCGCTACACCCTAAAATCAATCTGTTTTCCAAAAATCAGCTTTTTACGTCAAGCAGAATCGTGATTAATCAATGACCAGATTTTTCAAAACACCCTGTATACATTTTTAAAAAATCTTAAAATATGTAAAAAACAAAATAAAATATACGTGTTTAAGCGTTTTTTCGGAAACTTGACCGTTTTTTGAATAAAAAATATTGTAATATTTGAGGGGTGGTTTCACCCTCTTGGAACTGGAATTTCGAAAAATCCCTTCCTATCGAAGCTCTACACCCTAGAATCAACCTGTATACCAAAATTGAGCTTCTTACGTTGAGTGGTTTGAGCAAGATCGTGATTAATCAGTATGTCAGTCACTTAAGGATTTTATATAATAGTATAGATTATTCAAGCTAATAAAACTTTTTAGATGATTTCAACTACGGTAGCTAGTATAGTTTTACGCACCAATTATGCTAGCGGAGACATAACTGGGGCTATTTCGGTTATCATTTTTTTTAAAAGTACATAATTAATTTTAGAAGATGTTCATAAAAAATTTAAGCACTAGTTGATTAAAACAAGTATACTATTAATATAGAAAATTATAATTTATCCTCTCATAGTATATGCCTATTTAATTTTTAGCCAACCATACCCAACAGGTATGGGAGGCTCGAGGGTAGGATATTAAGATCGGCAAAAAAAAGGTTTTTAAATTCACTCAAAATGAGTTATTTGGGTCATAAATGACCTAAATACAAAATATTTTCATGGTGTCTGTCTGTCCATCTGTCTGTAACACGATAACTCTAACCGCTAAACCGATTTTAACCAAATTTGGCACAAAAATACTGTGGCACCCGAGATTCTGGCCATTAGTTTTTGGTGGGGGTGGGGGTTGGTAAGGGGGTATGGGAGGGGGTTAAAAATTTAAAAAAATCGTAACTCCAAAATTACAGTAGCTAGCGAAACGCGGTTTTCAATTTAAGATTAGGAATAATATTTGCAACAAAATTTGTAATAACATCAAAATCAGTCAAAGTCGCAGTTTTTGAGATAAAAAAAATTGGAAAAATTCCTTTACTTTGAAACTAAAAGAACTGCCTACAAACTTTTTACTAACATATTTTAGTATGGGCGGCTGTACGTGCCTCCCGGCGCCAATTTTTTGATTCTGTAAAGGGCACTTTTTTACTCACTCCCTTCGTCGAGCTGCTTGAATCCATTTTTGCTTTGCGATCAAATCGACATGAGAAGTTGTGAAGCTACAAAATGTTGTTTCAGGTATTGAATGTTATTGCACCCAATAACCACGTATTTACATCCTCCTTTATGTATTAACATTTTTTCGGCACTTTTATTAACATTTAAAATTGTTAACACAAAGCGACGCCCAGTTCGGGTTTTCACTGAATTTTTACTACCCGAAAGAACGTTACGTCACATAAAACTCGTACCGGAGTAAAAACTAAAATACTTAAATATTATGACAAGACCACGATTTTAATATTATTTCAATGCGATCAACATCGGAACAGCGCGAAATACAGAACCGAAAACTTCTGATTTTTGCCGTATCGAGCGCTGCGGTCGGAATTTATAAAATCAACTGAAATGCACCAAGCCTATACAAGGCAGATATAAATAGAAAATGCTAGGTTGCCAGTTATTATTAAAAAGCTTTATTAACCAACATATATGTAATTAATATAATGAGAATGATACCGTATGATCGAAAAAAACGGCGTCGAAGATGGCTGGGGAATAACAATCGATGATAATTTTGGCGAGATCAATCACTAAATGTGACAATTTTAACATATAACTTGTCAAAAATTAACATTAATTATAGAAAGATTAAAAAAGGTAGAACGTTTCGAGACACAAAAATCTATTTCCAAAAAAAAATTCTCAAATTTTAAACATGGGTGTAGTTAAAAATCATTTTTACCCAATATAAAAATAAGTTACAACTAGTGATGGGATAACTCGAGCGAAAATTCGCTCGAGTACTCGATTATTACAATAACTGACATCGCTCGATTATGAACGAGCGATTCAAGTGACGAGTACCAAGCGACGAACGCAAGCGATCCTAGAATGAAATAAATTGAAATCCGATTTTAATGTGACATGCTGGATAAAAAGCCGATCGAATTTTCTACATACATTGCAGGTAGCAAATTTATACGACGCCGTATATACCCGGTGCGTCTCAAAAGTGGCTCACCCCTATAACTTTTTTATTTTGTTATATAAAAAAATGAGATTTGGTATGTTAGTATATGACATAAATTAGGATTGATTGACGTATTCAATTGTTTTCTGTCACTTCCTGTTTCACCGGAAATGACTACAATTTTTGATTTTTAAATGGCACCGTCGGTATTTTTTTACTTTATTCGATAGAAAACATTCTAAATAGAATGAAGTATCATATGTCAAGTTTTGACATAGTCGCTCAAAAACAAATTGTATTTTAAATTTCAATCTAGAGTGCCATGGCTGTGTTGTGGTTGTTTATGTCATTCTATTCAGAGTGTCATTTTCTACCGAGCAAATTAAAAAAATACCGAGGGTGCCATTTAAAAATCAAAAGTTGTAGTCATTTCCGGTGAAACCGGAAGTGACCGAAAACAATTGAATATATCAATCAGTACTAATTTATGTCATATACTAACATACCAAATCTCGTTTTATCTGAAAAAAAAATAAAAAAGTTATAGGGGTGAGCCACTTTTGAGACGCACCCGGTATATTTATCCGTTGCGTATCTGAGGGACAAAATTTTACGACCTACATCGACAATGCTTCGAAATAAACTAAATCAAGCGATCAAGCGAATCGCTCCCCATAAGAGCAATGAGAGGATTTACATCCTAGTATTGAAGGACAGAAAATCGATTCTGAATGCTTGGGACATAAGTTCATCCTTGTTTAGTCAAACCTCTTACAACACAAGGATAGACTTATGTAGGAAATGCATTGAAATTCTATAGCCATCCTTCAATATCGCGGCAGGAATTTAAGCGGTACCCTCCGTCTCCGTATACTTTATTTTAAACATATTTGCTACTTGCCGTTCATTACCGAAAGAATATGTGCCCTGCGCACGCAACTTACTGCTTGACGCTTGGCGTTAACGAGTACTTACAACAAACGACGGGTGAAAACCGTATTTTTAAATACGAGTGATATTTCGCTCGAGTGATCACTCGGTTATTGCAATCGCTTGATACTCGAGTACTCGATTATTGAAATTAATCGGTTTTTCCCATCACTAGTTACAACCTTCTTCAAGCCATCTGGCAGTAAGCGCCATTAAAGAATAAAAAAAGAGTACAGGCCAAGTAAATAACATATAGGGCTTGACTTCGTCAAAATTATTATCGATTGTCATTCTCCAGCCGCCTTTGACGCCGTTTTTTTTTGAGATCGTATGGTATCTATAACCACAAGATTCAAAGTCCCAAAGAATATTCTGAAGATAATTATTGAAATATTTTGTATTAACTTGTGATATAATATACAAGGTGGTATAAAAAATCAACAATTAAGATTACCTCACCATGTATAGGTATATAAAAAGCAATTAATGTATTTTAGTACATAATTAATTAAAAATAGTTTTGAAAAGGGTACTCGTTTTTTATTACCCTGTATAGTTAATTGATTAACATCTGAATAAACCGTAAAAAGAATTATTGTGTAACATCTTAACTATCTTGCTTTATTAGTACTGTGGTTCACACGACTTACAATGTGATTTTTAACAGTATATTCATGCGTTATGTAATAAATTTACATAACGGAAAATAACCTATATTTTTTTACTTCCCCATTCTATTATTTCAGGAAAACTATTTTCAATATTCATCGAAATTTTCGGTATTCACCGAGTCAAATTCACCGAAATATTTTTCTAGTTTTGTTTACTTAATATTATTTTGTTTTGTCCAAAAAATGTGTTAGTTTTTATTATTTTAGAAAATTTGTAGGTATATTTGATATCAATTAAACTTTTAGTTACGTAATCGAGGACGCGATTTTTAAATTCATTGTCACCAACCATAAACCAACCATAAAATGTCGCTCTGCTGTAAAAAATGTCAAGTTGCACATTTATTTATATATTTCCTGACAGTGTCACCCGTTTAGTTTCGTATTAGAAGTTTTTGGTTTAAATTAATTGTGTTGTAATAATTTAAGCTTAAAAATGTTTACTAATAGACCTTACAGTCGAACATTGTCCTTTTTAGAACCTCTTTTAGTGCGAAGGGTACAAGACTTAAAAGCCTTAAAAAACTCATCGCAACATTATTAGAATATTTTGAACGGGAGAACGGTAGTAATGGCCCTTTATGTCCCTTAAGTGCTGTTAAGGAGATGAATTTTGTTGATGTAAATAATAACTGTTTGTATATTTATAATTAATTCATTTTTGTTACCTAAAATATTTTGATTAAAAGAAAATATGTAAAAGTGGGCAACGCTGTGCCGGTCAAGCTTAATCACGTGACTAAAAGTTTATTTGATATGAACTATATATGACATAGCCACAATTTTAATATTATTTCAATGCGATCAACATCAGAACTGCCTGAAATACAGAGTTGGAAAGTTCTGATTTCTGCCGTGCCGAGCGCTGTTGTCGAAATTTTAAAAATCGAGTGAAATGCCCCAAGCCTATATACGTTTTATTATTTTTCAGTCATGGATTTTACTTGAAATATGGTTAATGCCCCTAGTCTACGCCGCTGTGATACCACCGCCATGGGCTAATCCGGACCTGAATCCATGTGCCCGACAATCTAGAGGGTGGCAAGTTTTGTTTTGGCCACCGGATAAGAAATGTTACAAAATATTTAAGGTATATACTTGGATACTGATTACTGGATTCTCATTCATTCTCTAACAATTTATTTTATTGAAGAGTCAGGGGAAAACATGATAAGCGCCATTTTACTAATTTTGCGCAGTGGACAGCTGGTGATTATCAGGTTCTTTTCGTGTATTCTACATTTTTACTAGAACAACTTATTGCCCTGCAGAATTTATACATTTCGTAGGGACCAGATAGACCTACTATAATATTAGACCCAAAGATTAGACCAGTCGACAAGTGGTTTTAGGTGGAAATAATTAGGGGCAAGTTGCAATAACACTTATTCTCTTTGTTTTGCTTTGTTGAATACTCTACTAAATTTGCACGGTCTATGAATCCCGGATTTGGCCGCCATATTGGAAAATCCTGTCAAATTATGACATTTTTATGTTTTTTTTAAATAACTCGGTCTGGGGGTCTTTTTAAATAACTGCACTGTATAGAAAATTTGCAAGATACCAAAAAGAAAGCTATTTAAATTCTCTACAAAAAAAGTCCTATTCACCGATTTCGTGCATGAACAGGTTAAAGAGATACAGGCGCTTAAATACAATGCATATATTTTCTAGTGGTTCATTTAATATGAGAAACTGATTCTATGTAAATTTGAATAATTTGCCAGTACAAATTTGTGTTTTTCTTATGCTCGTTTCCACACCACCTGGCGGTAGAGCACTCGGCGCACTTTTTTTTAAGTGGTTTCCCGTATAGGCCTAATCCACTTTCTTGCCGTTGCAAATGTTCTATTTTTATATCCATATGACATGATATGCTTTATAAGTATGTATTTTCACCGTCTGCTTTTTTTGACCTAGAAGGTTGATCAATTGACTCATCAATATATTCTTCAACAAACTGTTCATCTGGTTCTTGTTCAATGTCTATGTCTTCGATATTTTCGTTGGTCATTAATTCTTCTAATCGAGAATCGATTTCTTCGTCGTCCCCTAGATCTTCTAGAGTTATTTCAGAATTTGAACACGCTCTTCCCTGGCACGAATCGCACACTACCGAACAGTGTAATCCTGCTTTTCTGCAGTTGCAGGCTGCGTTGCAACCTTTTATGCATTTCCAAGACATTGTTTGACAGGATCATTTTCAATAACTCTTGGGGAGCGGCGCGGCGTCTTGCAGCATAGGAATCGGTATAAGTCCATTGGACGACTGCTTCCAACCCCAGTCAGTGGGAATTTTTTCGTTACCGTACCATTTTTGAACTTATAGGTATGTAGGAAATGAGTGCATGCGAGCCGCATCTTCAGTTGGAGGAAGGGATGCAAGATTAAATAAACTCTTTGTTATAGATTGCGCAAAAAATCGATGTCTATAGATGTGTAGTGATGTGTCGTCGCTCTTTGACCCATAAAGTGCAAGAACAAATTGAATTCCAACGTTGGCATTTGGGTCTCTAAAGCAGTAAATGACAGTTTTCAAACTTGTCTGATTTCTTAGAAACTTAAGGAACTTCATTTTACCCTGCCTGTAAATTGCTGAAGTGGTGTAGCACCCACTAAATGCATGTAAAAACAAAATGTTTTCTTTCACAGCCGTGTCTAATATTGATGGAGAGGGTGAATAGAGGGTATTTCCAGCTTTTCCCTTTCCTTGCTTTAAAAAGTAGATGTTATTCTGAGACTCGCATAGTGCAGTAAGTGTAACCAGTAAATCAATGTTCTCGATTAGAAGAATTAATGACCAACGAAAATATCGAAGACATAGACATTAAACAAGAACCAGATGAACAGTTTGAGGAAGAATATATTGATGAGTCAATTGATCAACCTTCTACGTAAAAAAAAGCTGAAAATACATACTTATAAAGCATATCATGTCATATGGATATAAAAATAGAACATTTGCAACGGCAAGAAAGTGGATTAGGCCTATAGCGGAAACCACTTAAAAAAAGTGCGCCGAGTGCTCTACCGCCAGGTGGTGTGGAAACGAACATAAGAAAAACACAAATTTGTATTGGCAAATTATTCAAATTTACATAGAATCAGTTTCTCATATTAAATGAACCACTAGAAAATATATGCATTGTATTTAAGCGCTTGTATCTCGTTAACCTGTTCATGCACGAAATCGGTGAATAGGACCTTTTTTATAGAGAATTTAAATGCTTTCTTTTTGGTCTCTTGCAAATTTTCTGTACAGTGCACCCAGACCGAGTTATTTAAAAAAAAAGCATACAAATGTCATAATTTGACAGCATTTTCCAATATGGCGACCAAATCCGGGATCGATAGACCGTGCAAATTTAGTAGAGTATTCAACAAAGCAAAACAAAGAGAATAAGTGTTATTGCAGCTTGCCCCTAATTATTTCCACCTAGGCTTATTTAAAACGACGTACCGACTGGCCTATATTGTAAAATCCTAAAATTAAAAAACTGGTGCGGAATATTAAAATTAGATTTAAAAGTTTTCTGATCAAACGTATTTCCTAGCATGACAGAAATATAATTCCTAGAGGAAATTGCACATTTGAATATTTTTAACTGTCAAAGACAAAGCCCACTCGATCATAAAATTTTTTGATCGCACGGTAGTTATGTGTACAGCAAAGACGGAAGTGACAAGTGGCTTTATTGTTCGATTAGAATAACAAGTGCGTGGCGATTTATTAAAATTAAAGAAGAAAAAACTGAACAATTAGCATTTCTAATAAATACAGATAGCCTCGGTTACGCAACGAGGAAATTATACTTATTTCGTCATAAATATTGATAAGCCCATTACGTAAACCTCGCCAGAAAAAATCCCTTTTACTCTATGGGCATAGTCAAGGTTTCCTGCTTATTTTCAGAATATATTGCCAATTAATAAAGTTGGTAACTTATGACCTTTGGAAAAGTGAAAAAACAAAAATCCGTTATAAGAATTCTTCGTTTTTACATTCTTGTAATATATTAATCACGTAATTATTATTTATTTGGTTATTTATTTTTATGCATAAAAAATTGAGAATCATATACAGGGTGTAAATGAATAATTGTGAAGAAATTCAAGAGGTATTTGATTTTTTTAAGTAAAAAAAAATATATTATAGTATACAGGGTGGTCCGAATTGGAATCTGAAAACCTTGGTAATATATTCTGCAGATAAAAATAGGTAAAAAAGTTCGTTTAAAATTATGTCCTAAAATGCTTCGTTTCGGCGTAGAGGTTTCTTATTTCGATTTTTTCAAAATAATTTCTGAAATAATATCGATATTTGGATGAAAATTAGTGGCTGGGTATTTTTTGACAAGAGAAATTAGATTTCGATGTCAATATGACTTCTACTTACTAGAGTATATATAGAGACAAATATGACTTCTACTATGAGATAAATTAGGATTGATTGACGTATTCAATTGTTTTCGGTCGCTTCCTGTTTCACCGGAAATGACTACAATTTTTTATTTTTAAATGACACCCTCGGTATTTGTTTATTTTATTCGAAAGAAAATGACACTCTAAATAGAATGGCATATTATACAGGGTGGCGCACCTCATTCGCCTCGGTTGATTATACGAAAACGGGAAGATGTAGAAACAAAATATTTTATGGGTATATGTGGGGAGGTAATGTGCACAATTTAAAATCATTTTGAAATGTACAGGGTGTTTCAGAACTAAGATCATTAACAGTATTTTTTCTTATGGACATTCCGGTATTTTGTTTCTTTTGATTCTGCTGAAAGGTGAGCTTATTATAGCAGTTTAATAGCGTTTAAAACTTTAGTTTTTGAGATATTTGAAAGATATTTAGTTTTGCATAGGCTAATAGAATATGCTGTGGCATATTTCTGTGAATTGTGTTGAATTTAGCGTAAAGCAAAGGTCTTACAGAAAAATGTTATTCCTTATATATATAGGAACAGCACCTGCTGGTCTATAATATTTATTTACTTCAAATGTAACACCATGGGCTTTAAATAAGCAGATTTAACAGCCTTCAGTCTATATTAGGTTCCCTTATACTAACATTTGACAAAAAGATTTTTCAGGCTCATCAAGATGGTTAGTGCTGTCATGCTTAGTGACAGTTAGTAGCTATTTCACCCAGGTCAGTTTATGGACTTATTTAAATTTATACCAGTTTACTTTTATTTAATTTACCTACAATAGTTTAATAAATAATATTTATTAAATGTGTTTATTATTCTATCAAGAAAAACGAAGATGTAGTCTTTGAATTATTTTACGATGACTTGTAGATACATGGATTTTCTATAAAAGAGCCAATTACGGCAAATTCATTTTCTTCACTTCCAACGACAGGTTTCTGTCTAATAGTTTTTTTATAAACTACACTACCAGGTGAAATAGGACAAGAATTTTTTCAAAGAAACTCTTATCAGGAAGATTCCTATTTGGATATCTTTGGGCATAAGCCCTTGCTGCCAAGAAGCAATTTTCCTCAAAATAATATATCACTAGTAACATATCTATTCGTTTCGCCAGCAAATACTGCTTTATTTTTCTTGATAAAATAATGAATACTTACTTATTAAACTATTGTAGGTAAACTTAAGTAAACTGTTATAAATTATAAATAATAATGTCCATAAACTATTGTCGGCCCTGAAAATAGTTACTAACTGTCACTAGAAAATTGCCATGGCCACACCAGCCATCTTGATTACAATTTTATTTAAAAATCGCTTTTTATTCAAAATCTGAGCTAGACAGGTATAGGAAACCCTAATATAGTTTGAAAGAGCATTTAAATCTGCTTCGATTTGTTTAAAAAAATACAGGGTGTTACATTTGAAATAACAAAGTTTTTATATAAAATATATCCTTAAAATAGATCAGCAACTTTTGATAGCCCTGTATAAATTGAAGGAACCAATACCATTTTTCAGTAAGGTTTATTTCTCTACCTTTAATCTCAGCATAAGAATTAATTCCGAAAAGTAATGTACAGGGTGTTAATAGTCTATTCTATTGTAGCATGCAAATTTAAATATCTCAAAAACTAAAGATTTTAAACATATTTAACCCTTATAATAAATGCCTTTTTTAAGGCCCAAGAATCCACAAATGAAATAAAATACCGGGTGTTCCATAAGAAAAAATATAACTTTGGTATGGATCTTAGTTCTGAAACACCCTGTATATTTCAAAATAATTTTAAATTGTACACATTGTCTCCCCACATGTATCCCTAAAATATTTTGTTTCTACATCTTTCCGTTTTCGTATAATCAACCGAAGTGAATAAGGTGCGCCACCCTGAAGTGTATGTCAACTTTGGACACCCGCTTAAAAAAACTTGTATTGTAAATTTCAATCAAGAGTGCCATGGCTATTTTAAAAACACCAAATTTTAATCAAGGAGCCTTAGGAAAATAGATTTGATCGTCTAATGTTTTTAGAGTCTTGTCATGGCCGGTTCAAAGATGCCTAAATCGTATTTTTATTTTTTTTTAAATAGAACGATAGTAGTGGCTCATTAGTATATTTCGTTAAAGTTTTTTTACGAATAATTTGATACCACACACTTGGCATCTCGAGTCAAATTGTCGTTATGAACCGCATGTTGCAATTTCAAATAAACTATTTCGAAAATTTCAAAAGTTGACATATGATATGGCATTCTATTCAAAGTATCATTTTCAATCGAATAAAATAAAAAAAATACCAAGGGTGCCATTTAAAAATCAAAAGTTGTAGTCATTTCCGGTGAAACAAGAAGTGACCGAAAAGAATTAAATATGTCAATTAATCCTAATTTATGTCATATACTAATATGCCAAATCTCGTTTTTCTATGTGAAATAATTATAGGGGTGAGCCACTTTTGCAACGCACCCGGTATACAGAGTGACAATGTGAAATATAAAAAGACAAAAAATACTATTAGGAATAAGATATTCTGTATTTTTTTCCCAAATGCGTATAGTTTAAGATGAAAGATGTTTTATTCGGATATGATATACAGGGTCGTCCATTAAGCACCATCACATGATATTGTTGCGGACCGGTGTGGACTCGACCTAACCTAACTATATAGCCCGCCCTCGGATGAACATCGCATTAACATCGCATTAAAGAATAGACACCGTAATAATTCATTCGAAGATTCGAGAAGAAACGAGTTCCACTGCAATGGAGTAGTACATACGAGAACAATCGAAACTTTCTCTATGCACCTAACGATCTATGGACTATTCTAGAGATCTTTAGCTGTCGGTATAAAAGCCGACGGCTGTGGCCTACAGAGGGCAGTTATAAATAGACGAGTGCAGTTGACGCGCTAAAATTCAAAATAAATTCTTAGTTATAAATCGTTTGTAAATAGTTCTATAAGGCTTTTATCGTTATTGTTTTTTTTTTGTTAATTAGTGTTAAATAAATAGTGTTTAAATAAATTGTGACTTTCTATCCACACGGAACCGACGAAAAACGTAACAATATGAAAAAAACTTCTAGGTTGGATATCCTTGTCCTGATGGTATGGAACTCAGTCCAGCGACAAGCAGAAACGGCAAAGAATTGTATGCTGAGTGTAGGTGCCCTCCAGGACAAGCATTCTCCATAGAAGAAGGAAAGTGCTTTCAGCTTTTCACCCCTGGACCGTGCCAGCAGGGATCTTATTTCGGATCAGATGGTGAATATAAAAATAACGTAACTACGTAAGTAAAACCAGAAAAAAAAACATTAAATTAAGATACTTGATACACATCAAAGTTTCATTTTTTTTAAATGGAATCCCCCTATATTATTGCATATTTCGATTCTTTCTTCAATTCTAAGCAACAATCAAGATACACACAATGTACTTCAAACCAACCGTTTCCGAGTTATTGACTTTTGAAAATATCATTTAAACAATTGGATTTAATTAATTTCGATGTGTTTGGTTTCATTTAACGATGCCATTCTGCGGAAACTGTGATACTTAATAATATTTGACATTAGTTTTCAAGTTAGCATTTATAGATGTATAAAATGAGATTATATTAAGCCTGGAAATTACAAAATTTTTGTTTAACATTTCAAAATCAAAACTTCATAATCCGGAAATTGTTGTCACTTAATGTCACTAAAAAACAATAAGTCAGTAAAAAACCGAAACTGAAGTCATATTGTCATATTAAAATAGTGCCCCGACCACGCAGAATCTATACTAATATATAAAATCCTTAAGTGACTGACATACTGATTAATCACGATCCTGCTCAAACCACTCAACGTAAGAAGCTCAATTTTGGCATACAGGTTGATTCTAGGGTGTAGAGGTTCGATAAGAAGGGATTTTTCGAAATTCCAGTTCCAAGAGGGTGAAACCACCCCTCAAATATTACAATATTTTTTATTTAAAAAACGGTCAAGTTTCCGAAAAATCGCTTAAACACGTATATTTTATTTTGTTTTTTACATATTTTAAGATTTTTTAAAAATGTATACAGGGTGTTTCGAAAAATCTGGTCACTGATTAATCACGATCCTGCTTAAAGCGCTTGACGTAAAAAGCGTATTTTTGGAAAACACATTGACTTTAGGGTATATATAGAAATATTTAGTAATCACGATTCTGCTTAAACTGCTTGACGTTTAAAGCTGATTTTTGGCAAACGGATTGACTGTGGGGTGTAGAGGTTCGATAAAGAGGGGTTTCTCGAATCTCAAATTCCAAGAGGGTGAAAACGCCCCTCAAATATTACAATATTTGTTATTTAAAAAACGGTTAGTCTTTCGGGAAAACGCTTGGACAAGCATAATTTATTTGGTTTTTATACATATTTTGAAATTGTTTAAAAGATTATACAGGGTGTGCCAAAAAGTTGGGTAATTTCTTAACCAAGATTCTGCTAAAACTGCTTGACGTAAAAAGCTTATTTTTGGCAAACGGATTTTTCGAAAGTCAAATTCCAACAAGATGAAACTACCCCTCAAATATTACCAAGTTATATAATAATATCGGCATATTGTTTTTTCTCATGCTGACATAAATGTGAGAAAATTTTATCCAGTTTGTATGTTAATGGAAATTCTTGCTTTGCTTTATCATCACCATTACAAAAGAGTAAGTCGACGCGAACGAAGTCGCTGGTACACGCTAATAACACATAAAACAACTTTAAATTTCAAAAATACTACTTAAATACATCACTGCATATTGGATTATCTCTCACCTATAAATACTTCTTTCAGATCAATACAGAGGTTAGGTTCCTGTAAACAAATAGCCACATGTCCTGACGTTCACTCGATCTTCTGGATCAAAGACGGCAAATGTTACCAAAAACTGACCAAAGGACCTTGCGCAAAAGGCCAACTGCTCACAATGACAACTGGCAACAAACTCCCTGTCTGCGCATGTGACAAAAGGAAAGAATTGAGGCAATTCAGGGCCAGAGACGGCAGATGCTATCAGCATTTTACCAGAGGTCCTTGCAAAGAAAAAGGAACGCTGTTTTTGCCAGATGGGACATGCGGATGTCACTCGTTTTTGCCTCATTATCATAAACAAACAGACAAGTGCTTTGAATTAGGTAAGATATTTTTTGGATTCTAGTCAAGTAAAAACCGAAATATTTGCCAGTTAATATTTTCCTATTAGTATAATGTTATTTGCTATTTCCCCTATTAAAACATGATGAGCCGTGTAGGCTGACTGTAGTGTATAGTTTATATCAAATAAACTTTTAGTCACGTGATTAAGCTTGAGGCATATCGTTGCCCATTTTTACATATTTTCTTTTAATCAAAATATTTTAGGAAACAAAAATAAATTAATTATAAATACCGGGTGCGTCTCAAAAGTGGCTCACCCCTATAACTTTTTTATTTTTCCAGATAGGAAAACCAGATTTGGTATGTTAGTATATGACATAAATTAGAATTGATTGACGAATTCAATTGTTTTTGGTCACTTCCTGTTTCACCGGAAATGACTACAACTTTTGATTTTTAAATGACACCCTCGGTATTGTTTTACTTTATTCGATAGAAAATGACATTCTGAATAGAATGACATATCATATGTCAATTTTTGACATTTTCGCTTAATCAAAAATTGTATTTTAAAATTCAATCTAGAGTGCCGTGGCTATGTTAAAAACAACGATACTTAATCAAGGAGCCTTGGAAAAAATGGATTTGATCGTCTAATGTTTTTAGTGTCTTGTCCTGGCCAGTTAGAAAATGCTTTTTTTTAATCATATCTCAATTTTTTCAAATGGAACGAGGGTGGCTCATTAGCATATTTGGAAAAAGCATTTTTTTACGAATAATTTGACACCATACACTTGATACTTCGAGTCAAATTTTCCTTACGAACCGCAAGTTATAATTTCAAATAAACAATATGCGAAAATGTCAAGAGTTGACATATGATATGTCATTCAATTGAGAATGTTATTTTCTATCGAATAAAGCAAAAAAAATGCAGAGGGTGCCATTTAAAAATCAAAAGTTGTAGCCATTTCCGGTGAAACAGGAAGTGACAGAAAACAATTGAATACATCAATCAATCCTAATTATTATGTCATATACTAACATACCAAATTTCGGGTTTTTAACTGAAAAAGTAAAAACGTTATAGGGGTGAGCCACTTTTGAGACGCACCCGGAATATAATCAGTTATTATTTTCATCAACAAAACTCACCTTCTTAAAAGCACTTACGGGGCATAAAGGGCCATTACTACCGCTTTCCGGTTCAAAATATTCTAATAATGTTGGGATGTGTTTTTTACGGTTATTAAGCTATCTTGTACCCTTCGCACTAAAAGAGGTTCTAAAAAGAACAGTGTTCGATTTCAAGGTCTGCTAGTAAACATTTTTAAGCTTAAAGAATCACAACACTATTTATTTAAACCAAAAACTCGTAATACAAAACTAAAGTGTCAAAACGAATGAACGAATGACAATGTCAGGAAATAAATAAATAAATGTGGCAACTTGACATGTTTAACAGCAGAGCTACCACCTGCATTCCCAGCGCGAAATTTAAATTGCCTATAAAAATATGAAAATAAGTTATATTTGGTAATTAATTAATTTCAGGCACTGTAGGACCTTGTTCAAAAGGCGAAATCTTCACCGTCCTGCCTCAAACAAACAACGGAGGATGCATGTGTAAACCTGGCAACATCCGATACCTAGACAATCCTTTCTGCCACCGTCCTTTTACAAGAGGACCCTGCAAAGCAAGTCACATTCTTTTCAACCAAACTCACTGTCTACCACAACCCTGTGAAAAGGGAGAACTATACTACCCCGATGAAGACTCCTGCTTTAAAATAGGTTCTAGAGGTCCCTGCCCAGCAGGAAGAATCATATCGTTCGATTTCGACACTAGGCCTTCCATTGACGGTGTTTCGTACAACGGAGTATGCATGTGTGAGACAAAAAATTGTATAGATGAAAACGCAGTAAATATAAGTGATGATAAAGAACAAGAGATTGGCAAGGAAGAAGAGCGGATGACTAAAAAATCGAGAAATAAAGACATTTCAGAAGAAAATGTTAAATGTGATAGCGACCGAGGTCAAATTCGCTATAAAAGTGGATGTTTTAAAATATATAGTCATGATCCGTGCGAGGAAGGTGCTTGGTTAGTTCCTACGAAAAGAAAAGAAGATGAAGATTTTGTAGGGATATGTGAGTGTACTCCTGGGCATGTTAAAAAAGAAAAAATTGTAGAAAATAGACTAGAGTCCGAATGTTTGTCCCAAACCTCCATATTGGCGGACTACCTCAAAATGAATTTTACTGTTAGTCAAAGGATGTAAAATTGTATAGAATGTTCAGCCATCGTTCAACGTTACGTCATATATTGTCAAACTTACTCAATCACTTGACAACCAGATGAAAGAGATTGGTGACGTTATTACGGCATTCCGTTAATTACTGCATCTTCTTTTTGGTGTTATAATTTTATTGACGGACATTGGTAAATGTCAAAATTAAAAATTGTTTATCGTTGTGAAACAAAATTCAATTTTTTTATTGCAAAAATGCCTCAAATATTTAACTAAAATGAATAAGAGCTCTTTGCTAAGCTTATAAATTATTTTTCTCCAGTAATAGAAGCTGGTAGAACACTCTTGCCCGTGGACGCCGTATATGAAGTCGAATGCAAAGATCTAATGTAAAATATAAATTTATAGCTTTTTTTAATAATATAGCGAGTTGCTGATGCTTTAGAAATAAGAATTTCAACAGTCCAAAGGATTCGAACTAAAGGGATCTTAACTGATGAAGAGTTCAAGAAAAAATTAATAAAATATAATAATATTAAATAAAAAATATATAATAAAATAAAAGTAATATATGAACGTACTTAAACTTTCTAAACAATATGAAATGATCTCAGACACCCCTAAAATTCATATTTGACAAACAATAATGACGTAACGTTGAACGATAGCTGGCCAGCCTTTATATTTGTGTTCAAAACTGTGATTTATATTTGCAAAGCAGCAACTTGGTTTGCAAACAAAAAAAAAGCCATAAAAATAAAATTAATTAAGATATAAAAATTGTAGTTTTCTTAGCTTAACTCTATTTCATGCAGAATGAATGTTATAGATCAAAACAAAATAGATCAAATAGATTTATAGATAAAAAAAAAGAATCAAAACAATTAGTCACACTAAAAACACAACAAAAATGTGTACAAACCATAAAATCCATGGTAAACTGAAAGAATCTAACAAGAAAAAATAAAAATTAATTTCCCAAACCATAATAAATATTTCTGAAAAGTGTATGACAATGCAATTGCTAATTTAAAAAATATCATTTTTAAATACCTTAGTTTTCTTCTAAGCTCCTTTAGTTCAGTTTCAAGGTTAGCTAGGGCTTTATTCTTTGACAGCAGCTGATCTTCCAGTGCTGCATTTTGTTCAGTTTTTTCATCCAATTTATTCTAAAACAAAAATTATACTACATATACGCTTAAAAACGATAAAAAAGTAACTGTTTCTCAACTAAAAATATATACAGGGTAGTTCAAAAACATACCAATATGTCATCTTTTTCTCTGTCAAGTTTTGATAGTTGATTCTTCATTATCTGCAAATCTGATGTCAATCTAGTTACTTCCCTATCATGGACAGCTGTTTCTCTGTGAGAATCTTTCATGATTGAATGATAATTAGCTAACTCTGTTTCAGCATGCAACATTTTACTCTGAGCATCAGCAAGAGCACGATCAGCTTGTTCATTTAACAATCTAAAAATATACAAGGTTATTCAGGCTTTTTGTGAGTTATAGACAAAAAACTACCGAAATAAATAGTTGTTAGATAGAATTGAAAACGTCGCTAGTTGATACAGCGTATTAAAATATATATTGTACTTACTTGAGTTGGTTATAACTTGCTCTCAAAGTGCTAAGTTCCATTTGGGCTTGTCTAAGTTGTTCCTTCACAGATTTGTATTCGTCTTCTAAATGAGATATGCTGGACCTTTGAGTTAATTCACCCTTTACCAATTCTCGTCTTTCATCCTCAAGTTTTCTGATGTGTGCTTCCATTTCTTGAAAAGCTTTCTTCATTCTTTCTTCGTTAAAAACCGTCGTTTCGTTTACTGACTGAAATATTAATCAAAATTAGGTAATTAATATAGGGTGTAAAAACTCTTATAAATTGATGGTATATATACAGGGTGTCCCAGAAATAAGTGCAAGTATTTTAAAGGGTGGTATATCTCGATAAAAGAAACATATTTTCTCTTTATCGTTTTTCAAATAAGTCCAAAATAACGGAGTTATTTTACTTTGAAAATTTACCAAAAAAGTGATTTTTTGCTAAAATTTAGAGAACCACTGGATCTTATTTGGATTTTCTTTCTTGTAAATTTAATCTAATACCTATGTTGCCATATTATCAAGAAATTATGTTTTTTAACTAAAAACTAAAAAAAAATTCCAAAATTTTTTTAAAAAAATTTCGAATTTTCAAAATTTTTTCTTTCGCGAAAAAAACTCATAGTCGTGTTCTGGGGCTGAACTATACCACCAGTTAAAATACTTGCACTTATTTCTGGGACACCCTGTATGTTAACAGATGGTATTATATGTTGACTAAGGCTAAAATATAATAATATGTGAACACTACATACATTGTTACATACTTGATCTATGAAAAGTATGTAGAGACAAAATAATTCTGAATTCACAGCGATATGCTAAATTTTTGAAGTGAAATTTAATTACGCGCGATGGGGTAAACAAGGCTGTGACACACGAGACGCGAGAGGAAAAGTTGTAACGATCGGAGCGTCATAACTCGGGCCCTATGCTGAAACTCAAAATATAGATGGGGCTCGAAAAGCCCCATCTTTTCATGACATTTTAACCACGTTTCGTGCACTACGAAATCCCATCGTCAATGAATCAAATCAAAAAATTGTCCGATTTAAATGAAATTTGGTATGTCGATAGATTAGACCAAGGCCAACTTGACCGTGTACGACACGTGTCACTATGGCAGTTAGTTTTGACGTAAGAAACGTCAAAATTTGATGTCGTCCGATCGCGACCAAATTTGATAGGTAGGCAATGTGAACGACGGTACACACGGTCCCACCCTGCAAAGTTGGATACGACGTTTCGTTTACATCTGCAAGGTGGGACTAACGATTTGATATTGAAGAAAAATGTGGGTCGATTTCGGGACAATTGGAGACGGACTACAGGATGACGCCCCCGACGTTTCAAACCGATGCCTCTAAATGGACGAAATCATCAGGATTTCTTTAATTATGGGTCGATTAGAACCAAACTAAGCACGTGGATAGAGGTATCCGAATGGAGTCCTCAGACGGACACACTGGCAGACGTACAGACAAGTTAGGAAGTTTCACTTCAAATATGCGCACATAGTGCACACACAAATTTTTTATTTTAAAATTAGTAAGGGATAAAAAAAATTGTGTCAAATACTGCAAGGGGAGAGGAGGTTAGAACCCCCTGTATATGACGTAGTCAAATAAGGATATATAAAAGCTCATTTAATTAGTAATATTCGCAGACCAAGTTTTACTTCCCAAGTAACAAAATAATTGCTTTACGAAACTAAAGTATTTTATAAGTATTTTCTAAAGAAGTAATTTATCATTTAAGGAGGTTGACCGCGACATTTTTGTTTTTATTAGTAGTGGGAACTATCGATGTTCGAACTATCGATACTATCGAACCATTCGATAGTTGCAATTCATTCGAATAATTCGATAGCTAGTAAAAAAACATTCGTTGAAAACTATTCGAATAAAAATTATCGAATAGATGCGTCATCTTGAAATATTGTATTCTAGTAATTCGGCAGCAAAAACCATTCATTTATAAAATTCATTCATTTATGAAATTCATTTATTCGTCAGGATCGATTATAATAAAATATTAACTGGATTTTAGTTGTCGCCCGGCGACGTAGGTTTCTTTCCGAGAAACCCGACAGCGGTGGCAATGCTATGAAAGAAGCCGGCATCTTTGATTTTTTGCGGAGTCATATAAAGATAAGGACACATTATTTTTTTTTATTGAGGTGCTAGTATTTACATAGAAAATACATTATGAAGGGCGCTGTTGCCATATTTTGGTATTAGTTGATATTAGCAAAGAATATTATTGTTTGGCTTTAGTTAGTTAGGGATAGTATGTCTATATATTTTGCATTTTTTTATTAATATTCTGTTGTTATACTGCAATAATACTTGTTATTTTGGATGTAGGAAAATGATTTTTAATGGTTTTATGCAAAGACTGGTATAATAAAAATAATAATAACAGTAATAATTTGTTATACCTATTAACAACAAAATTTTAAATAATTTAATATAAACATTTTTTTTACGTAGTAGCAAAATATAAACAACAAATTAGATGTCAAAATTATTTATATTAGATCCTATTTAAAAATAATATAGTCTTTAAATTTTTTTGGCAACGTTGGTTTATTAAATAATAATAATTACAGAACTAATTTGTTTATTAACAACAAACTTTAAAATCATGAAATATGAACATTTATTAATTTTCTAAGCATGCAGTGTAATGGAAGGAAAATATAAATAAAAAATTAGAAATCAAAATTATTTATATTAGGTACTTTATATTACTATTTAAATATAATATTTACTTTTACTGGCATTTACTTTAAAAAATAAATGAAATATTTCTTCGTAAAAAACTACATGTAAGAGAATTAGCATAAACAAAATACAAACATCGTTAACTTTTTTTTTTAAATTGGCACGTGTAAAACTTTCAATTTAATTTTCTCACCCCATAGTATGAGTTCGATAACCATTTACTTAACCGCATTACTTAAATATGATTATTAAGTTCCAACTAATTCATATTATTAAAACATCTAAAATACAAATATGTATTTTTAAAATGAATTCTAAGTTCATCTCATCTCTCTTAAAAATTGCTACTTCTCAAAATTCCCCATTAAAAAATAGACCATATATACCATATAAAATAAAATAATTGAAAGATCGGGCTACGGAAAATCACACAAATTTTCGGAAAAATGTTGACACCTGCACACGCACACAATCGTCAATTAAAAAAAAACTACTATTTTAGTATTTTAAATATTTTAATAAACGCAAAAATAGCACAGTATTTATAAGGTGAAGTTATAAAAATTTGGAAGAACTAATAATGCACTGACGCCTGACGCACACAAAAATCAAACGAATACTAAATTTCATTTATTAAAAGCATTCGATAGTCGTGGCTCAACGATAACCATTTAGTTGCACGGCGAGGTTGTCACATATGCTTTAGTATACAAATGAATGAATGATTTTATTCGAATAAAACCATTCGATAGTTGAAATCATTCATTCAGTAATCATTCGATAGTCTAATTCATTCGATAGTTCCCATCGCTAGTTTTTATATCAAATCGTTTTTATATTCATATCATATAATTGTTTATACAACTTGCATTAAAAAAATGAAAGTTCTTTTGGCTTGAAATGTTGTTTAACCGCTGGGCAGCGCATTATATGACTGCTTTAAAAACTGTTTAAGAAAGTTCTTTAAAAGCTTTATAAAGTTTATATTGTTTATGTATAACATGTTTAATTTCCGCATTAAAAAACAATTTTGTAAAAGTAATATACAACCTCTATAAAGGCTGCGTAAGGTGATAAATAAAACAGTTTTTTAGGACAAAGACATGATTTATGAAATAATTATAAAATTGTTCTATAGTATATCTATAAGGGCGTTGCTTACAATGTTAATAAATGGGTTAAAAAGATTTTGTGCACTATAAATACTAAATAAAATATTTTTATAAATGCCGTATAACTGCCCATGTTTGCACTATTATAAAATTCTTAAAGAACTAAAGAGTCACAAATTACTTCAATATAAAATTAATATCTTCTTAACCTCAAAAAAGATTAACACCATCATAATTATTGATGTTTTGTGAGAAATTCCCAATATAGATTTATCACCATGGAAGAAGATGAAAAGGAGTGGGCATTTCAAAAGGAGCGCAAATAAAAGCCAAAAATTACCCCTTTTCAATTTGCAGTAGAAAGTGTACCAACTTGGGTTCGGAGAAGATGTAGAGTCCCTTTGTAATTTGGTAGCAAATTTTTTGGGTCAAAATAATATTCCTTGGCCATTTTCCCAGCTTTCCGACACAATCGTCAACTATTTTCTACCTTTCTCGATAGTCTCCACAATTTTAAATATTATTGCTCTCTTTTTGGACAAAATAATAAGACAAATTAATTTACCACCTTTTAACCTGAGAAAGTTGAGTTAGGTTAGAATTTGTATGGCCGTGACTCCTGTCCGTTAAACGGAAGAAGTATTATTCTAGTCCTTCGCCTGTAAAGCGAAAAAGTATTGTAATTGATATTGCGTTGTTTGAATAATATAGGTGGGCATACCTAGTCAATTATGAAAAAGAATAACAAGCAATAAAATTAAATTCGTTTACCGGTTGACAAATAATTATAATTAATAATCAGCATTCCGTTTCACAAAACTACCAACTCCCGTCAAACGAAAGAAGAGTCACACCCCGCTAATATTTTATAAAACAGATAATGCAGCACAAAATAACCGATTAGTCGTAAAGTGCAGCTAGACGGAACTCTATGAAAGCATTCTGTTTCTCAAAGATGTTTACTACTTCCTTACACGATACTCACCGAAAAATATTATACGGGGTTGCCACGTGTAGCAAAATATATACCGGAATTAGTACCTACTTAAAATGTTAATACCTAATTATGTGGGTTAATATTGATATATGTAGTACAATATGATATTGTTATATATTTTTTGATAAGTGGCGTGTATCGACCACTCCTGTAAGTCCTGTATAGGATCTATTTAATTTGATCCCTAATTTAATTGAATTAATTATAATTATTGCAGCTTAATAAAATTATGATAAGAAATCATAATCAGAATTTATAAGGATAAAGGTATGATAATACATACAATGATAATTAATACCTAGGTACCTGGTACCTCTATCTACCTATGCTAAATTACAAATTATTGACATTAATATTCTTATTGTATGAATCCAATACTAAATTTGACAACCTTTGAAATGAATACAATCTCCCACTGTCCTTTTTTTGAAAAATAATTTCATAGTACTTGTAAAAACAACTTTATTAAATATTAAGGTCCTATAACGTTTTTAAACGACACATATTTGTTGTAATACTTAACGCCATGTTTATGTGAATTTAAGGGTTTGTCAGTGGCCGCCATTGCTCACGACAAATATAAAAATCCAAATTAGCACAATATTCATGCTTTTTATAAAGATGTAAGGTGCTATATCGGATTTATTGAGTTAAAACATGAGTTCAAAGGCCCTTTAGATCAAAAATTATACCTTTCAAAAATATTTAAATATTTCCATATTTTTATCAGATCGGCTAATTACCGTCGAATCTAAGGCGCTTCTGTTTTTTGATAAATACATACATATATTTTATCAGAAAAATTTGTTGCGCAAGCAAATTCTGGGCGCTAGATCAATTATGGCAAGTCATAATATACCTACACTAAGTATAGATAGGTATTTTTTTCTTATCATCCATTTCGCATGATGGCGACGCTTTAATAATTTCATCTTTTCGGATTATGGTGAACAAGTAGGTGAAAATATTTTTCTACGTTATATATGCTTTATTCGATATTTTTATTGCAAGCAGTGGCACAAAAGAACAAACATATCGTAATAAGTGTAAAACAGGCAGCGTTTTATCAATCTTATAAAATAATTTTATGCTTGCGGTATAGGAGCGTCAAGAAATATAAATATAATGGTTGTATAGTGCATGTTTGGATAGGTTGTATTAATACCTCGAAAAACATCCTTATAAAATAGTTTTTTAACAAAACAGAAACATATTTTATTAGGATGATATAAGGAGGATATAAGTATATGTTAAAGGACTGAAAGATTTTATAATTTGGGCCTTTTTTGGTTGTATAGCTATTCGATTAGAGCTGTAAAGGGCGTTATAAAACTTTCGTAATTCTATAAGATATGCTGTATAGCAGTTTTTAGAGCACTTATATAACTGATTTTGTTACTTGGGTTGTATATTTTTAAATCTCGACTTTTTAGGCATTTCGAAAAAAATATTTTATTATTCATTATTTAAAGTATATCAGTAACCAACTAAATATAAAATAAAAAACATCTTACAATTAATAACGTACGATCGAAAAAAAAACGTAAGCGATGGCATAAAATGAAGATCACTGTCATTTTATTTCGCTGCCAACTGGTCACTGTTTTTTTTTTCGATAATATGGTAGCTACCCTGTAATATTCTTACCTGTAACTTTGCTTTCAATGTATTAGATTCTATCTCAGAATGTCTGACGTCATCTCTAAGAATCTCCATTTCTCTTTGTCGTCTCTTACAATTAGGCTATATAAAATAATCATAAAAAATAATAATCAAGAATCAAAACGATAAAGAAATTATAGAGAAAAAATGAATGCAGAATAAAATGTATGTGAAAGAAACTTACATTATTACAAGGACCGTTGTTTCCAACATTTTCTAACAATGCATGGGATCTTTCTCTATTCATCAGTTGCATTTCTGTTTCTAACCTCATTATAACAGCTTCTTTATCTTTAAGCTGTTGTTTCAAATCGCTTATAATCTACCAAAATAGAAATATATTATTATTTTAACATATGTCACTCTAATATATGTAGTTGCTTTTGTCTGTAGAATAGTTGAATAGTTACATATTAATATATCTTATTAATCAAAATACAAACCATACTGCAGTATCTACAATAAAACACGTGTATCCACTGCCTAGGTATTTTTGATTTGAACCAAAGCGTTACCATACACGATGTCAAAGGTTGAAATGAGGAGAAGTAACATTGAGAAAAACTGTAGTATAGAAATCATATGTCAAGGAGTTTGAAAAAATAATCCACTTCACAGAAAAAAATGGAGAATTGAAATTAAAATTAACTTACACTGGATGAGGTATCATTTACGGGAACATTCCTTAACTGTTCCAATGCTTTGTGATACTCCTTCATAAAATATTCTTTTTCAGCTTTCAGATTTTCTAAGGACTGGTTTGCCTATTAGAAAAAAAAACTGCTTAATGGATTTTTTAATCGAAATTTTAACTAATAATGAAATCTAATAATAATAAAACTTACTGTGGCTTCTCTGAATTCCCTTTCCTTCTCTAAAAGTTCTTTAAAACCCTTTATACAATTTCCTGATCCACAACAACATTTCTGAGTATGCTCAGTAGCCAGAGATTCGTTTTTAATAGGTGACTTATTTCTAACAGGTTTTTTCGCACCTTTACTAGCTTCTGCTTTTTGTTTTGTGTTCTTGGTGCCTTTTGGTTTGGTTGTTTGGGATATTTTGTTAGACATTTCGTCAGCTTGTGTTGTGGTATCAATAGAATATGCGTTCTTCTGTGAAGAACCACAAAGTAAAATATAGAATATTCATTTGGTTAAATATATACAAAAAAAATGTAAATATGTCATTGTTAAAATGATTGTTCAATGACATCTGATGACATATATGTTACATATAAAAAATTTAATATTATACAGAGCTATTCAAAGATATAGGTCCGGTGTTTGGATATATACAGGGTGAGCCAGATTTCTAAAAACACTTCATATACAGGGTGTCTCAATATTGCGGGGACATAGAACTACTACGTATTTTTGGAATCAAAATAAGTTCATTGGACAATTTGCCTCTGTACAAAAGTACTTCGTTTGTCCGCTAGATTGCATGAAACTTTAAAAAAAATAAACACATTTTTTCAGATATTTTAAGAACCGTTATTCCGATTTGAATCAGATTTTGGATGTCTATGTATTGCTAAGTGCTCTAACATTTGACTTTGACCACCACCACCCCTACACTTGACTACCACCACCCCTACATTGACTACCACCACCCCTACACAAATTTTAGTATAAATATTTTCCAACCCCACCAACGACCGATTTTTTTTCATAAAATGGTCCTTGTAGTACTTACTACATGTTTTGCCTCTTGTAAAAAACGCCACTGTGTATATTTTTAGAAAAAAAAATATTTTTTTCCGAAGCATCACATCAAGCTATGTAGCCGCATAAAAAATAAAAATATAAAATTTCATGTTAGTATCACAAATGATATTTGACAATAAGCTTCAAAAAAGGCTTAAAAAAATAAATAAATTTAAATTAATAATCATTCGCGTTTAATTTTGATTCGTGCCCTCTAACCAGGGTTGGCAAATATCATGATATTTATATAAATATCAAATATCGGATATATATCCGATATACATATATCTGATATATATCGGATATATCAAGTTTTGATATTTATTTTTGTTTTTATTATTTATGTAAAACTGCGTTTAGTATCAAGTAAAATCAAGAGCTCAAGCAAATATTTTTATTTCATCTTAATTATTGTTGCTTTTCACATAATAGGAACAAAATTAAAACAAAAATATATAAAAAAATATACGGAAATTCTAAAAAAATAAACAGAAAATTCTAAAAAATAAACGGAATTTCTAAAAAATAATCAGGAATTCTAAGAAATAAACGGAAATGCTAAAAAATAAACGGAAATTCAAAAAAATAAACATATATTCTAAACAACAAACAAGTTTATATTTGATTTATTAATTTTATTAATGGTAAATCATCGTCAGATTCGTCAGAGTCAGAATCAATCGATACTTTTTCTGGCAAAGTTTTTGATACATTTGAATTGTCCCAGATCCAAATCAATATTATATTTGGAAAGATTTTGTTTCATTCATCTACTAAAGTTGAACTCATATTTTCCCCCAAAAAATGCAAACAAAAAACAAAATTTAAGTTAAGAAACAACCTAAATTCGGACAAATATTTTAGTGATTTTCCTGTCAAAAAAATATATTAATATGAAAAAAGAGTTGAGAGTTGCTACAGCTTTCCCATTGAAATGAAATAATTAATTTTAGATATCACTGAACAAAATTTGTACAAAGGTAAAAAGTGACTGCTATCCCTACTTGTTATAGTTTTATATATTTTTATTAATATATATAAATAATATACCTAGCTATTTCTAATAAAATTATATAAGAGTTTTCTTGCCTTGAACTGCTAATATAGAAATTAATTCCACGCTGTGTTCGACATAATGTGGATCAACCTGCTCTCACTACCGGTTTCGGGGCCCTACCCCATCATCAGGTGAGCTTGGGTCGTTTCCACAATATGTCGAGCACAGCGCAGAGTATATAAACACGACTTGTCGTAAAGTAGCGGTAAGATATTATATCCCGCATCGCGAGAGAGCGGCCTGCGTGCAATGGTAGTACTTTCGTACCACCGAGGCACAACTATCGATAGTAAATAAAGGTATTTTTCGGCTAGCCCAAATTATATAATGGAAAATAAATTTCTTGCAGTTTTTAGGTATATAATAAAATTATATAAGAGTTTCTTGCCTTGAACTGCTAATATAGAAATTAAAAGCTATTTCTAATTCTTGTTATATTTATTATATTTGAGTGATCTATTATTGAGAATGCTAATTTTGGACTTAAATATTATATTTTCTTTTGTTTCTGTACTTTTGATTTTTGTTGAAGATCTACCGAGAATTTTGTTCTCGTATGGAATTATAATCTAACAAACCCTGTTCGGCTACTCCTTATAAAGTTTTTTCGACCTAATTCCTTTGCCACCGCCGCCGCCGACCGACGGTTTCGGGGCGACTGCTAGGAAGATTGTACAGTATTGCCATTTCATAGAATTGCACTGGCTATTTTAGAAATGATTTCAAAGTTTTGCATGTTACTTTTCGTTTTAGAAAGAAGTTATGTGCCTAGAGAAAACATTCTTAAAATTGTTTCGTACTTTATTTAATATTTCATTAAGCAGGCAAGATAATGGGATTAGAAGATTTGGGATTTGGGATAAGCCAACATAATTTCGATTTAACAGAATGGCAACACTGTCCGTCCTGTTTCTATTTTTTCGATTCTATTCTATTAGTAGGCGGAAGCCCCCACACAAGCGTCTTAAAGACCCGCCCCCTCTCGCAGAGGCTCTCTCATCGTATGTCGTATCATTTCTATGATCACTTCCCCTATACGATGGTAGGGAAAAGACACTTTATCCGTCTCTGTTGCACTGCAGTGTATTTTGCAGCCTTACCATCTTTTTTATCGCATTGAAAAATTCCTATTGCTAATGTTCCTTTGCCAGCAGTGTATATCCGATATATATCATTGATATATATCATGCCAACCCTGCCTCTAACAGACAAACGAAGCACTTTTGTATAGAGGTAAATTGTGTGCAATTAACTAATTTTAATTCAAGAAATATGTAGTTGTTCTATGTCCACTACTAGAAGGACCGTTTTACTAAACAAACATTAGTCGTCTGTGGAGTTTCGAAAATATTTCTACTAAAATTTACTATGTAAGGGTGGGGATAGTTTTCACCCTTCCCATACTTTTTCTTATGTTTTGTGAAACGCAAATGTTAGTTAAATGAACTTATTTTGCTTCCAAAAATAGATAATAGTTCTATGTCCACGGAATATTGAGACACCCTGCATATTATTTATTTTGTTTTGAAATCAAAATTCAGGAAGAAACAATGGAAAATATATGTTGGAAAGTACTTGTAAGTACCTGGGTAAGACAGACAAATATCATTCTTTTTTTACTAATTTTTTACTTTTTTTTTTTTTGGTTTTTACCACGGGGGTGTCACTTGTATGGGAAAACAGGCAACAGTCAAATTTAAACGTGCCAGGATAAACGACAAAGAAAACAACATCTGCCAGGCATTGGCTTTCTTTGTCACTCACATTGCTTAAATCATGATACCGCGGCCATTTTGCCAACAAAGAAGCTGGCCGGCTGTCCTGGGGTGCAACTTTGTTCATGTTTCAAAGCGATAGCAAAGTAATTTGTAGCTTGATGCACTATGTTCAGTAGCAACATCGATTTGTAGCGATATTCTGATTTCTCGCTTTGTGGCGAGGCGACAGTCTAGACACGTGTGCAAGAGTGTGATAGTGATACCATATTTTGCAGCATTTGAGCGACACTAGTTTTGCAATGAACATAGTACCGATCTGGTTTCGACATCGCTTCTAAACGATCGGTTGCTAACTTGAACAAAGTCGCACCCCTGGCAAGTGATTTAAAACAATTTTGCTTTTTTACAATATTAAATTACCATTTGGATGTATTTAATGCAATTATTCAGTTAACTGGTAAGTCAGAAATTACACACAAATACTTTATTCGTAAATACAACTAAGATGTAAACGTATTTTTGTATTTTTAGATTTCAAATTTCGATTTTGCAAAGACCCGCCGATAGAACTTGCCTGGCAGCGTACCTGTTTAACTAAACGTATTATTTCCTGATAATAATATCAAAACACGTAAGTACCTCTATAATTTATGATGAAAAATGATTTTGATTATGTTTTAAGTTATTTAAATACTTTCTAACCACAAATAATAGTAAGATCCTTGTTTATATCGCACAGCCCGTTCAAAACTGTATTGTCTTCAAAAAATGTTTGGTTTGGTTTGGTTTGAAAAACAAACAATTATTACAAAATCAATGTCCTTTTAATCTGATTTATACCTTAGAAGGATGCCAGTAAAATTTTATTAAATCAACATTATATTATTTGGCCATTAATATGCAAAAAGGAGCATATTGCCTTAACTTAAATTTTCTTTTATTTCTCTTGTGACAATGTTCTCTATATTCTCTATTTTGAGTTAGTAAACTTTTGAACGGGATGTGCGATATATAAAATACAAAAATACATAATATATCCAAGGGTATGATCTGATAAAAAATATTTTTAGATGCATTTTTTGGTTGTTTATGCACATTGGCTTGGTTTATGTTTTATTCAGCTTATATTTATTTGGTATAATAGTTTTTTTGCTTTGGAATGGCATGCATTGAGGCTAGATAGTGTTTCATTATGATACAACTACTAGGTAGTTGTATCATAGTGCCTTATGCATCTTATTTACCTATTATATACTTATGTATTATCAGTAAATAGATGATAACATACTACTGAAATGTATTTTTAATAGTATGTTTATCTTTCCAATTCACTAGTTATTTGCAAAATGTATTTTGAACTAATTTAAGTCATTAATTGATCATCTTTCTTTTTCAGGTTCCCGGATATTCTTTTTCATTGTTAAAAAAATATATATATTTCAATATTATTGTAATATAAATATTATTATTATTGCAGCTCTAAAAATAAATGATATTGTTTACTGAATGTGTAATTTATTTACTATGAATTTTCTCTGAAAATAATAAGTCTTTAATAATATCATTGATTTGCTGTATAAAGTTAATAGACATATTTTTTAATACTTTAAATTATATTAAAGTAATAAAAAATATGTTTATTAACTTTAAACAGTAAATCAGTGATACTTATAAAAATATTTTTTTTAAAATTTCCCCTCTTTTAAGCCCCGCCCCTCCAATTCCCCTCAACTTAGCTAGTACTGCCAGGCTATACCAGGTGGCGTCTGTTTCCATTTTTTAACATGAAGTTAGCATTTCTTTAATGTTCCTATTCTCTGGATTTTACATTTTTACGTGTATTTTCGACCTAAACGCCCATCCCTGATTTTAGTTATTTTGAAAGTAATACTTACCCCTTCACGTTGCAAACCTAGTTGCGCTTCCAACTCAACAATTTTCCTTTTTTGTTCACAACTCAACCGTGTTAATCTATCAATTTCCAAATTTAAGTCATTTTCTAAAATAAAATATGTACAAATTTCACAATTTAAATAATTATATAAATCATTCCTAACCAATTACAGTCATATTATTTATCTTGTCTGTTAATTTTTTCTTATCCTCCACCTCAAAATCTAATTGCTTCTGTATATGCGCTTTCTCAAGTCTTAAAGCTTCTAACTCTGTAGTTAATTTTAATTTTGTTTGTTTCAGTGAAGTATTCTCTTTTTCCATGTTTTTTATTTTTGTTATAGATTCGCTAACTTCCTCCTGTAATCTACTCAAAATTAATTTAAATTCATGAAAAAAAAAATATTTAATTTTACTTTACAACTCTTTGTGAAGTGCATTTCATAGAATTATTCCATTGGCTTTCAACAGCCAATGCAATGGCATCTGTTTCTTTAATTTCCTTTTCAAGTTGTTTGTTTCTTTCTAATAAATGCAAAGCTCTTCTCATTGCTTCGTGCTGTTTGGCTAAAGCTTCTAAAAATACATTTTCATGTATAATATCAAGGAAATCAATTTAGACAGTGATTGATAATACCCTCAGCTTGAATTTGCAGATCATTTTTCTCAGATTTTAGCTCACTGATTTCATTTTGAAGCAATTGAAGCTTATTATCAAAATTCTTATAACAACATTCACTGTTCAGGTCTTTTAGTGATCTGCTTCCTTGGCTGACAGAATGTAATCTTTGTATTTCTCCATCTCTAATGTTAAGCTAAAAAATAAAAAGAATCAGTACTTGAATTTAATAAGAAAAATGTATTTTAACCTGATTTTGCAAAAATGCATTATCTTGTACCACTTTTTGATATTTTTCTTTCAAATCATTTAATTCATCAGAAACCTTTTTCTCTGAAATTGATTTATACGTATTTTCTTTGTTCATTTCTTGAGATTTTGATCCTAGAAAAAGCGTTCAATAAAAGTTTCGGACATGCACAAATAAAAATATTATCAAATTACCTTTCCTCATTTTATCTCGATTTAATTGTTGTATCTGTTTTACCAAATTTTGCTTCTCTAAATTACAGTTATCCAAACGATTCTGTAGAGTAGACAACTGATGTCTTAAATCTGAAAGTTAAATATTAATAAATTTAAATTTATTTTTGACAAACTATAATTAGATACCTCTTTGAATTCGCTCATGTTGCTCCTTAAAATGAATGAACGCCAAGTGCAAATCGTTACATTCTTTTATTAGCTTGGCATTATCACACTTGTAGGGCTCCGCAGCTGATTCTAACAAATCTTTTTCCTAGAAAACAATTCAAATTCAGGCTTATTTTTACTTAACCCAACCTTAAATTTAAAGAACAATCAAATTTAACATTCGCTCACTTCCAAGGCATACTGTGATATTTTCATGTATTTTTGTAAATTTGTTGTTGTTATATCTAGGTCGCCCAATAGTTTTTTCACCAATGGAATACATTCTGGATGGAGCTTTTGTGGATAGCCTAAATAATCTAGTTCTCTACGTAGCTCATCAAATTGACTACTCATTTCACACACAAAAAACTATTCAATAAATAAAACAGCTATGTACATTATTGTAAATAAAGATTATTTAAAATGATAACCTCAAAAAGTTTGTTTGTATTTAGCGCCTCTTACTGTGTTCTGTGGGTGACAAAATATTAGATCTGTGGGATTTAGGATGGCGTGAAGTGCGAACTGGTGTGAACCATAGGTGTGAACCGTGTGATGTGAACATGCCTTTATTCTTTATTCTTTATCAAGCTTTATTTATACTCTGTTTTTTTTCTCAGGTAAGATTTCGACAGACGATGACAGAAGAAAAGCAGATAACGTCCCATACCAGTCTATTTATTTTACTAAAAAAAGTTTCTAATAATTTTTAAGTTATCTATGGATGGGTTTAAATATAAATCCGTCATGCGTCGTGTCTTGTTGTTTTTAACCAGTTTTATTGGTTTATTTAAAAAATGACAGATCGTATTTCATTTTTATTCGTTTGACGGAACGATGAACGACAAACGGACACCGATGCGTATGAACTCGCCTTTAGATTTTTGTCATTTTTGACGCTTGTCAAAGTCTTGCCAAATTATAGGTTATAATTTTCTGTCAACTTTTGTTTAATACCACAGAATATACTAACGAAAAAGAAGCCCAAGTTCCTTGTAATAAATCGGTTCTATTTTCGTAACGCCATCTCTCGACATAGCTGACATTATAGGTTAGCCAAAGGGGTGCGGGGCCGGGGGGAATTGTAAAATAAACTTTTTTATTTTAATTATTTTGATTTGCTATTTGCAATTTTATTTTTAAAACATATTATGTGAAACAATCACATAATATGTCTTAAAAATAAAATTATAAACGGAAACAAAAGGAATTAAATAATCTGAAAATTTACAAAGTTTATTGATAAAAAAGTTAGGCTATGCAAATTGATAAGTATATTAAGTATAACCTCTTTGGTAAAAACATTGTTAAACAAACATTAACAAAGTACTATTACATAAAAACAGGTGATACAATACTTCAAAATTAATTTTAACATAATATCAAAACCGAACAATCAAACTGCAAACACAACCACACTTATCACAACAGAAATTAACACACACGTCCGCGGCAAATGTCCAAGAAAGACTGATCATTCTGATTGGTCCTGGTCCGGTCGTAGCTCACGTCGTATTGTCGGTAAGCAAAATCCCTGTCCAAAAATTTGACGATCAGCGCCATCATCCGTCATAATTGGGAAACTTTTGCTGGAACCATTTTTAATATTTCACTTACATGGCCCTGATTTAATACCTTACGCCATACCCTGCGTTTTGGAAGATGATGCATTTTGATTCGTATTATTACGTGTGTTTTGTGTCTTTTGAAGTCAAGTGGAGGAAAAATCGAGTGAAAATTAACTGTAGACCCAGAGCACAGTTTATGGTTAATACTCGCTGCCCAGGCAGAAAGTCTTATACACCAATGAAGTTGCCATCGATAAAGTTTGTACACCATTTCGTCGTAGATAAGTGCATCTCGTATATGGTAGAAGGATCAAACTAAACACATACTAAAAACTGGAGTAGCTGTAAAATATCGACATCACACGATAGGTAAATAATGGATTTTAGTACTGCAGAAAAATAATGTCAAAAGGTACTGGTTTAAAAAAATTATGATTAAAGTTAATTAATCAACCTTTAAGGTATAAAATTTGGTAGGTGTTATTATTAATAAAATAGTTTGTTTTATTTACCTATGTTGTTTTATTTATTCCTGTGAAATATTACAAATTTGTATTTGTACATAAGTTATATTGATAAATATAATCATAAATGCGGGTAGTTTCATAAAGCTTGAAAGTAAATAATAGTTCTTTTTTATATTTTTTTGGTATGTAGTGTCTTGTTCTTGTTTGTTTTGTATTAACATATACCGTTTTTATTAAATAAAATAACTCGATTACATTTTTTCAGTTTTATACAGTTTTTTTCACAATATTTTGAAGTAATCACTTGTCATCTTGTCAATCAAATTTTAAATATATCCTGCTATGCGTTCCAGTTGTACCAACTTATTTCTTTCTAAAATAAAATAAACTACTTTGAAATTAAAATGACAGACACATCTATCACTGTCAAGGATCTTCTCGTTGGACAGACTATATGTCACTTTTGGACGTTTTTGTCTTAAATTTTAGGTTACGTTTAATTGTATAAAAAAATTGTAAAAAATAATAGAATAATTTGATTTTATAAACTAATTTAAGAAGTTATTTTGTACTTTTTCTACAATGCCGGCTACTGAGTTAGGTTTTCTACAAGACTGTGAACCGGGGAAGCTACAAAGTCGAATATTTCCTAGTAAAGTTGGTGGAAAACCGTCCTGGTTAAGTCTCAACCCCTTGCCCACATTTGAGGATCTTAAATGTAAAACGTGCCAACAAGCCTTAGTGTTTTTATTACAAATATACGCGCCCTATGAAGACTGTGAAGTGGGTTCGGCCATTTGGGAGGTGAATTTTCATAGAACTGTATTTGTATTTATTTGTCGCAGTCCAGACTGTAACAAACGAAACTTATGTGATAATATTGTTGTATTTCGAAGCAGTTTATCTAGAGAAAATGATTTCTATTCGTTTGTTCCACCGACTATAGATTATGATCCAGAGTTTGACGCCCTTTATCGACAACTTTGTTGTCTATGTGAAGCATGTGGTATACCAGCTGAAAAACAATGCAGTAAGTGTAGAAAAGTGTTGTACTGTTCTAAGGAACATCAAGTAATTGATTGGAAATCTAGACATAAGACAAGTTGTTTAAAGGAAGGTCCAGAAAGTGAAAAAGCTGTATCAAAAATTTTATTTCCTGAGTTTGAGTTGATTACAGCAACAGAAGTTATAGAGCGTTCAGATATTGATGAACAGAAAGAGTTGGAGAAGTTTGAAGAGCTTAAAGGTAGTATTTACAATAAAATAAGTTAAAAGTTTGTAATTATCAAGAAAATAATTTTAATTTTAGCAAAAGGTGAAACAGGCACTATGGAAGATGTTTCAGAAAGTGAATTAAGTAGCCATGCTACTAGTGAGAAAGACAAAGCTTTTTTAAAATTTAAAAAGCAGGTTTCACATTATCCAGACCAAGTAATCAGATATTCTAAAGGAGGTCAACCATTGTTCATTGCGAATGGTCCAATTCCAGCTGCAATTCCAAACTGTGAACTGTGTGACAATCCCAGGCAGTTTGAGTTTCAGATAATGCCTCAGCTTTTAAGCGAATTGAAAGAAAACGACCTAGATTTTGGTGTTTTATTGGTTTACACATGTAAATATAGTTGTGTTGGCAGTCACATAAATAGTTATAAGAAGGAATTTGTATTTAAACAAGACGTTTCATTAGAAAATAGTGTCTAGTTATTTTTTCATAAAGTAATATATCTATTATGTAATAATAAAATTAATTGTACAGTTTGAGACATTTTGTACAGTTTGAGATTAATTGTACAGTTACAAGACATTTGTACAGTTATTAGATTTACATTAAAAAATGTTTTACCATTTTAGGTTTTATACTAAATTAAAAAAAAATACTTTAATAAAAAAAATAGTTTTTATTTTATTATAAGAAAAATCGTGGTGTGCCATTGGTCGCGTTCATCAGGACGTAGCGCTACCGCAGCGATCACTAATTTTCTGCTGAACGCGCCGATTAGTGGTGAGCGCTCTGGGATCAGTCGCCATTTTTTCCATCAGATTTAAAATACGCTACGCTACCGATGCATGGTACAAAGAATACAAGGTATGATCGATAGCGGCTCCAATTTCGTTCAGTTCGCGCATACCACCTGTGACGTCATTATGAAAATAATGAATAAATAAAAAATAAAGAAAGTTGACAGGAGATCTGCATTTTTTGGGGTTATGGTTAAGAATTGTTTATTTTTAAGACTTTTTAGTTCATTTAATTTAATAAATACTAAAACCAGCAGTTCCAAAAATATATTTAAAAATAATAATTACCTATTAACATGGATTTGGTCGATAATAGCCTTAGGTAAGAATACTAAATTTATTTCTATATTCGGTATAAAATTGTTTATTAGGTTTTTAGTTTGCGATGTTTATGGTAAATAATTTTCATGTTCATTGCCTCTGAATTCACATGAGGACAGAGATGAGGTTATCTATGGAAAAGTAACCACAAGAGGAATTATTACATCATTTAAAAAATGTTGGGAAGTTTATTGTTTCCCATCGAAAAGTAGAAAATGCCAATGCAGATGAACGTATTGTAATTATGATAGAAGTAATTCCAAGGGTGAAGTTTATTGTAATTAGTGACCTGTGCTTCTTTTTATATGTAGATGTTTCAGGTTTTGAGAATAAATTGGTTGAACGACACCCAAAATTTAGAGGAAGTATTTGCATACCCAGAATATGCCCATCGAGGATTATATTATAGCTCAAATTTCCTTTAATGGTAGACAATTATTCAATGCAAATTAGCTTTTTAAGTGACTGAAATATTAAATAGTTTACAATATGGTATATCACTAAAAATATATTACTTTTAGGTACAATTAGGGCCCGATACATTTCAAAAAGTAGATTATTTTATATTAAATGAGGTATTGTACCAACAATCAATTTATATTAATAACGGAGATTAAAAAATAACAGAATAAATAGTTCTTTTTTTATACTACAAAAAAAACTATAGAATACAACAGTATTTAAAAAAATAAATAAAAAGTTATGTCCCGGCCGAGTTTCGAACTCCGGTCTCTCGCTTTCTAACCCGACTCCTTACGCACTGCTCCACAGTAACTTGCTTAGCGATAATTCAATGACGGTATATAAACAAAAAAACAGGTTTATAAAAATATCTTGACGATTTGAACTGGCGCGCGGAGCGTGCTGACCAATAGCGCCTGTTATCATGGTACAAAGAAAACAAGGTATGATCGATAGCGGCTCCAATTTCGTTAAGTTTGCGCATACCACCTGTGACGTCATACGCCAATACAAAAAAATATCCGTATTGTTCAATTGCCACTAATAAAAAGAGACCTAAAATAGGGAAGAATTAGGACATAACCCCAAAAGTTATGTCAAATCATGGAGCTTGACATTTGAAAAATTATTTTCACATTTTTTGTGTCATCTGTTTGACAATTTGAAATTGGCGCGCGGAGCTTGCCGACCAATGGTACCGTTTATCACCTGTGACGTACTGACCAACCTGCGCAATATCATACCTTGTATTCTTTGTATCATGGCCTGTTATCACCTGTGACGTAGCGACCAACCTGCGCAATATCATACCTTGTATTCTTTGTACCATGCTACCGATGCATGATGGATTAAACGTCACATACGCCAAATGTCACAAAATGTTTTGGAAAACGAAAACAAAGCATTTTGTTTATTTTTCTCGGTTGACTAATCCCCTCGATTTGTGCCAAAAATGTGTGAAAACAATTTAATATGCATTACTTATGATTTTGATCTAAAAAGCACGTTCAGCAGGACAACCAATCGATGGTACATCGCTCACTGATCAACTTGTCCTGATGAACGCGACTATGGAGGGCTTAAAAAGAAAGACTTTTAGACTCCATAAACGCGACCATTATTTCATCAAACATATTCTTAATAGAAAAAAGAAATGTCTTAATAGTAAAAAAATCTGAACTAAGATAAAAATATATGGAGTGGTTCTGTAGATATTAAAAAATTATTTTTTTCTTATAATTTAACAAAATGTATCTCGAAAATGAGCATATATACACTTACATACTTATACTTTTTATCTTAAAAATAGTTGAAAAATCACCCTGTGGAATATCGGAAACTTCCAAACCCCCTGTATATTTATATTACATTCTTTAAAATTTTGGTAAAGGTGTGGATCTGTTCTGTGGTGTGGATCCGGTGGCTGACCTTGAAGCCCATATTTGCTGCATTTGATCATCGATACTACGCAAGCGCACATCGTCGATGTTGCCAAATTGCAGTTTATTTTCGAATTATTTGCAGTTGAAAATTTTTTTTGCGTATTAATCAATAATAATACAAATTCTATAATTAATTTTATAATTTCAGATTTATCTTGATATCCAAAATTAAGGTAAGAAGGATAATGAAGTTTGTGAAATGAAAGTACCTATTTATGAATATATAAAATTGTAATAATAATAACATTTATTTATATATTTACATTAGAATTAAAATTTATCATTTACGGATTTTTTCTTAATGGTTTTAAACTTATTAGAATTATTTTATTTCTTTCAAGATATTTAATTTCTAGTTATTTACAGGCCACAATAGTTATGATTATATGTATTGAAGTTTTGAAGTACTAAGTACCATATGACGAGTCTTATTATAGAACAATACACGCCAATCGGAGATAGGGGTAACATTTTACCTATAATGTTACTAATATAATATACTTTGATTATAATTAATGTTTGTATCATAATTTAGACATATATTTTATCGAAGAGTGTGTTGATAAGACTAAAATAAGCTTTATGTTTTATCTTTTTCTCTTTAGAAGGGAGATGGTTTGTATCGTAGAATACATTACAGTATTTAATATCGTGTCCTTTGATATTCTTTTCTTAATTTACTGTAATTTCTTGTTTCCTATAATGCCAAATCTTGACAATATGGTGAAGGTTGAGTTTTGATCTTATTAGTTTTATAATAATAATAATAATAATAATAATAGAAATACAAGCTAAATTAAGACTTAGTTTGTGATTTATATTAAGATCTTTCTTATAATATTTGTTATGTCTTAATCTTAATACTATATTATGCTTGGTCTGGAAAATAAATGTTAAAATATCCTAATTTTGCATATCCTATTCCATCCTTCCATTAGGAAAAATATGGTTTATAAATTATATATGCTAAGAAAATCACATAAATTAGGTGTAAGGTTAGAGAAATCTTAATGTAGCAGAAAAATTAATGCAATATAAAGCAGAATTAAACAAGGTAACTGTTAATGTTGCCGAAGCTGATTCTACAATTTTAATTACGGAGATAAAAGGTCTTTTAAGGCCTCCGTAGTTTTGATGGAATGTTAAAAAAAACTATTATGAACAAGACATGGAGCTACAGCCAGGGTTACAGGCAGGGTTCGGAAAACTACATGTTACTTTGAAAAACTACATAAACTACATTACATGTAGTTAATATGTAGAGGGTGTAGTTTATGTAACCTATGTATGTAACTTTCAAATATCAAAGGTTTGAGGTGAGGTTATAATAAGTTGAAGCTTTAAAAACACATAATGTATTTAAGAAAACAGAATAAATATGGCTTTAAATATAATATTTACATCATGTTATCTCTATTACACCTCATACAAAGGAAAATTATTCATAATATCAATACATAGTTTATTAACGTAGTTTTCATATAGATAATGAACGGGAAAAGACGTAGTTTTTGAAGAAAAACTACACGTAGTTAATCAGATAAATTACGTCTTAATTAACTACTTCCGAACCCTGTTTACAGGGGGGTATAAACTACATTACATGTAGTTAATGTAGTTTATGTAGAGGGTGTAGTTTATGAAACCTATGTATGTGACTTTCAAATATTGAAGGTTTGAGGTGAGGTTATAATACTTTGAAGCTTTAAAAAACACAATGTATTTAAGAAAACAGAAGAAATATGGCTTTAAATATAATATTCACACATCATATTATTTAGACCCCTCATACAAAGTAAAATTATTCATAATATCAATACATAGTTTATTAACGTAGTTTTCATGTAGTTAATGAACGGGAAAAGACGTAGTTTTTGAAGAAAAACTACACGTAGTTAATCAGGTAAATTACGTCTTAATTAACTGCTTCCAAACCCTGGCTACAGCATTTAAAAATTAAAAAAAAAAGAAAAAATTTGGACACATCCCTTTTAATTTCCCGAATTTTTAATAAAGCACTTTTTAAACGTAGCATAATAATCTAGATAGGAATCTAGAGTTTTATTTCTATATAATTTTATTGACTATGACAATACATAATAAGCGTTCACGTGTTGTGCGAAATATTAAAATAATAATATACCGGGTACTATGATTGAAAAAAAATAGCGTCAGCGATGACTATGAAATGAAGATCGCTGTCATTTTATATGGGAAATGTCCTCAAGCGTCATTTCCCAGCCAACTGGACGCCGTTTTTTCGATCATACGGTATATATTAACAGAAAAACACTGAAAAGCACATATTTGTTTTCTACTGAAAATAATTCCAAAATAACTCGCAATTTGGCAACATCAAAGATGTGCGCATGCGTAGCGTCTGTAACTATATGCAGCAAAAACTCGTTTCAAGGTCAGCCACCGGATCCACACCAATGCCACACCATCTTTGACACCATTACCGAATGCTGTTAACAATTGATGCATATTGATTGGTGATTGAATACAATGTGAATACATCAGATCAATATATCGATATATTTTATATCGATAACTTTAACCATCGCTACCTTAAATAGGTGAAATATTTCCTCACAGAGAGCAGCAGAAGCAAATAACTGTCAAATAACACCATTTGACATTTATTATTTATGTTCTTGTCAGTTCTTGTTGCCTGTAGAAAAGTTCCTGAATTTTAAAATTATTATTGTGATTTTCCTATTTGGTTTATAATTAATTGGTTTACTTTCATTTTATACCTATCCATGGTGTTTTTGTGATATAATTACGTTAGTGGAAACGTGTTTATTGTTAGACGATATTTGTACATTAGAGAATTCTAAATTTATTTTAACAAATGATCTAAAAGCAACGGGAACTGCATTTTCTTTTGCACCAAGAATGGATATATCAACTGAAAGTGCATTTGCACCAAAAAGGATTGATATTGAAAATTCACTAGATGGAAGTAAAACAGAAAATTCATTTAGTTTTCCAAATTCTCCGGATATCTTGGACCTTAGTGGACTTGATTTTAATAATGATGAGACATGGTAAGTAAAACATTTTAACAGAATCGTTCATTGATAAGATACAATGTGAGTTATTTAGGGTACTTGCATTAATGTAAGTACAATTTTAGAAATTTCTATTTTTAAAGCACCACTACAGTCTATGCAGTAGTTCAACAAACTTAAATCTTTTTGTTTATTTTCTAACTGTTTAATACAATAAAACGATTTATTGTATTACATGATATACTTAGTGTATACATATTATGTAAAATGGTTTCTTAGTTTAATCAAAACATATATTTTATACCTAAAGGCGTTATAGATGCAAATTATGTTAGAAATTCTAATTGTGTTCTACTTTTAAGAGAAAAAAATCTGTAGGTGTGTTAAATGAATAGTGAGATAGTGATTTAGTTGAGACAGTTAGATACCTAGTTATGCCAATAATAAGTATGTAATTTAATGAAGTAGAAAACATTGTAAGAAAGGAGAACAATGATTTTCACAAAATACATGTTTATTTTTAAGAATTCATTTATTGTGGGTTTAAAAGTACAAGATTTATTATGTTAAATAGGACATCAGATATTATTTGTATTATTTAATTATAAATCTTTTAAATATCTATTAGGTCATCATTTCTTTATAATCATTATTTGATTAAATGAACCATACCTATATTATTATCTATCGTGTTTAATGAGGGACAAACTTTAAGGTCAGCAGCAAATATTTGAGATCATTATACCATCTATGATTTTATCTCCAAAAATAGATAAAAGGAATTTTCTTTTTTTTAACGCAAATTAAATATAGGTAGTTTTATAAATTTATAAGTATTATAAACATCATTATAATGCTTATCACTAAAATAATTAAGATTATTACAATGTGTTGCATGAAATCATATGGATATATGAAAAATAAAATTTTCCTGTTAGTATTTTTTTAAATTTAAGTATAGATATGAAGTATATGTTATTTTTGATAAAATGATGCATTTATTTCTAGTAGGTAATAGATAAAGAATGTTACTTTATTTAGTTCAACAAAAACAAAGTAACATGAGACATGGAATATTATACAAAGCCGTTTCAAATATAAACCTGCTAACTTTCAAATCACCATATTAGTTTCAATCAAAGACTTTATTTCACAATCACAGATGTTAGATTTTTATGTGCTTATTTATACAAGGATGATCAGAAAAATTTCCGACCTAATAAAAAAATAGGTATAGAGGGTTGTTAATTTTTTTTTCTTGAGGACATTTTCTTTGATGTCATACATATTATGCATTGTGGTTTCTTTTTTTAAATATTTATAAAATAACCTATTTAGGACAATTTAGGCTCTATAGGGCTCTATCCAAATTTAAATTTTACATTTTTCCAAACTTGCAAAAATATTTATTGAGATTTTGTCTTATCTGCCTCAATTTTATAGTCCAGTAAATGAAGGTTGAAACCACGGCTTAATTCGTTGATGATTATTCAGACGGATCGTGGACCTTTTGAGGAGTAATTTTTGGGGAAAAATCGTAACACGGTGCTCGGTCGGCTTTGGGCGAAAAAATGGCCCCAAATGGCCGAAAAATCAGTTTTTCGCAAATATCTGCCTAAATATGCAATTTACAAAAAATTTCTTGATATAAAAAATGAAGCTTAGGTAATCACATAAAAAAATAGTCATAATTTTTCACGTAGAATTAGTAGCTTTCGAGATATTCCGCCTCGAAGATCCCTCAATTTTCTATCAAAGTCTTAACGCTCCGAAGATAATCAACAGCTATCAAATTTTAGAACTTGTAAAAAAATCTTGGAAATAAAAAAAAACGGGCAAACCATTCTTTGGCCCAATAATTTTCAGATTTTTACAAATTTATTCATATTGTCAAGGTGTATGTAGCGCTAAATTGTATTACTGGTTGCATAACTGCATTACTGCTACATAACCGCAACGTGCATTGAACCTGGCGAATTCGCCAGAAAGTAAAAGAAAATTACAGAATTCTTTAGAACGTTCCAGAAACACTCGCCAGGGGGTATAATAAAGGCCCGCGCTTTGGCAGTTGGCAGTTTGATAATACCTCGCTTTAAATTGTGAATTAATTGGCGAAGGTGCCAGTACTGTTAGAGTAATAGTAGTTGCATAAATTGTGTTGTAAATAGTATAAGTTGTGTGTACAGAGTGAGAAAAAATAAATTCGTTAAGTATTTTATCGTGAGTTTAAATTAGTGGACCCACGGAATCCGTAACAATATTTTCACTAATTATAACTTATTTATCAATATTTTTTAACTGTTGTTCTTAGAGTCTCTGTGCAGCTGACAAAGTTTGAAGTATTTGTTTAATCACATTTTAATAAAAAACAACTATTCTTGAGTGACTTTTTCCGCTTTTTGTGGGATTTCTGGAAAGTGTCGTAAACAAAAGAAAATTGCATAATTACGAATAGTCGAATTGGTTTCTTTTTACGAACAACTTAACGAAAACCAGTTTTACTAAGGACCCAATCTTCCGCTGATCAACCATTACATGAAAATCATCTACATGCCATATTTCGGTCAATATTGGCAGAAACACGTTCTTTGACCCTTTAGAGCCGTTTTTGAACGTTTTCCCGGGACTATACGAGAAAAAGTGTCAGGACCTGTTTTGTAGATAATGGATAATAAGATTTTTTGTTTCAAGAAAAAATTTGTAAATTGTATATGTTGGCAGATATTTGCGAAAAACTGGTTCTCGGCCATTTGGGGCCATTTTTTCGGCCAAAACTACTCCCCAGAAGGTACACAATCCTCCAAAAAAGTCATAGACTGGACTATTGGACTATTCACTAGATGGCCCCAAATGGCCGCAAAATCAGTTTTTCGCAAATATCTGCCTAATAATGCAATTTACAAATTTTTTCCTGATATAAAAAATGATGTTTAGATAATTACCTACAAAAATAATCATAATTTTTCACGTAGAATTAGTAGCTTTCGAGATATTCCGGCCTCGAAGGTCCCTCAATTTTCTCTTCAAGTCTTAACGCTCCGAAGATAGATGTCATAAGCGTATAATTGATTGATAGGACAAATTGTTTAATAACTCGGCTAAAATTTAATATTTTTTGATGATTCAATGTTCGTAGGTAGAATCAACAGCTATCACATTTTGGAACTTGTAAAAAAATCTTAGAAATAAAGAAACCGGGTAAACATTGTTTAGTCCAAAAACTTTCAAATTTTTACAAATTTATTCATATTTTCACTAATTATAACTTATTTGTCAATATTTTTTTAACTGTTGTTCTTAGAGTCTCTGTGCAGCTCACAAAGTTTGAAGTATTTTTTAATCACATTTTAATAAAAAACAACTATTCGTGGGGATTTCTGGAAAGTGTCGTAAACAAAAAAAATTGCATAATTACGAATAGTCGAATTGGTTTCTTTTTACGAACAACTTTACGAAAACCAGTTTTACTAACGACCCAATCTTCCACTGATCAACCATTACATGAAAATCATCTACATGCCATATTTCGGTCAATATTGGCGGAATCACGTTCTTTGGCCCTTTAGAGTCGTTTTTAAACGTTTTCCCGGGACTTTACGAAACCGGACCGCCAGGACCTGTTTTGTAGATAATGACCTAAGCTTTTGCGTTCCAAGAAAAATTTAGTAAATTGCATATTTTGGCAGATATTTGCGAAAAACTGTTTTTTCGGCCATTTGGGGCCATTTTTTCGGCCAAACTACTCCCCAAAAGGTACACAATCGTCCTAAAACTCATAGACTGGACTATTGGACTATTCACTAGAAATTTGAGTTTTGTAGGGCAAATCCAACTTTTTTTTATTAAAAAATAATTAGGTCGTAGAAGTATGGAGGGAAAAATTAAGACTTCGTGTGTCCAATCGATATTTGAAGTTTTCTGAGAAAATGAGATATAATAAACTTTTTCATTAATTTCTAATTTGAGTAATATTTTATTAAATTAATATTAAGTTCCATCTAATAAAGAGGTCTTTTCGAATGTTTGAACAACAAATTGTTATAATATGCGTATTTAGAGAATAGTGACAAAATTCACTAGTATAGTAGTTAACTAACTCATTTTTTTAATTTTTTTTTTTTTAATTTTATTGGAGCAAACCCCCACAAGTCCAGCACTGGTTAGCACGAGTCTACAATCTATGATATTATTATAATGCTATATAATGGAAATATGGGTGCTCTCAAAAATAATGATCCCTTTTTGAAAAAACTAACTCCCTGTATTTTCAAAAGAATCATTTTTGACCTTGTTATGAAATTTTAATCTTATTTTAAGACTGCAAATGAAAATTATACGCGCTACAATGTTTAAAGTGCATGAGTTGAATTTATAGCAAAAATTAAAACACAACCTTTCAGAAGTTTGTATTTTGGACAGCAGCGACGGACGGTATATTGTGTTTGGATCACATAGATAATATGATCTAACATAAATTTGAGACCGTTCTGTTTATTTTTGAAGTGGAACTTCTTTGCGCGCGCTGGGAGTAAAATTCAAGGCCGTGACACGACACGCGACACAATAGGCGAGAGGAAAAGTAGTAAGGACAGCCTTTGGCTGAGAAAAAATCGTCTGATTTGAATGAAATTTGGTATATCGATAGATTGGACCAAGGCCAACTTGACCGTGTACGACACGCGTCACTGTGACAGTTAGTTTTGACGTAAGGAACGTCAGAAAGTTGACGTCGTCCGATCGCAACCAAATTTGGTAGGTAGGCTATGTGAGATGTGATACGGTCCCACCCTGCAAAGTTGGATACGACACGCGACGTTTCGTTTACATATTGTTGCGGACCCGTGTGGACCCGACCTAACCTAACTATATGTCCCGCCCTCAGGGTGCATCCACACTATCCTAAAAACGGCGTATCGTCGTAACGACCTTGAACCGATTTCCAGTAATTCTATTGGCTGAAATTTTTGACAGATGAATTTGACAGATAAAATATCTGACAGATGAATGTTTCAGCCAATGGAATTACTGGAAATCTATTCAAGGTCATTACGCCGATACGCCGTTTTTAGGATAGTGTGGATGCACCCTCAGATGACCTTAACATCGCATTAAAGAATAGACACCGTAATAATTCATTCGAAGTTTCGAGAAGAATCGAGTTCCACTGGAATGGATTAGTACATACGAGAGCAATCGAAACGTTCTCTATGCACCTAACGATCTATGGACTATTCGAGAAATCTTTAGCTGTGGGTATAAAAGCCGGCGGCTGGAGCCTAAAGAGGGTAGATATAAATAAGACGAGTACAGTTGACGCGCTAAGTTGAAAATAAATTCTTTCTAGATAAATAGTTGTAAATTGTTTGTAAATAATTTTTTGTCTTTTATCGTTATTGTTTTTGTTAATTAGTGTTAAATAAATTGTGTTTAAATAAATTGTGACTTTCTATCCACACGGAACCGACGAAAAACGTAACAATATCTTTATCAGGGTGGGACTAAGAATTTGATATTGAAGAAAAATGTAGGTCGATTTCGGCATAATTAGGGACGGGCTACAGGACGACGCCCTCGATATTTCGAACCGATGCCGATGCCTCTAAAAGGACGAAATCATGAGGATATTCCTTAATTTATTGGTCGATTGGAACCAAACTCGGCACGTCGATAGAGGTTCCCGAATGAAGTCCTTAGACGGGCAGACGGTCATTTTCGTACAAATTTTGTGAAAATAAATCAAATTATTTATTAATTTTTTATTTATTGCTTTTTCAACATTTCAAACTACATGTTTTCAAACATGTTTTCAACACTTCAAATATGCGCACATAGTGCACACACAATTTTTTGTGTATTTATGCAATTCTTTAATACCTTTGGCGTAAATAGGGATATTTATTTAACACTCCTTTTCTGATTTTATGAAGTCATGAAACTACGCTAATGACGTGTTTAAAGGCCCCCATACACTGGTTATTAACCACGTCTTAACGATGTCTCGTTAATGTTTCTTGATTGAATGGTTTACTTGTTTTAAACTATATCTTCTATATATACATTAAAACTAGAAAATAGTTTATAATGTATAATTAAAATATGTATTATCTCTATGTTTCCTCATTTCTTTAATCTTAGTACTATTTTTTCCTAGGTTATACGAACCCAAACGGTCTTCAGCAACCGACTACAACAATTGGCTTCAAAAAACTCCCTTCACCATGCCATTCAACCAAGAAAATTCAGAAAATATCAAATTAAAATCTAGCAAAGTTGTCGACACCAGAACATTCACAAGACCCAAAAAGAAACTCCTACGACCCAGCATCATGGATTTGGAGCAATTTCAACCTGGAGGCACCGAAACTATTCTGGAAAATCAGAATTCCAAAAGTTCTGAAGAGGAATATTTGAATGGTGTGCCTAAGGAACCATTGCATTTTGATTTATCCCAGCCCGCTAGCATAAATCACTTCGAATCCATGATTAACTCTATAGATTCGTTTCAGAATATGTCTCCACCAAGTTTGGTGAACTCTTTGTGCTCTTCGACCTTCGCTAACCTCATGGAGAGCAGTTTTATCAAAAACGATCCAGTTTTAAGAGAAATCCGCGACAAAGATTTTACAGAAAGTGCTTTATTGCAAGATATGGAAGCGCCAATGTTCCAGAGTATCAGCGAGAGTTGCTGTAGCTTGAACTCGGATACTCCGGAGAGCTTTCTGAGGAAGGTGTCGTACAATGGGAGTTTTAGGAGTAATGGAACAAGGAACGACATAAAGGAAGGTGGCGGGGAGAGGGAAAGCGGGGTTATGGATGTAACGTTTCAAAAGGATAAATCAATTGGTGAGTACTACAAAGAATACAAAATGTACAGATTGTCCCAGTTTTGTATGTCCCATTTTCATGTTCTCATTTATGTTTATAACACACGGCTGTGACGAGTGAAGTGATAGAGGCAGTGTTGCAACCTTAGATTAAGAATAAAAATAGATAGAGCAAGTCATTCATAAATTCACAAAATCGAGGTGCCTACATCGTTTTATCGGTGAGTGCCCCCACTACCATAGTTTATGGACAGCGGGGTAAAGAGGAAAGTGGTAGGGGAGTTTACAGCGGAAGAGCATCAAAACAGAATTTAACCTTGAGATTCATTGATGATAGTAAAGTAAAAGCCAGAGATATAGAAGTAGGTGGTTAGAGGCAAAGATAAAATATTTTTTAATAATAAATTTTAAAAATATGTTCATGCAATAAAACTAATAAATTATTATAAATACATAATAGTATATGCTATAAAATATTTAACAAACACTATAAAAAATTTGTTTATTAAATATTCAATAATTAAAAGTTAGATATAATTAAAAGATATTATACGTATTGTATATCGTATAGTGATTGATAATTGATAAACTAAAATGTTAATGGATCTATTATATAAGATGTCTTGTTATTTAGATAGTATTAATTACAAAAGAAAAATAGATGCATGTGAATAACTATTTTTTATATTAAATATCAGTAGATATTATTTACAATAATAATATAATTAATATAATGTATAATTAAAAAGCACAAAATTCATCTTTTCCTACCTATACCATAAATATATTCGGTAATTTTAAGTGGAAATATTAGCACAAAAACTAAAAAAAAACAATGTTCTGTAGTTTTCAAATTCATATTAGTAAGAGAGTAATATTTTGACCAAACGAATTCTCAGTGTAAGGATATTTACATACCATATAATTTTACATTAATTAGGTATTAATCATAACACGATATTAATAAAAAACACAAGTGTTGTATTTTAATAATATATTTAGGGACTGAGTAAAAAATATAATATATGTATAATATTCTTACATTTACAGGTTCATATTAAATAAAATATTGTAACCTGAAAAAATATATATTTTGTTAAATGCCACTGTAAGGATCCAAGCAGAAACTAATTTCTCATTGGCTTTTTACTTGTTGACATATGTATTTGCATAACAGATAACATAGTTATAGCAAATAGTCTAAAAAAAACGGCGTCAAAGGCGGCTGAGGAATGACGATTGATAATTTAGCGAGGTCAATCTTAAACTACACCATTTAAAAATCATATTTACTTAATGTAAAAATAAATTACAACCTTAGAGCGCCTTTAAAAAATAGTACGAGCCAAGAAAATGACTTCTAGGGCTTGACCTCACTGAAATTATCATATTTTCATTCCCCAGTCGCCTTTGAAGCCGTTTTTTTCTCGATCGTATGGTTTCCTAACTTATTCAATCAATCAATCATTTATTTATTTCCATAAAACAATGTACAATTGTATAGGAATAGTCAATAAATTCTTAAAGCTAACACAAATATATAATACAAAATATAAAAAAACAAACACAACAGATCATAATAAAATTATCATATACGTAGGCCTCATATTATAATTTGCAGGTATTCCTCCACACTATAAAAGTTCATTCCGAACAAATCATTTTTTAAGTAAAAGTCTAGAATATGCGATTCTAATCACTATCATAATTTGTCTCTCAACAAAAGTAATTCTGTAGCTCTGCCTAGGGTTCACATCTCTCACTATTTTGCATAGTAGCATTACGTCAATTTTAAACATGATGTAAAGGACCAATTTCATATGCACTATGTAATTAAAGTAACGACTTCCACACCATGAATATCTTCACTTCCTAAAACAAAATATAAACATGAAGTTGGTGAATATAAATATCTACATTGAGTATACATTGTGAGCAAAATAAAATTGACGATCAATGACATTCACCACATAAATTTACATTTTATAAAATTACATAAATCTTGCTTTCAAAGCCAACCCTAACGCTGTTTTTTTTCGATGGTGAGATCTTATACAACTATAGTGTAATTTTAGTAAAATAATATTAATATAATATATATTATATATATATATATATATATATATATATATATATATATATATATATATATATATATATATATATATATATATATATATATATATATATATATATATAATGTATTCATAATTAAATACAAATATACGATTTTAAATCGGACAATATTGTAACAAAATATAAACATTACTTCTTATAATATACATAATATATTATATTCACAAAATTATATTATAAAACAAATAAACAAACTTTAACAAATATGGTAAATATTTTAGGTAAATAAAACGAGATGTTGTATTACCACAGAACAGTACTTACTTTTGAAATGACGATGTTTAAATTCTTTTATTCTCACACATTTTGCCAGTGTAGACCCATTTTAAATGCTAATTTTGGTCTTTTATATAAAATGAAACAATTATACATTAATAGTTTATTAATAGTTAAGAAATATGGAAAAATAAAACACGGCAAACAGCTGATCATGCCAATCAGCTGTTTATCGACAGTATTGACACTGTTGACCGCGTCCAATTCCCCTACTATAGAAAATACTATAACAACAGAGCGGCGTTGTCAGATTTTAAAATTAATCCTAACGGCTGATGAAAAATGACGAAATTTACAAATATTTCAAGTTTATTTTTCTTGTAATCTTGACTGAATCTTAATAAGTACTAAATAAAATTATAAATGTCGAAATTTTGAAAAGTAGTAAGCTAATTATATTATTATTTTCTTAAGATTTCCCCAAAGTATACGTATACAAAATTAAAAATAAACAAAAGCGGAGAAATACTGGGCAACATACCAAACAATAACAATAGGATGTTGGCATTCGCATAAAATGTAAACAGTTCCCCTGTGGTTGCAACAGGTACCCCATTCGGAGTAGATCTACCCCTTTGTAAAACAATTCAACCCCGTTATCTGGTGATAATCTACCACAATGAAAAATAAGCTTGTGCCTACACTGGGTAACGATCTGTGCCATACGCGGCTGAGACTAACACTATAATAAACTTGAAACTGTACCAACCTTGATTTCGTGCATATTTTCATCGATAGGTTTGTAGCTTTTGAATAACGATCTAGGTAAAGTATCTAGTTCATTTGCCAGCTCAGAATTAGAATTAAGAGTTAGTAACTCGCATTTTCATTGGAGGATAATGTCATATTTATTTCAAACCAATAATCAACGAGAATATTCATATAATTTAATAAAATTACTGTAAATCATTATAAATAATTAATTGTTTGTTATTGAGCTGTAACTTGTGTATTATTAATCCGGTAAATGATGGAGATAAACAATTGTGATTGATTAAAATTTTATTTTAAGATTAAACTTTTCTGACAACATTTCTGAGAATTAAAAAAAAACATTATAAAATTATAAAACTAGAATAGTTTACGGTTTTATATTAACTCTAATTTAAACAAGTAATATAATATAAGTAATATAATAACCCAAAACCAAAATTACTGTAAATCACTATAAATAATGAATTGTTTGTAATTGAGCCCTGTAATTTCTATATTATTATTCCGGTAAATGATGGAGATAAACAATTATGATTGAATAAAATTTTATTTTAAGATGAAACTTTTGTTAACATTCTGAGAATTCGAATAATAACATAAAATTATAAAATAGCTAGAATATTATACGGTTTTATATTATAATTTTTTTGAAGTTTATAAAAAGATTTCATACAAAAATATATATGTATATCCTTCAAATCCTTCAATTTAATAGCTGTTAGTAAGAAGTTTCACTTCAAATATGCACACATAGTGCACACACAATTTTTTTATGAAACTAAAGATGCTACAAACAGATTTGTTCTAGCCGTCTTAGTTCCTGAAATACAGAGCGAATTTGAAAATTTTGCACTTTTTGACTTCCTTCGTATCTCGGTTATTCTATAACTTGTCGAAATGGTAAAAATTGTGTTCCTGGGAGTTTTTCACGTAGAATCCAGTGGCGTAACTAGTTTTTTGCTGGGAGCATTGGCCCATAAAAAAGAAAAACCTAATATTTTTCGTTTTTCGTGTAGCATAGAGATACAGAGACCATTTAGAGATACTTTAAAGTAATTTTTAATATTTCTACATTTTCTTTTCTATACCGGATGTTTCACAAATGTGGCTCACACCTATAACTTTTTTATTTTTTAAGATAAGTAAACGACATTAGGTATATTGGTGTATTACATACATCACAACTGATTATTTACTGACGTATTTAATATTTGTTGTCGCTTCCTGTTTTACCGGAAATAACTACAACTTTTGATTTTTAAATGGCACCCTTGGTATTTTTTACTTTATTCAATAGAAAATGACACTCTAAATAGAATAACATATTATATGTCAATTCTCGTTTTAAAAAATCGTATTTTAATTTTCAATCTAAAGTGCCATGGTTATGTTAAAAACTCTACTTTTTAATCAAGGAGCCTTGGAAAAATAGATTTGATTGTCTGATGTTTTTTGTGTCTTGTACTGGCCGGTAAAAATATGCCCAAATCGTATTTTTAATCATAACTCAATTTTTTCAACGGGAACGAGGGTTTATTAGCACATTTGGAAAAAAAACATTTGTTTACGAATAATTTGGTACCACACACTTGGTATTTCGAGTCAAATTGTCGTTACATTTATGGCGATGGCACTCTAAAATGAAATTTAAAATGCTATTTTTTTTTAATTGAAAATGTCAAAAGTTTGAATGTCAGAGTAAAAAATACCGAGTGTGTCATTTAAAAATTAAAAGTGGTAGTAATTTTCGGTAAAACAGGAAGTGACCGAAAACAATTGAATACGTCAATAAATCCTAATTTATGTCATATTATTACATACCAAATTTAAATTCATTATGAAAAAAATAAAAAAGTTATAGGGGTGAGCCACTTTTGAGAAACACCCGATATG